GCACCAGACCCAGATCCCGCTCAGCACCAGATGCCCTGGATCCCCTCGTGGCCTGAAGTCCGCACTCGGACAGCTGTGGACAAAGCTGTGGACAAAGCTCAGAAAGAACAAATCAATGGTTTTTGGAGCAGGTTCTGGGGTCGGAGAGTGTTCTGGATTAAGATGAAGGATTAGGGGCCGTGAAGCAGCAGGGGCCTCTGGACCAGAGGGGCCCGGACTTGGCCTCGTGGCGCTGGATTAAGCCTGGGGCCCCTGGTCCCGGTGGGTGAGGATTAAAGGACTTTGGCAGGTGCCTCCTTTTGTGCCTCGAGGATCGAGCTGAAGTTTGTGAACGAGAGCAAACTAGAAACACAGACTTTTCAGCTTTGGACGCAGCACCTCCTGCTCTGACCTCTGACCTCTGGGTTTACTCTCCCCTTTAATATTAATAATAATTATTATTATAATGATAATAATAACAATAATAGTAATACTTTTTATTATTATTATTATAATGATGATGATAATAATAATAATAATAAAATACAATCCAATACAACTTATTCTTGTATAGCCCTAAATCACGACAGTATCATCTCAGTGACTTAATAGAACCATTGAAATCACCAACACAGATCAGAGAATCAACAGTTAAAACACATAAAGAATATAGAACACATGTTGATAAATGTCCATACATGTTGTAGAATGTTAAAGTTTCATGGATCATCATCACATCCTTTTTGTTGGACACTAACAGCCCAACAGACCCTCCTGAATCGGCAAGGAAAAACTCACAAAAACCCAGTGGGAAAAAAAGTGACCCACATTTGAGAGAGGGATCCGCTCCTACACGGACGGACGGGCTAATGATCCAGGACCTAAGCTACAGAACGAGGACCAATGCCACGCAGCGGCCGCAGAGCGTGGACAGGTCCGGTGCAGGACTGAAGAACTCCCAGGCGGGTCGGGCAGGGCAGTACGGTAGTAGTAGTAGGTGTAGATGGAGGAGGCCAGGTTCAGAGGTCCCGTCATCGTACCATGGAACAGACAATGGGACAACGGGTGAATAGCAATGAACAAACTACAGTCAAAAACCTAATAATGCTAAACAGATAAAGTAGGAAGGAGAGGATAGTGCTCAAGTTACCATACTTCTCCCAGCAAACTGACTCCCTATGCAGCTTGACTGACAGTCTAAGATATTTAGCCTTCCCTGAGTCTTACCTTCCTAGCCATATGCTAACTAAAGAGGACTGTTTTAGGCCCTGTTTATACTTGACAGAAACGACCAGGCTCCTAATGCAAATTTCTCAGCGTTCACATGAGGTTGAAAAACTATGTAGTTCTAGCGCCAGTAGTGGGCAGAGAAACTTTACAACACAACACACGACCCCCAGCCCCCCTCCCGGCAGTATATTCACTTCCTGTGCCAGACCCTCAGAAAGTACCAACATCATTCTGCATTTTAACAGCAGCTGTGAACATGGGAACTGAACCTAGAGCTTGACGTGGTCTCGTTTGGACGAACGAAGGAGTAGATTATCCTCTGTGCTGCGCTGGAAGCCCACGTAGCTAGTTAGTGCGCGCTGTGCCATTATTGTTTTTGTTTGTTCTCCGCTACTGCGCATGTCCAAATTTACATGCAGGGAGCAGCGCACAGGTGGGGGTCAGAGCAGAGGGGGATTTCACACCTTTTCCCCTCTCGTGGATGTGAAAGAGCTCCCCGCTGTGCAGCGTATCTGAGTTGTCCCACTTTGCAGGCTGGAACTGAACACTTACGTTTTGACCCCCCTGGAACACAGTCTTCGTGTGAATGGTTGGTAGCAACCGACATCCAACTATACCGTTTCACTGCCACATTGTCTCCGTGTAAACTCAGCCTTAGCCTAGCCTAGAACGTAGGGTTGAAGATGCAGCGGACCGGGTGCGCAGACTCCAAGACCGGACGAGACCTGACCGGACAAACTACCTAACCATATGCTAAACTGAAGAAGAGTGTTTTAAGCCTGGCCTTAAATGTAGAGACAGTGTCTGCTTCCTTAACATGGATGAAGCTGATTCCACACTAAAGGAGCTTGGAGCTTAATGCTCTGCCGCCGACATTGCTTTTTTTAGGGACCACCAGACGTCTGGCTTTTTGCGAGCGCAGTGCTCGGCTTGGTTGATAAGACATGAACATGTCTTGAAGATAAGAGGGAGCCAAGCCATTTATGACTTTGTATGTTAAAAGAAGGATTTTAAACTATATTCTGTACTTCACAGGAAGCCAGTGGAGTGTTTTTAACACCGGGGTTATATGCTCCCTCCTTTTGGTACCCGATAAGATCCTTGCTGCTGTATTCTGAACGAGCTGGAAGCTCTTCAAAAAGGTTTTAGGGCACGCTGCCAGTAAAGCGTTTCAGTAGTCAAGCCTAGAGATGACAAAGGCGTGGATCAGTTTCTCCGCGTTGCTTTTAGGAAGAATAGTCCTGATATTAGCGATGTTCCGCAAGTGGAAATATGCTGTTTTAGTTGCTTGGTTTATATAAGCCTAAAGGAGAGTTCTTTGTCAAAGACAACTCTAAGATTCCTCACAGTGTTGCTGGGTACAATACTGACATTATCGAGAGTGATTATCTGGTCGGCAAGGGACTCACGCAGGCTTTTTGGACCAAGTAGGATCACTTCTGTCTTCTCCGGGTTAAGCAGTAGGAAGTTAAGAGTCATCCACATTTTAATAATAATGAGTCATGATTCTTTCACTCCAAACACGGTGGCGATAAACTACTACTGTAGCCACAGCTGCCCTGGGGCACACTGACAGAAGCGAGGCAACCGGTATGCGCCATCGGCCCATCCGACCACCACCAACCATTCACACATACACCAGACTCATTCTAGGCAATGGGGGTTAAGTGTCTTGCCTAAGGACACAACGGCTTTCTGATTTGGTTTCATCGACAGGTAATGCATGTAGATTGTGAAAAGAATCGTTCCGAGTACCAAACCCTGCGGCACACCGAATTCCACTCCAGAATAAGGCGACGAGTTTTGATTCACATTGACAAAGTGATACCAATCCGATAAATAGGATTTAAACCAGCCAAGGACTGTTCCTCTGAGACCTATAATCACATTCTAGCCTCTGCAGTAGAATGCTGTGGTCTGTTGTGTCAAATGCAGCACTAAGGTCCAGTAGGACCAGCACTGACACTTGTTCATTATCAGCAGCTAGTAGTAAGTCATTTGTGACTTTGACTAGAGCCGTTTCAGTCTATGATGATCTCTGAATCCTGATTGAAAGACTTCAAACATATTATTTTCCTGCAGGTGGCAGCAAAGCTGTTCAGCTATAAGCTTTTCCAAGATTTTGGATATGAAATTAAGGTTCGAGATCGGTCTGTAGTTTGTAAGTAGTTCCGGATCCAGGTTTGTTTTCTTCAGAAGGGGTTTGATTACCGCGGTTTTAAAAGCTTGTGGGACATAGCCACATTATATAGATGCGTTTATTATACTTAAGATGGGCTCTATTATCAAGGGAAGTGTGTCTTTAAAGAGCCAAGCCGGGATTGCATCTAAAAGACAAGTTGAGGCTTTAGAAGATGCGACCACAGAGATCACTTCCTCTTGGCTCACAGACGAGAAGTTGTCGAGGCCCACTGATAAAAATAAAAATAATAACTATAACAATAATGATAATGCTCCTCAGAGTCCCAGCAGGAGGCCAGTCCCTGTGCTCCTCAGAGTCCCAGCAGGAGGCCAGTCCCTGTGCTCCTCAGAGTCCCAGCAGGAGGCCAGTCCCTGTGCTCCTCAGAGTCCCAGCAGGAGGCCAGTCCCTGTGGTCCTCAGAGTCCCAGCAGGAGGCCAGTCCCTGTGCTCCTCAGAGTCCCAGCAGGAGGCCAGTCCCTGTGGTCCTCAGAGTCCCAGTAGGAGGCGACATTATGGAAGGTTTAAAACAGTCTTTAATTCAGGTTGGTCCTGCTAATAGAGACCCCTGCTGGACAAGTCTGTAACTGCACCTTCCTCCTGCTCCTTCATATTTCATCATATGTAGTCTGTTCATTGCTATTCACCCGCTGTCCCACTGTCTGTGATGATGGGAGTGTGTGTGTTTGTATGATTGTGATTCTCTGATCTGCTGTTGAGGAATCGGCGTCTGCAGCCTCCAGACTCTAACATCTGCTTCTTTAGTTCTGACGAAGAGTTTTCAGCCGCAGCAGGAAGTGACTCTTCTTCTGTGGATTAGGAGATTACAGCCACTTTCTCAGGATTACATCAGATTATTATACAGGATTAAAGATGCACCACTTTTCTGTTTAAAGCATCAGACTCTAAGTTTAAAGCTTCAGACTGTGTATGTATGTGTGTGTATGTGTGTGTGTGTGTGTGTGTGTGTGTGTGTGTGTGTGTGTGTATGTGTGTGTTGTTTTCAACTCCTGGTGGGGTCTACAACCTGAGATTCTCTCTGGTGGTCTCTTCCTCTGGACCCGCAGCAAAGACGACACATGGTGGAGACCTTCACACTCCTCACCCGTCGTCTGTGTGTGTGTTTGTCTGTGCGTGTGTGTGTTTGTTTGTGTGTGTGTGTGTGTTTGTGTGTGTGTGTTCCTCTTTGGAGAAAGCCACACCTGTGCTCTCTTCCTGTGGGACGTGTATTGGTGTGTGTGTGTGTGTGTGTGTGTGTGTGTGTGTGTATGTGTGTCTCTCCTTCAAGGCTTAAACCAAGAAACTAAAACAGTGTATTTCCACCTGTGGAACATTCGCTAAAACCAGGAATATCCTAAAAGTGAAGCAGAAAAACTGATCCAGGCTTTTGTCTCCTCAAGGCCTGACTGTGAGACAAAAACCACACTGCTCCTCCTGAATCCGAGATTCAGTCTCCTCTCCAGTACCTTGGAGTAGACCTCACCGGGGAGGCTGAGGAGTGTGATCCCACAATAATTGGAACACACCCTCCGGCCCCCCTTTTTGTAGAAAGGGACCACCACCCCAGTCTGCCACTCCACTGGCAGACTGTGTCTGTCCCTGTGCTGAGACAGGCCTCAGCACAGAGACAGGCCTGTCTCTGTGCTGAGGCCTGTCTCTGTGCCGAGGCCTGTCTCTGTGCCGAGGCCTGTCTCTGTGCTGAGGCCTGTGCCGAGGCCTGTCTCTGTGCCGAGGCCTGTCTCTGTGCCGAGGCCTGTCTCTGTGCCGAGGCCTGTCTCTGTGCTGAGGCCTGTGCCGAGGCCTGTCTCTGTGCCGAGGCCTGTCTCTGTGCTGAGGCCTGTGCCGAGGCCTGTCTCTGTGCTGAGGCCTGTCTCTGTGCCGAGGCCTGTCTCTGTGCTGAGGCCTGTGCCGAGGCCTGTCTCTGTGCTGAGGCCTGTGCCGAAGCTAGTCCGGTGTCGAGGTCAGTCCCTGTGCTGAGATCAGTCCCTGTGCTCGTGTCTGCACATGGTGTCAGCTGCAGAGATGCAGACACTGAGCTGTTCTTCCCATGCACTGTCCATCTGGATCCACCACTTACCCTGCTGCCTCCCCTCCCCCCTGCTGCCCCGTTCTGCCCGGCCTGCCCCCCCTTTACACCCCCTGCCCCTCCCCCACCTCTTGTCTCCAGCTTTAATGTTGCTCTGTAAGTAAGTAAGTAAGTAGTAAGTATTTATTTATATACCGCCTTTTCACTGCAGATCTGAGTCTCAAAGCGGTTTACAATTGTTAATTTTTTGTGCATTAGTCTCTCACTCCACATAGAGATGGGAGCAGGGTCGCCAGTACAGGAGGCGCATGCTAGAACTATTGGACATATTTTTAGTGGTAGGGGAAACCGGAGTACCCGGAGGAAACCTACGCAGACACGGGGAGAACATGCAAACTCCACTCAGAAAGGCCCTGGTCCGACCGGGATTCGAACCCAGGACCTTCTTGCTGAGAGGCGAGAGTGCTATCCACTCAGCCACCGTGCCGCCCGGTGTAACTTTGTGTAACTCTGTGTAACTTTACTTGTTGCTCTTTGATCTTTCTTTGGAAACAGCTTCATCTGTGGTTTTCAGTTTGAGCTCAGGTACGGTTTGAGCACAGGTACAGTGTTAGCTCAGGTACAGAGTGACCTCAGGTACAGAGTGAGCTCAGGTACAGTGTGAGCTCAGGTACAGTGTGAGCTCAGGTACAGTGTGAGCTCAGGTACAGAGTGAACTCAGGTACAGTGTGAGCTCAGGTACAGTGTGAGCTCAGGTACAGAGTGAACTCAGGTACAGTGTGAGCTCAGGTACAGAGTGAGCTCAGGTACAGAGTGAGCTCAGGTACAGTGTGAGCTCAGGTACAGAGTGAGCTCAGGTACAGTGTGAGCTCAGGTACAGAGTGAACTCAGGTACAGTGTGAGCTCAGGTACAGAGTGAACTCAGGTACGGTTTGAGGCCGTAGACCCAGGACTGTTCTAGAACTGTATCTAGAAAGAGAATGATTAATCAGAATCAGAATCATTTTTATTGCCACGTAAGTAACAGGAAGTCTGAAGAGGATGTGCCAAGTCTGGGATCGCGTCTTTCATTCAGACAGAAGACATGTTTTATGGTCAATGGTAGAGACAGCACGATCAAAGCACACGAGCACAGATACAAGAGAATGTAAGTGTATTATACAGAGCGGAGACATGAGACCTCCAATCAGCAGCTTCCACGGTGTGCTTGTAGCTTGGCCTTCAGATAGACAAAACAAGGGAAAAGTACTGGCTTCTGCACATTGATAGATTGATGAGTTTAACTTTAACAAAAGTTGCTTAAAAGTGTTATGAAATCTCATATTCCCCCCTCTGGTCATACATTCACGTGTGACCATCAGGATCGATAAACAGCAACATAACATCATAACTCAATACTTCAAAAACTCATAAACTCGGTACTTCACTCGGTACCTCAAAAAACTCAGAACTCGGAATACTTCAAAAACTCATAAAACATGTTCAGATCTTTCATAAAACTTGTCAACAATCTTCAGTAAAATACCAAACTTCATCAGTCGATGGTGGTTCCAGATATTGCTTTAAAAACAGTCTCTCCCACTTCTCCGTGTTGATTCTTCAGGCTGCATTTGTGTCGAGCCATGAATTCTTCTGTGACGTGTCTTTCAATCACACGTTTCAGCTTCAGTGTCCAGATTCAGAAATCCAATTCAGTCCAAATTATGTCCAAATTCAGAAATCCAGATTGTTCCAAATTATGTCCAAATTGTGTAATCCAATTGTTCCAAATGGTGTTCATGCAAAAGAGGACGATGGTATTGTCCATGTCTCAGCAGCTCACAGCCTGACTGGAATCAGGGGCTGTGCAGATTGTCCAAGTGCTGGTCCAGATGCATTCTCTTGAGGTTTCTCAGTTTTGGCTTAAAAAAAAACACTTTTTGTGTAAAAAAAAAAAAAGTCTTCTGTTCTCTAGATGTTACAGACAAGGCCCGCATCCTTCCACCACCTGAAGAAGATGTGCCAAGTCTGGGATCGCGTCTTTCATTCAGACAGAAGACATGTTTTATTGTCGATGGTAGAGACAGCACGATCAAAGCACACGATCACAGATACAATAGAATGCAAGTGTATTATACAGAGCGGAGGCATGGAGACCTCTAATCAGCAGCTTCCACGGTGTGCTTGTAGCTTGGCCTTCAGATAGACAAAACAAGGGAAAAGTACAGGCTTCTGCACATTGATAGAATGATGAGTTTAACTTTAACAAAAGTTGCTTAAAAGTGTTATGAAATCTCATAAGTCACAGACTTGGAAATTGCTTTGGCTCAGTGCAACAGTCAGAAAGAGATAATAAAATAAGAATAAAAAACACTTCTAAGGAATAAATTTAAATTTAAAATAGAGTTACAGTTACTATTTACAATATACAAGTGCACATGGTGCACACAATGTAAGGTGACAGCAGTACAGTGAAGTAAAGTGACGTATGATGGGCAGTAAAGTGACTTTATAAAGGGCGGGGGGACAGGTTAAGAAGTGTTCAAGAGTCCAACAGCAGAGGGGAAGAAACTGTTCTTGTGGCGGGAGGTTCTAGTCCTGATGGACCGCAGCCTCCTGTCTTAAACCAAGTGACAGTACCATCGGAGAGACTTTGAGCACTTTGTGATCCACTGCAGCGCTTAAACGTTCAGCTGCGCGGGGTTTTTTATGATCCAAACATTCAACAGGTCATTTACGACCTTCAGAGCTGCAGATGTAGTGCTATGGCATTTTCTAAAACCAGATTGCAATTTTGATTAAAATGTCATGCGAGACAAAGAACTCTTTCAGTTGCTCACTGACAAAACCATTTTGGCTAAAGTTTTGAAATTGGTCTCTAGAGTAAAAGTTCAGATTGACTCCTTACAATATCGTTTCTTAAATGTAATCTGTAGACAGCGGTCGCTCCTTTGGACCAATGTGTGTGTTTGTTATTATATCCTATGTTTGAACAGTTTGATTCTCTGATCTGCTTTTGGAGAATCGACAACTGTGTGGTTCAGGGTGATACACTAATCCATTGAAAACTTCCTCCTTTGGAACGACTCAGTTTCAGGTTCAGTCGGCTGCAATAACACTGTGGTGTTGTGTAGACGCACAACAGCAACACAACCTGTAGCTTTGCAAAGCCACTCTGTGTCATCTGCTCCTTTGTGCCATAATCCTCCTCCTCCTCCTCCTCCTCCTCCTCCTCCTCCTCCTAACCCACAAATTAGCTTCAGGCAATTAACAGGAACCAGACGTTTCATTAACTCTGCTCCTCATTAAATAATTTACTGAATCAATAAAGGATCAATGAACACTGCGACCTCTGCTGCGACAGATGGGCCCCGGGCTGCAGGGGCCGAGGTGCAGGGTCCGAGGTGCAGACACCTTCAGACTCTCTCACTACTGTCTCCTTTACCTTCAGACTCTCTCACTACTGTGTCCTTTACCTACAGACTCTCTCACTACTGTCTCCTTTACCTTCAGACTCTCTCACTACTGTCTCCTTTACCTTCAGACTCTCTCACTTCAGAGTCAGAGATGATTCTTAGACTTTCTTTTTTTTCACTTTTAAATTCTTTGTGTTGTTCTGGTCGAGTTATTGTTTGTACTTTGACCTAACTGTGTGTGTGTTTATAACTGTGTGTGTGTGTGTGTGTGTGTTTCTAACTGTGTGTGTGTGTGTGTGTGTGTGTATGTGTTTGTCTTTGTGTTTGTAACTGTGTGTGTGTGTGTTTGTAACTGTGTGTGTGTGTGTGTGTTTGTAACTGTGTGTGTGTGTGTTTGTAACTGTGTGTGTGTGTGTGTGTGTGTGTTTGTAACTGTGTGTGTGTGTGTGCGTGTGTTTGCAGACAGTAATTAATATGTACTGTCCTAAATTCAAATGAATAAAATGATAATAATAATCTTTCCTGTGATGTCACACACGGCCCCTTCCTCTCTGTGTCTCGGCAGCTGTCCCTGTGTGGCCCCAGTGCACTCAGCTGATGAGGGGGGGGGGTCCCGGATCACAGCTGAGTGGTGTGGGGGGAGGAGGGGGGAGGAGTGGGGGGGAGGAGGAGGGAGGAGTGGGGGGGGGGTTTCCCCATTTGTCGCTCGGAGCCACAGCTGCTGGATCCTTGAGAAGCCAAACATCACAATTCTTCGGAAGCTTTGAAAAACTTTAAATTCACCAAGAGAAAATTAGAAAATCAAACCATGAAATTAACAATGTCATAGATGAAAGAGTTTTTATTATTATTATTATTATTATTATTATTATTATTATTATTATTATTTATCTTCACACAGCTCAATGTTTCTAAAATTCACTCATCTAAAGTTAATGTTTATTTAGGGACAGTTCCTGCTGCGGGACTGAGGCTGTAGATCCAGGACTGAGGCTGTAGACCCAGGACTGAACTGTAGACCCAGGACTGAGACTGTAGACCCAGGACTGAGGTTGTAGACCCAGGACTGAGACTGCAGTCCCAGGACTGAGGTTGTAGACCCAGGACTGAGGCTGTAGACCCAGGACTGAGGTTGTAGACCCATGGATTGAGGCTGTAGACCTAGGACTGAGGCTGTAGACCCAGGACTGAGACTGCAGTCCCAGGACTGAGGTTGTAGACCCAGGACTGAGACTGCAGTCCCAGGACTGAGGTTGTAGACCCAGGACTGAGGCTGTAGACCCAGGATTGAGCCGGTTGCCATGGTTACGTGTGAAGCCTCTTTACAACATTAGAGTATTATACATTATAGTAGAAGTAAAACTATGAAACATGGTTTTGTTTTGGACTTGTCTCTTTGACCTCAGAGAGACAGTCTCCTTGGAAACAGAACCACAGTCTTCAGATGACATCATCAGCTCTTCACAGACGTCTCATTAGCGTCGAGAGGCGCGTGCACCTGCGCCAGTCCCGCAGCACCCGCGGCTCTCCTGCAGGGGGCGCTGTAGGCTCACTATGGTCACGGACCAGAGGGAGCACATATGGTTCCAAAGGACTTTTTCAAACACACGGAGACTTCCTGGACTGGGGTCTCTCTCTGGTCTCTCTTTGGTCTCTCTCTCTGGTCTCTCTCTGGTCTTTTTCTGGTCTCTCTCTGATTGGTCACAACATTTATTTGACTATTTTCACAGTTCTGCACTTTCATCATTAAACATCAAATAATACAGAGTTAGGGTCAGGGTCATGTATACAGTACAGAGCAAAAGTTTGGACACACCTTCTCATTCAAAGTTTTTTATTTTCATGATTATAAAAAATGTAGATTCTCACTGAAGGCATCAAACCTATAAATGAACTTATGTGGAATTATGTACGTACTGAAAAAGTATGAACCAAGTGAAAATATGTGTTATATTCTGGGTTCTTCAAAGTAGCAAATTTTGCTCTGATTCTGCTTCACTCTTGGCGGATGAGCTTCAAGAGGACCTGAAATGGTCTTCAACAGTCTTGAAGGAGTTCCCATGATGCTCAGCACTTGTTGGCCCCTTCACTCTGCGGTCCAGCCCCAAAACCATCTGGACTGGGTTCAGGTCCGGTGACTGTGGAGGTCATGTGGCCCAGCACCATCACTCTCCTTATTGGTCAAACAGCCCTTACACAGCCTCGTGTGGATCTACAGCAATAGTCATGAAAAGACACTCAGTGAAGGAGAAAGGGTGTCCAAACTTTTGCTCTGTACTGTATGTATAAAAGATTAAAATGTTTAATGTTTCTGTTTGTTTGATATGATGTAGGTTGTGAGGCGCTTTGAGTTGCCTTGTGTTGGAAAGGCGCTATATACAAATAAAAGTTGATTGATTGATAATGAGAGAAGCACAGAAGAGTGTCAGGTCATGGGAACAGGATCAGACAGAAACTATAACAACATTACCATTACAACAATACAGATCTGCTTTCACTTTCATTTGTGCCAAAACAACAGTGAGGATCAGGGTCTGGGTTAGGTCCTGGATCAGGGTCTGGATCAGGGTTTGGATCAGGTCCTGGATCAGGGTCTGGATCAGGGTCTAGGTCTGTCCCACGAAATGAGATCAACAAAAACACTGATGATCTCATGTTGCTCCGAGCGACAGGATTCTCTTTCAGCGATGACGTCGTGTAACTTACACTGTAACCTCAGCACCGAGAACCACACAGAGAGGCACCACAGAGAGGAACCACACAGAGAGGAACCACAGAGAGGAACCACACAGAGAGGAACCACAGAGAGGAACCACACAGAGAGGAACCACACAGAGAGGAACCACACAGAGAGGAACCACACAGAGAGGAACCACGGAGAGGAACCACACAGAGAGGAACCACACAGAGAGGAACCACACAGAGAGGAACCACAGAGAGGAACCACAGAGAGGAACCACTATTTTATTTATTTTTCTAAACATAAGGTAAACCTTATTTAAATGGATTTTAAGTGGATTTTATCTGTGCAGCACTTTGGAAACTTGTTTAAAATGTGTTATGTAAATAAAGTGAATTGGATGAATTTAAAACAGTCCTGGTCTCTCTCTGGTCTCCCTCTGGTCTCTCCCTGGTCTCTCTCTGGTCTCTCCCTGGATCACCTCCCTCTGTGCTCCCACCTCCCCCTCTGTCACGTTTGTCCACAGTCACATTAGTCACAGTCACATTAGTCCACAGTCACATTAGTCCACAGTCACATTAGTCCATAGTCACATTAGTCCACAGTCACATTAGTCACAGTCACATTAGTCCACAGTCACATTAGTCCACAGTCACATTAGTCACAGTCACATTAGTCACAGTCACATTAGTCACAGTCACATTAGTCCACAGTCACATTAGTCCACAGTCACAGTCACATTAGTCACAGTCACATTAGTCCACAGTCACATTAGTCCACAGTCACATTAGTCACAGTCACATTAGTGCACAGTCACATTAGTTACAGTCACATTAGTTACAGTCACATTAGTCCACAGTCACATTAGTCCACAGTCACATTAGTCACAGTCACATTAGTCCACAGTCACATTAGTCACAGTCACATTAGTCACAGTCACATTAGTCCACAGTCACATTAGTCCACAGTCACATTAGTCCACAGTCACATTAGTCACAGTCACATTAGTCACAGTCACATTAGTCCACAGTCACATTAGTCCACAGTCACATTAGTCCACAGTCACATTAGTCACAGTCACATTAGTCACAGTCACATTAGTCACAGTCACATTAGTCACAGTCACATTAGTCCACAGTCACATTAGTCCACAGTCACATTAGTCCACAGTCACATTAGTCACAGTCACATTAGTCACAGTCACATTAGTCCACAGTCACATTAGTCCACAGTCACATTAGTCACAGTCACATTAGTCACAGTCACATTAGTCACAGTCACATTAGTCCACAGTCACATTAGTCACAGTCACATTAGTCACAGTCACATTAGTCACAGTCACATTAGTCCACAGTCACATTAGTCCACAGTCACATTAGTCACAGTCACATTAGTCCACAGTCACATTAGTTACAGTCACATTAGTACACAGTCACATTAGTCCACAGTCACAATAGTCACAGTCACATTAGTCCACAGTCACATTAGTCCACAGTCACATTAGTCCACAGTCACATTAGTCACAGTCACATTAGTCCACAGTCACATTAGTCTAAAGTCACATTAGTCACAGTCACATTCGTCCACAGTCACATTAGTCACAGTCACATTAGTCCACAGTCACATTAGTCACAGTCACATTAGTCACAGTCACATTAGTCCACAGTCGCATTAGTCTAAAGTCACATTAGTCACAGTCACATTAGTCCACAGTCACATTAGTCCACAGTCACATTAGTCACAGTCACATTAGTCCACAGTCACATTAGTTACAGTCACATTAGTCCACAGTCACATTAGTCACAGTCACATTAGTCACAGTCACATTAGTCCACAGTCGCATTAGTCTAAAGTCACATTAGTCACAGTCACATTCGTCCACAGTCACATTAGTCACAGTCACATTAGTCCACAGTCACATTAGTCACAGTCACATTAGTCACAGTCACATTAGTCCACAGTCACATTAGTCCACAGTCACAGTCACATTAGTCACAGTCACATTAGTCACAGTCACATTAGTCCACAGTCGCATTAGTCTAAAGTCACATTAGTCCACAGTCACATTAGTCACAGTCACATTCGTCCACAGTCACATTAGTCACAGTCACATTAGTCCACAGTCACATTAGTCACAGTCACATTCGTCCACAGTCACATTAGTCACAGTCACATTAGTCCACAGTCACATTAGTCACAGTCACATTAGTCACAGTCACATTAGTCCACAGTCACATTAGTCCACAGTCACATTAGTCACAGTCACATTAGTTACAGTCACATTAGTCCACAGTCACATTAGTCCACAGTCACATTAGTCTAAAGTCACATTAGTCACAGTCACATTAGTCCACAGTCACATTAGTCACAGTCACATTAGTCCACAGTCACATTAGTCACAGTCACATTAGTCACAGTCACATTAGTCCACAGTCGCATTAGTCTAAAGTCACATTAGTCACAGTCACATTAGTCCACAGTCACATTAGTCCACAGTCACATTAGTCCACAGTCACATTAGACACAGTCACATTAGTCCACAGTCACATTAGTCTAAAGTCACATTAGTCACAGTCACATTAGTCCACAGTCACATTAGTCACAGTCACATTAGTCCACAGTCACATTAGTCCAAAGTCACATTAGTCACAGTCACATTAGTCACAGTCACATTAGTCCACAGTCACATTAGTCACAGTCACATTAGTCCACAGTCACATTAGTCACAGTCACATTAGTCCACAGTCACATTAGTCACAGTCACATTAGTCCACAGTCACATTAGTCCACAGTCACAGTCACATTAGTCACAGTCATTAGTCATTAGTCATAGTCATTAGTCAGTCTCGGTCCAAATTTAAAGGTGTAGATCCTGTGTTGCAAGTCCTGTGTTGCCCTGGTGCCCAGAGCTCTCCTCTCTCCTGTTCCTGGGCCTAAACATCTTTATCAACCGCACCTACCGCCCCCCCCCCCCCCCCACCCACCCTCTTCACACACTTCTGAAATGCCATAAACTCAAAGACCCCCTGCGGTGCTGAGCCAGCCCAGGACGGACACACTTCAATGGGCCACTGTGATCTCCCCAGACCCCCCCAGACCGCAGCTTATGGACCCGGTTGACAGCTGAAGCAAAGACATTATTGCAATCGCACCAGACTCAAAAACAGCAGCTCAAGTCTGGACCAGATCCACACTTACTGAATATTTGTGAGAGAACGATTTATGAGTATTTTATTAGTTCCATCAATGGCCTCATTTAACACATTCCTCACTACTGTCTCCTTTACCTTCAGACTGTCTCACTACTGTCTCCTTTACCTTCAGACTGTCTCACTACTGTCTCCTTTACCTTCAGACTGTCTCACTACTGTCTCCTTTACCTTCAAACTCTCTCACTACTGTCTCCTTTACCTTCAGACTCTCTCACTACTGTCTTCTTTACCTTCAGACTCTCTCACTACTGTCTCCTTTACCTTCAGACTCTCTCACTACTGTCTTCTTTACCTTCAGACTCTCTCACTACTGTGTCCTTTACCTTCAGACTCTCTCACTACTGTGTCCTTTACCTTCAGACTCTCTCACTACTGTGTCCTTTACCTTCAGACTCTCTCACTACTGTCTCCTTTACCTTCAGACTCTCTCACTACTGTCTCCTTTACCTTCAGACTCTCTCACTACTGTGTCCTTTACCTTCAGACTCTCTCACTACTGTCTCCTTTACCTTCAGACTCTCTCACTACTGTCTCCTTTACCTTCAGACTCTCACTACTGTCTCCTTTACCTTCAGACTCTCTCACTACTGTCTCCTTTACCTTCAGACTCTCTCACTACTGTCTCCTTTACCTTCAGACTCTCTCACTACTGTCTCCTTTACGTTCAGACTCTCTCACTACTGTCTCCTTTACCTTCAGACTCTCTCACTAACCTTCAGACTCTCTCACTACTGTCTCCTTCACCTTCAGACTCTCTCACTACTGTCTCCTTACCTTCAGACTCTCTCACTACTGTCTCCTTACCTTCAGACTCTCTCACTACTGTCTCCTTACCTTCAGATACCTATGCTGTGTGTAACCTGTCCCTGTGCTGTATGTAACCTGACCCTGTGAGTCCTGACCCTGTGTCTTTGTCTGTATCAAAGGTTGTCATGTTTTGCTGCACCTGAGAAAGCTAAGTGCCTCCAGGTGCCGCGGGGAGAAGCTGTAACTTCATCTCTGCAGCGAAGCACAGGTTAAAACATCCTGTGTTCTCACGAGAGAAAACAACCTCCTCTGTGCTACAGCCGCAGACTCCATCCTCCTCTGTGCTACAGCCGCAGACTCCATCCTCCTCTGTGCTACAGCCGCAGACTCCATCCTCCTCTGTGCTACAGCCGCAGACTCCATCCTCCTCTGTGCTACAGCCGCAGACTCTATCCTCCTCTGATTGGTCAGAACCCTGCCCTCTGTGCATGTGCATGAGAGCCACACACACGTATTTGGCACAAAGCATCATGGGAGCTCATCCACTGCACAGAACCGGGAGGACCAGACGATTCCCAAATATGGGCGAGTTCCATTAATCTCCCAGTCCCCCATGGGGGGACGCCACTGAGCACAAGCCACTGATTTCAGTAGGATGCCATCTTGGATCACCAGGGCTTGGGCTGCCCTCGTCAGCCATTTTGTCCTCCGGGCCACGTGAGAACAGTCGGCACTGGATCAGATTCGGAATCTGGACGGAAGCGGTAGGAACAATCCTACTTTCAAAATAGTTTTACACTAATAAGTCCTTACGTGGTGACTGGTAAAGTTTTAGGTCTGAGTAAGATAGTTAAGGTTAGGGTTAAGGTGGGTCTGAGTAAGATAGTTAAGGTTAGGGTTAAGGTGGGTCTGAGTAAGATGGTTAAGGGTACCCACCCTCGGGTAGTTTAGGTAGTTGGTTATACTTACAGTACTTCCGCTTCCGTCTCATATGATCTAGTGTTGACCCTGTGTGGGCGGCACGGTGGCTGAGTGGAAAGCACTCTCGCCTCTCAGTAAGAATGTCCTGGGTTCAAATCCCGGTCGGACCATGGCCTTTCTGAGTGGAGTTTGCATGTTCTCCCCGTGTCTGTGTAGGTTTTCTCCTGTTTCCCCTACCACTAAAAATATGTACAATAGGTCTGGCATGTGCCTCCTGTACTGGCGACCCCCACTCCCATCTCTTTGTGGTGTGAGAAGACAAATGCCCCAAAAAGTAACAATTGTGAACTGCTTTGTGACTCTGGTCTGTGAAAGGTGGTATATAAATAAACATTACTTACTTACTAGAATACACTGGGTCACTACGAGACAATGGGAGCACTGCGCACATGAGCCATACAGCGGCATTCTGGGTGTTGTTGGCGGCACTGAAGCACAATTTAAGAGAAGTGGAGATTAATAGCGGCTTCTTGACCCTTTGGTGCTGTTATAAATCTTGATATGATACAGGGACCGTGTGGAGGACCGTGTGGAGGACCATGTGTCACTGGACACATTACTTCACTGAACAAAAGTTGTGCTTAAGACGAAGAATATTCATGGGGTTTAACGTTTCCAGGGTTAGAGTTTGTAAAAAGGAGTTAAATCCCAGTGTTTTGTGTGAGGTTGAACAGACTCCGGCTGTTGGAGAATAAGGACTTAATAGAAGAGAAAATCATCAAAGGCTTTTACTTTAACATCATCAAAGAAAAATGTTTTCCGTCTCCTTTTCCTCCATGATGTCCTGTTGACCTCATGTGTATATACTGTATTTGAATACATACTAACCCTCAATAACCAAAGTGCCTCATCACATAAACATATCATACATAACCAAAGTGCCTCATCACATAAACATATAATTATTAATCAAAAATAAAAAGAGATAAATGTACCACAAACAAGGTCTTCTCTGATTGGTTGATCCACTCCTGAGGAGAAGCATGTACTAATGGGTAGTGCCACCTGCAGGTGAAAGCCAGATCCCTCAGACCTCTGAAGCTAAGCTGGGCAGGACCTGGTTAGTACTGGGATGGGAGACCTCTGAAGCTAAGCTGGGGAGGGCCTGGTTAGTACTGTGATGGGAGACCTCTGAAGCTAATCAGCAAGACACTTCCCCCACATTAGAATGAGTCTGGTGTGTGTGTGAATGGTTGGTGGTGGTGGGAGGGGCTGATGGCACAGACTGGTTACCTTGCTTCTGTCAGTGTGCCCCAGGGCAGCTGTGGCTACAGTAGTAGTTTTTCACCACCTTGTTTGAGTGAATGAATAATGACAGTCCTGAAAAGAATTGTATAAAACTGATGCATTATACATTTCTCAGATTTGTTGCTAATTTGATTGCGTTGGAATCTCCCAATAACAACATTCTGATCCGGAGATCGACAGCTCAGATTTCAGCTGTTTTCCCTCAGTATTCCCAGCTGCCGTGACCTTGTTCTAACAACCAAAGGAAAACAAAACGTATTGAGAATTGACAGGATGCGGCGCTGATGAATGAGGCCTTTTGTCAGAGCTCGGGAAAGTGGGCGTGTCCCTGTCTTTCACAGCAGACGAGGACCAATGGGAGGCGGCGCCTGCATTAGTCCAAGTCAGTGATCTCAAAGTGGTGAAGCCAGCCCTGAACACGCCGCCTGCTCTGCTCCTCCCTCTGCTCCTCCTTCTGCTCCTCCCTGACTTTTATGACCGCGATGATGGAAAGCTTCGGGTTCCACCACACGCTCTGCTCCGACAAGAACTATGTGGAAACATTCACTTCAGTGTTAAATCATTGTCCATAATGTCCTGGATCATCTCCTGTCTCTATATTTAAGGCCAGGCTTAAAACACTCTTCTTCAGTTTAGCATTTGGTTAGGTTGTTTATCCGGTCAGGTCTTGTCCGGTCTTGGAGTCTGCGTATATGGAACCCGGTCCACTGTATCTTCAACCCTACGTTCTAGGCTAGGCTAAAACAGTCCTCTTTAGTTTAGCATATGGCTAGGAAGGTAAGACTCAGGGAAGGCTAAACTTCTTATGCCGCGTTCAGACCGGATCATGCGTTGCGTCGGCTTTCAATGCAAAGTCAATGGTGACGCACGTTTGAGCGTCTCGGAATGCACGCACGGACTACGCGGGGAAGTCGAAGGGGAGGAGCAGGAGCGGAAAATCGACGCACGCAGATGAATTTTGCTCAACATTTCCTCGGGACGTTCGTGCAGCAACCAATCAGAGAGCCGCAAAGTGGTCACAGGGACATTGCGGTCTGAGCGAGCAGACTGAACGGCACGGTGGCTGAGTGGATAGCACTCTCGCCTCTCAGCAAGAAGGTCCTGGGTTCGAATCCTGGTCGGACCAGGGCCTTTCTGAGTGGAGTTTGCATGTTCTCCCCGTGTCTGTGTAGGTTTCCTCCGGGTACTCCGGTTTCCCCTACCACTAAAAATATGTCCAATAGACATGTCTAGCATGCGCCTCCTGTACTGGCGACCCCGCTCCCATCTCTGTGTGGAGTGAGAGACAAATGCCCATAATTAACAATTGTAAACCGCTTTGAGGCTCAGATCTGCAGTGAAAAGGCGGTATATAAATAAAGATTACTACTACTACTACTGAACATACTGTTAACAGCCAAAACAGGAGCTATACCAGGACTAAACCAGGGTTGACAGTGGGGGACATAGTGCTTGTTAACATGTGAGTTTTCATGCTCCCGTGACTTTATGCAACTGCTTCGAGTGTGTTCGCCGATGCGGAAGTACCATTAAATAATAAAATAAACGTATTGCGCGCCTCCGTGAACACATACTACTGTTATATAAAGTCCGTGGAAGGTCTCTGAACACGCAAAGCTGCATTATTAGAGAAGATCTGTAGACAAGAAGCCGCTAGCAAAACTCTGTTAGCATCAGAGCCTGCCGGCTACTTCGGGCACTTCCGGCGGCGGCAGGACTTCTGGTCTGAAGACCCTTGTGTCTGAAAACTAGAGAACGTGCGTTTCAGCGTTGGCAATCTGAAAGCACCATTAGATTACTTCTGTTGTGATTTAGGGCTATACAAGAATAAATTGTATTGCATTGTGTGTGTGTGTGTCGTGTGTGTGGGTGTGCGTGTGTGTCTGTGTGTGCGCGTGTGTGTGTATGTGTCTGTGTGTTGTGTGTGTCGTGTGTGTCTCTGTGTGCGCGCGTGTGTGTGTCTGTGTGTCGTGTGTGTCGTGTGTGTCTGCATATGTGTGTGTGTCTGTGTGTCGTGTGTGTCGTGTGTGTGTGTGTGTTTCTTTAAATGCAGCTATTGTCTTTTAGTTTGTAGCGTGCCGCTAATCCCGCTCCTGATACAATCACCTCTATGCAAACACATGGGGGAGGTGTGAGGGGGGGGGGGCACAGGTGTCTACAGACTCAACACCAAAAACACTCACGCAGCCAGAGACTAATGATACACACTGTTCAGGAGGAGCAGGAGGAGCAGGAGGAGGTACTGATGCTTATACAGTGTGTTTCTGTAGGATGGCAGGGGCACAGTGTGTTTCTGTAGGATGGCAGGGGCACAGTGTGTTTCTGTAGGATGGCAGGGGCACAGTATGTTTCTGTAGGATGGCAGGGGCACAGTGTGTTTCTGTAGGATGGCAGGGGCACAGTGTGTTTCTGTAGGATGGCAGGGACACATTGTGTTTCTGTAGGATGGCAGGGGCACAGTGTGTTTCTGTAGGATGGCAGGGGCACAGTGTGTTTCTGTAGGATGGCAGGGGCACAGTATGTTTCTGTAGGATGGCAGGGGCACAGTATGTTTCTGTAGGATGGCAGGGGCACAGTGTGTTTCTGTAGGATGGCAGGGGCACAGTGTGTTTCTGTAGGATGGCAGTGGCACAGTTTGTTACTGTAGGATGGCAGGGACACATTGTGTTTCTGTAGGATGGCGGGGGTAAAGGGGGTCAGGGAGCTTTAACGCAGGGACAAAGCCTGATTTGCAGGTCAATGCGATGGCACACTCGCCTCTCTCTCTCTCCAGCTTCTCTTTGTTCCCTGATGCCAGATGGTCATGGAAAATGCTAATTCCCTTTGGTTTATTTTCTATATTTAATTGCAGTCCTCTGCACTGCCTCGTTACTGCTGCTGCTGACGCTTTTGTCCAAATCCGTCTTTGTCAAAGCTATTTTTAGTCCAGTAAAAAACAAGACACTTACTGGGTTCAATTGAATGGGTTTTTGTTACGAGACATTTATTGAATTGAAATGATGCACTTTTGGAATTGGGAAAAGTGGAGTTCATGCACACAGCAGATGTATGTAGTGTGTAATTATAATAATAAATATATAATAATATACTAGTAACATATTACAACCTAGAGAATATAACTCTTCATTAAATATTAACGCTGTTGTATTTAAACCATTGAGAAGCATCGAGTTAGGCTCCTGCTGATCAACAGCATCTATGTCGTTAATTAGCAGGATATAAACTTTAATTATAATCATTTTTTCAGCTATTGGCTTCAATAGAGTAACAGACAAAATGCCTTTTGTTCCGTGATGCGGGACGTTCTGATTGGTCCTGGATCCATGGACCTGCCATATGGCAACAAGGAGATCTCAAGACCAGACTCTAGACCAGGATCTAGACCAGGCGACAGCGGCAGAGACAGTGGCAGAGACAGAGGCAGAGACAGAGGCAGAGAGAGAAGCAGAGGCAGAGACAGAGGCAGAGACAGAGACAGAGGCAGAGAGAGAGACAGAGGCAGAGGCAGAGACAGAGACAGAGACAGAGAGAGAGACAGAGGCAGAGAGAGAGACAGAGGCAGAGACAGAGGCAGAGAGAGAAGCAGAGGCAGAGACAGAGACAGAGACAGAGGCAGAGACAGAGACAGAGAGACAGAGGCAGAGACAGAGAGAGAGACAGAGGCAGAGACAGAGAGAGAGACAGAGGCAGAGACAGAGAGAGAGACAGAGGCAGAGAGAGAGACAGAGGCAGAGACAGAGACAGAGAGAGACAGAGACAGAGAGAGACAGAGGAAGAGAGAGAGATAGAGGCAGAGACAGAGAGAGAGACAGAGGCAGAGGCAAGGCTCTTTGAGCTGGAGGAGGATGGGAACAGCTGCTGTTTCTTAAAAAGACGAAAGGCCTTAAATCCCACCTTTCCCTCAGCTGTGAACAGACTCCTCCCCCTTCGGGCTCCATCCTCATCAGGTTCCTCCCCCAGCCCCCTCCCCCTAGGATGTAGTCTATTCTAATGTTAAACAATAATGTTTGATGTAGAATGTTTTAATTTCACCGTTTGCAAAATAACAGCGAAGAAAACATCAAAGATCACAGAAACACAGAAACACAGTGTTGTTGATCCACAAAGACATAAATAATGATAAGTTAGAATAGTTTAAAATATTCACATTTACATATAAAGAATAAACATAAAGCTGTAGAATTGCACAGATGCTACATTTGTCTCCAACACCTTCATCACAAACAGGACTTTAAATAACAACAACATGAGGCAACTCAGCACCTCCTCTGCACCTCCTCAGCTCCTGCTTCAGCTACAGTCCGAGCACGAGTCCCAGGACAGGGATCAGGACCCAACAGTGCCGTGAGCTTCAGGGAAAAACACTAACGAGTCCAAAAAGCTGCAGCTTCAGAGAAACCTGCTCCTCCTGGTCCTTCAGCTCCTCAGGTCCTCCTGCTCCTTTCACAGGTCGCTGCAGGAGGTTCCACATGTTCAGCAGAAAGTAGAACAAACGAACCTGAATAAGAAGAGAACTATGAAACTCTGACATGCACATACACACACAAACATACACCACAGACACACACACTTAAACACTCACAGACACACACATAAACACACGCACACAGACACACACACACTTATTTCCTTCTTTCTCTGCTGTAATGTGTAATGTAAACACAATTCTCCTCTGTGAGACGAATAAAGGAATATCTTATCTTATCACGCACACACACACACACACACACACACACACACACACACACGGCTCCAAATAAACTCACCTTCATCGGAGCTTCTTCCTCGGGGTTTTCTCCGTGTGCTCTGGGCGGATGGCAGACTTCACATCTGTTCTGTCCACGACTTTCTTCCGTTTCACAAAGAAATCTGAGAAATAAAGAAACCGTTAAAACTTTTAAAACCGAAACGGACACGTTTAAGATTCAGATCTGGAACGTGTCTCACCGGTGACGCGTTGGTTCTCTCCCGCTGTCCGAGGCGCGTGCGTCCGTCTGCGAGACACGGGGGTCTGAGACACGGGGGACAGACACACTGGGGTCTGAGACACGGGAGACAGAGACACGGGGGTCTGAGACACGGGGCTCCTCGGTCCCGCGGGGACTCGCGTCCTGCCGCTGTGGACAGAGTCCCGGTAGAACTCCGGTAAGTCGTGCGCAGAGACCCGTCTCCACTCATAGACTCCGTCCTGAGGCGAGCTGAGCTCGAAGTTAAAGTTCCACCGGTCCCGGTCCCGGGCGCAGATCTCCCGCAGCCTCTGCGTCATGTCCTTCTGCAGCGCCTCATGATCCACGAAACCGAAGAGGTTTCTACACACGGAGCGCTTCACGGGGAGAGGGCTCCTGCGGGGGGTCAGGTCCCGGGGCTCCAGGCCGCGGAGACACTGCACCTTTGACATGTCCAGGTGTGACCAAGAAGAAGAGCAGCAGTAGAGTCCCGGGATAGAGCCGCTGATCTCTCAGTTTAAATGTTCCCAGCTCTCGGGGAATATAAACCCAGTGTGTTCGCAGCGCCGCCTCCTATTGGCTGCTCCCCCCTCACCCCCTCCTCCCCTAACTCTGCCCCTCCCCCAAACTGTGCCCCCTCCTCCTCCTCCGTTTGCACTATACTAGTGTGTGTGTATATATATATATATATATATATATATATATATATATATATATATATATATATATATACACTAAAGTCAGTGTATATATATATATACACTAGTATAGTGAGGATGTTGATGTGTGTGTTCATATATGTATGTATGTATGTGTGTGTGTGTGTGTGTGTGAGAGAGTGTGTGTGTGTGTATGTATGTATACTCTGTAATACTTTGTTACTCTGTTGTACTTGTACTCTGAGCACTCTCAGCAGATTTCGGTTGAACATGAGGAAACAGGAGATGGAGGTAGAGCGCCCCTCAGCGGCCGTAACACATGTTTAAAACTTTCAAATAAAGATAATTTGAAATAATAACAAATATGAACTTATTTTTTCTCAATGTCTGAAATGTTTAATTGAATTATTACAAGTAAGAAACTTTCAAACCACAAACTAGAGAAGCTGAAGGTGAATGACGGTGCGGCAGCGCCCTCTAGCGGCCGCTCAGGACCAGTACCCGTCACAATAGTTTTAGAAATCACTGCATCGTTGTTGTTTCACGCCAGGAAAGTTTATTTATATAGCACAGACATACACAGGGAAACACAAAGGGCTCAACAACACGAGATAGAATAAAAAACAATCATAAAGAATCAACATTTAACAGAGTAAATAAACAGAACTGTTTCTAGAGCCGTGCAGGAGGCTTTGGGCTTACGTCACAATCGAAGAAGAGATTTTTCCTCAGTGTTGTTGACAAAAACTATTTATAAAAACATGTTGATATATTGTTATGTGTTTTTAGCTAATCTCCCGCTCAGAGACTACAGCAGGAAGTTGCTCCATCTGACGTTATTTTGAAGAGCCCAAACCGGATGTTCTTGCTGTTCACCAAACCCCATGTGATGTTGCTCTGGGGAGATGTGTCTGTTGTTTTCAGCGCTGGAGACGAAACTGGAGCAAAATATAGACTTTTTCTGAACAGTTTCAACCAAATGTCATGCATTTGAGGAGATAACGCGATCGCGGGGTTTCACGCTGTCGGCGCCATAATCCATTCATTTCATCTGGTAATGTTATGTTAACCTTAGTATTATTATTATTATTATTATTCCACACACGAGTGAAGTGTCCACACGGCCCTCTAATTCTGCTGCGGGTTTGTCTTTGTTTCTCGATCACTGCCTGTAAATAGCACAAGGTCGGGTGTGTTGCTACTAATAGCATTTAGCGCTGAGGTGTAGTGGACTAAAGTGCATCCTCAACACAACAGCTTCTTTCAGGAACAGTGGGCGAATATAACCCGTTTTAAGATGTGTTTTGTTGTGTATTCGCTGTCTTTGAATCGGAGTGACTCATTTGTGACATTATTCCAAATAACCCGCAACTTTCCGTGTCATTGGATTTTCTCTCGTGTGTTTAGGACAAACTGACATAAATGAACTGATAAGTAACTTGTATTGTATTTGTAAAGATATATAGCGGTGACCAAACACAATTACAATGTCACTGCTCATTCACAGTCTGTTACTAATACGTAATAAGCACGTATCCAGCTCTATTCGAATCTGAAGGTCTCAGCAGTAATGACAGCGTGATCGTGCCGTAAAGGACAGGGGTACACTAGTCAGCAGTACACCTCCTCTGTGGTTCATTGGCAGCAATAAACCTCCTTGATAAAAGTCCTTGGTGCTGCTGCTTAAGTAAATGTTTGTGACTTGCGTAATTTGGAGAGACTGCTTGGCAACACCAGGGTAGGATTTGTGAATTGGAGAAAAGGGAAGACATAACTCATGCCCTTGTTCGACCTGAAAATCAGGTTGTGTGGAGACGTTTGCGGTGATGAAATGTGTTGATGCTGAGAGAGGGTGGGGCTCCTGTCCCCGCAGACATGACCAGGAGTGAAGCCAAAAAGGGGAATCCAGGAGGTAGTATGTCGGCCGAGGAGCAGGTCCACCCCGGGCTGGAGCAGAGCAGCTCGGAGCTGCTCAGGCCAAAGCTGATGATGAAGCAGACGTCTAAAGAAAGTGTCCTGCAGCAGAAGAACCCGGATAACCAGGTCTACGATGACGGCACCAACACCTTCTTCTGGTGAGTTCACATCATCAATGACAGTAAAAACCACTGAATCAACAAAACTGTGAGGATTCCAGAGTGTTGCAATATTTGGGCCACGATTCAATATTATTATGATTCTAAACATATTGACTCTGTGAAATATTGTGATTCCCTCGTTTTATTCAAACTTTACAAACATAATTATAGGAAAGTAAGTCTCTGTGACATGCATTATGGTCTGTACATAGACTGAAGCTAACACCGAAGTGTAGAGACCTGATCCTTAAAGATTCAGATTCTCTCTGGTCTCTCTTTCTGGTCCCTCTCTGGTCTCTCTCTGGTCTCTCTCTGGTCTCACTCTCTGGTCTCACTCTCTGGTCTCTCTCTCTGGTCTCTCTCTTTCTGGTCCCTCTCTCTGGTCTCTCTCTTTCTGATCTCTCTCTGATCTCTCTCTGGTCTCTCTCTTTCTGGTCTCTCTCTTTCTGGTCCCTCTCTCTGGTCTCTCTCTTTCTGGTCCCTCTCTCTGGTCTCTCTCTCTCTGGTCTCTCTCTGGTTTCTCTCTGGTCTCGCTCTGGTTTCTCTCTGGTCTCTGCTTTGGTCCTTCACCGTTAGCTTCCATGACTGATGACTCATAAACAGTGTTCTGTAGCTACTGAATGTGATGTAATATAATATAATATAATATAATGTAATGTCATATATGTGTTTGATTGACAGGCGCGCCCACACTGTCACCGTGCTCTTCATCTTAACCTGTGTCCTCGTCTACGTCACTGTGTTGGAGGAGACACCTCAGGACACCACCTACAACACCAAGAGGTTAGGGTTTTACTTACACCAGGACACCAGCCGGTCCACCTCCTCCTGTAGGAGACACCAGGAGGTGCAGAGGAGGTGCAGTGGTTGGTGTACAGGGAGAAGAGCAGGGGAGAAAGAACAGAGCCCTGTGGGGCTCCTGTATTTATAATCCTAGAATCAGAGACATTCTTCCCTATAGGCGCACTCGCTGCTTCCTGTCCGTCAGGAAGTCAGTGCTCCACCTGCAGTTGGAGCAGGTGGAGCACATTGAGCTGGGAGAGCTTGTCCTGGAGCAGGGATGGCAGGATTGTGTTGAAGGCAGAGCTGAAGTCCACGAACAGGACCCTGGCGTAGGTCCCCGGGGAGTTCAGGTGCTGTAGGATATGGTGGAGGGCCAGGTTAATGGTGTTGTCTACAGATCTGTTGGCTCTGTAGGCGAACTGCAGGGGGTCCAGGTGGGTGGAGGTGAACTGCAGGGGGTCCAGGTGGGCACAGGTGAACTGCAGGGGTCCAGGTGGGTGGAGGTGAACTGCAGGGGGTCCAGGTGGGTGGAGGTGATCTGCAGGGGGTCCAGGTGGGTGGAGGTGAACTGCAGGGGGTCCAGGTGGGCACAGGTGAACTGCAGGGGTCCAGGTGGGTGGAGGTGAACTGCAGGGGGTCCAGGTGGGTGGAGGTGAACTGCAGGGGGTCCAGGTGGGCACAGGTGAACTGCAGGGGTCCAGGTGGGTGGAGGCGAACTGCAGGGGGTCCAGGTGGGTGGAGGTGAACTGCAGGGGTCCAGGTGGGCGGAGGTGGACTACAGGGGGTCCAGGTGGGCGGAGGTGGACTGCAGGGGGTCCAGGTGGGCGGAGGTGAACTACAGGGGGTCCAGGTGGGCGGAGGTGGACTGCAGGGGGTCCAGGTGGACTGCAGAGATGGACTGCAGGGGGTCCAGGTGGACTGCAGAGGTGGACTGCAGGGGGTCCAGGTGGGGGGAGGTGAAGGACTTGAGAGGAGAGAGGACAAGGCGCTCAAATGACTTCATGACTACAGACGTCAGTGCCACAGGTCTGTAGTCCTTGAGTCCAGTGATCCTGGGCTTCTTAGGGACAGGGACTATGATTGAGGATTTGAAGCAGGGACTTGGCAAGACTTCAGAGAGGTGTTGAAGATGTCAGTGAAGACGCTCTGTGTGCCGGGCCTTGGCCGCTTTGAGTTCGTATATATTACCTGAAGGTAGTTCACGTTAGCTTCTTTGCTATATTAGCTGCAGGTAGTGCACATTAGCTTCTTTGCTATATTAGCTGCAGGTAGTGCACATTAGCTTCTTTGCTATATTAGCTGCAGGTAGTGCACATTAGCTTCTTTGCTATATTAGCTGCAGGTAGTGCACATTAGCTTCTTTGCTATATTAGCTGCAGGTTGTTAAAGGTTTGTCTGTTTTCAGAGGAATCGTGGCCAGTATTCTGGTCTTTCTGTGTTTTGGAGTCACTCAGGCCAAAGATGGACCCTTCACCAGACCTCACCCAGGTAAGAGAGGAGGAGGAGGAGAGAGGACAAAGAGGAGAGAGAGGAGGAGGAGAGGAGAAGGAGGAGAGAGAGAGGAGAGAGGAGGAGTAGTGGGGGAGAAAGAGTAGGGGAGAGAGAGCTAAACCAGGACTAAAGTTAGTGAACATAATGTTTTCATCCTGAGTTTCTACTGTGACCGTAAACAAGTGCTAAGTTCCGCCCACCACAGAGGGTCTCTGTAATCTGAGACTAGGATCTCTGTAATCTGAGACCAGGATCTCTGTAATCTGAGACCAGGATCTCTGTAATCTGAGACTAGGATCTCTGTAATCTGAGACCAGGATCTCTGTAATCTGAGACTAGGATCTCTGTAATCTGAGACTAGGATTTCTGTAATCTGAGACTAGGATCTCTGTAATCTGAGACTGGGATCTCTGTAATCTGAGACTAAGATCTCCGCAATCTGAGACTAAGATCTCCGCAATCTGAGACTAAGATCTCCGCAATCTGAGACTAGGATCTCTGTAATCTGAGACTAGGATTTCTGTAATCTGAGACTAGGATCTCTATAATCTGAGACTGGGATCTCTGTAATCTGAGACTAGGATCTCTGTAATATGAGACTGGGATCTCTGTAATCTGAGACTATGGTCTCTGTAATATGAGACTAGGGTGTCTGTAATCTGAGACTAACTGAGGGTCTCTGCAGCGTACTGGAGGTTCTGGCTCTGCGTCAGTGTGGTCTACGAGCTCTTCCTCATCTTCATCCTCTTTCAGGTAACACACATCTGCCTCAGCTTCCTCTAATCCCACATCTGTAATCCTGTAATCCTGTCTTCCCCATCAGACGGTCCACGATGGTCGGATCTTCATGAAGTACATCGACGCCAAACTTGGGGTCCCGCTCCCGGAGCGCGACTACGGCGGGAACTGTCTGGTATACGACGCTAACTCCACCGACCCCTTCCACAACATCTGGGTAAGACTATTGTCCTGGTCTACAGCCTCAGTCCTGGGTCTACAGCCTCAGTCCTGGGTCTACAGCCTCAGTCCGGGGTCTACAGCCTCAGTCCTGGGTCTACAGCCTCAGTCCTGGGTCTACATCCTCAGTCCTGGGTCTACAGCCTCAGTCCTGGGTCTACATCCTCAGTCCTGGGTCTACAGCCTCAGTCCTGGGTCTACAGCCTCAGTCCTGGGTCTACATCCTCAGTCCTGGGTCTACAGCCTCAGTCCTGGGTCTACAGCCTCAGTCCGGGTCTACATCCTCAGTCCTGGGTCTACAGCCTCAGTCCTGGGTCTACAGCCTCAGTCCGGGGTCTACAGCCTCAGTCCTGGATCTACAGCCTCAGTCCTGGGTCTACAGCCTCAGTCCTGGGTCTACAGCCTCAGTCCTGGGTCTACAGCCTCAGTCCGGGGTCTACAGCCTAAGTCCGGGATCTACAGCCTCAGTCCTGGGTCTACAGCCTCAGTCCTGGGTCTACAGCCTCAGTCCGGGGTCTACAGCCTCAGTCCGGGGTCTACAGCCTCAGTCCGGGATCTACAGCCTCAGTCCTGGGTCTACAGCCTCAGTCCTGGGTCTACAGCCACAGTCCGGGGTCTACAGCCTCAGTCCGGGTTCTACAGCCTCAGTCCGGGATCTACAGCCTCAGTCCGGGGTCTACAGCCTCAGTCCGGGGTCTACAGCCTCAGTCCGGGGTCTACAGCCTCAGTCCGGGGTCTACAGCCTCAGTCCGGGATCTACAGCCTCAGTCCTGGGTCTACAGCCTCAGTCCTGGGTCTACAGCCTCAGTCCGGGGTCTACAGCCTCAGTCCGGGATCTACAGCCTCAGTCTGGGGTCTACAGCCTCAGTCCTGGGTCTACAGCCTCAGTACGGGGTCTACAGCCTCAGTCCGGGGTCTACAGCCTCAGTCCGGGGTCTACAGCCTCAGTCCGGGGTCTACAGCCTCAGTCCGGGGTCTACAGCCTCAGTCCTGGGTCTACAGCCTCAGTCCTGGGTCTACAGCCTCAGTCCTGGGTCTACAGCCTCAGTCCGGGGTCTACAGCCTCAGTCCTGGGTCTACAGCCTCAGTCCTGGGTCTACAGCCTCAGTCCTGGGTCTACAGCCTCAGTCTGGGGTCTACAGCCTCAGTCCTGGGTCTACAGCCTCAGTCTGGGGTCTACAGCCTCAGTCCTGTGTTTACAAACATCTAACATGTTGTAATGATGCTTTAGGACAAGATGGACGGATTCGTGCCGGCTCACTTCCTGGGATGGTACATCAAGGTAACTGCTGCTACGAAACTACTCTTTGTACCTTTGTTTGTACCTTTGTATCAGTACCTTCAGATCTACTTGTGTGTCTTTGGTAATATCTAACTTAAAGCTTACAGTCTTGTGCTATACCAATAACCTTGTGTTTCCTTGCAGACTCTGATGATCCGCGATTGGTGGATGTGTATGATCATCAGTGTGATGTTCGAGTTCCTAGAGTACAGCTTGGAGCACCAGCTGCCGAACTTCTCTGAGTGCTGGTGGGACCATGTGGGTATAAAGAACCAGCATCATACACTTCTGCGGTCACATGCGCAGCCTAAAGCCCGGTTTAAGTGGGCCAGGGCCCACTTCGCGATTAGATTCGGGCTTTAGGTCCCATGTGACTGTGCCATGTGGGCTTCAGCACGATTGCAGGAATCGTGCTGAAGCCCGGTTCAAGACTTGGGCCAGGGCACACTTTGCAGCGCGGATGAGGGGGGTCAGTGTTGCGGGTGGTGGGGAGTGGGGGATGAGGTGTGGTGGGGACATGATATTGTGCGTCACATTACGTCTTCCTGTGACGGGCATTTTCACACACGTCTCTCCTGCACTTTCGTATTCTCCGCTTGTGTTAAACCTGTCATATAAGCCCCGTGGGGAGTGTGTGGCTGCAGGGCGTGCGTGCGTGCGTGCATTTGTGTCCGCAGCGCGCGCACACACACACGCACACGCACACGCATGTTACCCACTAAACTGGTGTGTAATGGTTTCTCTCTCCCCCACAGTGGATCATGGACGTGCTGGTGTGTAATGGTTTGGGGATCTACTGTGGGATGAAGACTCTGTCGTGGCTTTTCATGAAGCCGTATCAGTGGCAAGGACTGTGGAGCATCCAGTCCTACAAGTACGACCTGTGACGTCACTGTGACATCACTGTGACGTCACTGTGACGTCACTGTGACGTCACTGTGATGTCACTGTGACGTCACTCACATCAGTGTGACGACATAATTCTTCCTCTGTTCCACCTCCTCTTCCCACTCATCCTTCTCTCTCCTCATCCTTCTCTCTCCTCTTCCTCATCTTCCTCTTCCTCTCTTCCAGGGGTAAGATCAAACGTATAGCGTTCCAGTTCACTCCGTACAGTTGGCTGAAGTTCGAGTGGAAACCGGCGTCAAACCTGCGGCGCTGGTTAGCAGTGCTGGGCATCATCTTTATGGTAACTAAAATAAAGATTATTTACTTACTTACTTACCTTCATGGTATCACCTTCATGGTATCACCTTCATGGTATCATCTTCATGGTAACTACCTTCATGGTATCATCTTCATGGTAACTACCTTCATGGTATCATCTTCATGGTAACTACCTTCATGGTATCACCTTCATGGTAACTACCATGAAGTACCATACTACTACTAGATTAGTACTAATTTATTACCAGTTTAATACTAGATTATTACTAGTTTAATACTATATTATTAGTAGATTAATACTAGATTATTACTAGTTTAATACTATATTATTAGTAGATTAATACTAGATTATTACTAGTTTAATACTATATTATTAGTAGATTAATACTAGATTATTACTAGTATTGGAGGAAGGTTTAGTTTGTAGCAGAAGCTTGGTACAGTCTAATCTCTTCTTTAAAGCTTTAATCCTTTGATCCTGACGTCAGAGTTGTTTACACACAGGACTCATCAGAGATTTTCAAAATAAAGCTTTTAACTCTGTCCTGTAACAACGCACTGAGGCCACTTTATTTATAGAGCACCAAGTTCCAATGGAAAAGGAAAATACAGAGCAAACATGCAAAGATCATATATTTGTAAAACTGGTGTCTGTGTGTGTCTCTGACCCCTGTGTGTGTCTGTGTGTGTAGTTCTTGTTGGCTGAGCTGAACACCTTCTACCTGAAGTTCGTTTTGTGGATGCCTCCGGAACATTACCTGGTTCTGCTGCGACTCGTCTTCTTCGTGAACGTGGGCGGGGTCGCCATGAGAGAGATCTACGACTTCATGGACCATCCGTGAGTCACACACACCTCCTTAACTCATGACTGCCAGCCATTTTGGATGACTTCACTGATTTTCAAGACTCACAGAATATTGTGTGATATGACTATGAAAAATATGAAACCAGAGTCTGAAAGACAGGACTGTCTACTTTCAGCAGCAAAAATAAGTTTGTTTTTAGCTTGTTTCGTTCTCCTGGGATCTCCAGTCGAAAAGAGGGCAGTGTGACTAAAAGCACCAGTCTTGAGGTTGTGAAAACAGACGAACCTGCAGAAAAGGGACTGTGAAACTATTTAGTTTAACTTTAGCATCTCCTCAAACATGTCCAGTGTCTTACATGTTAGAAAACACTTTAGTGTCTCACACATGATCCAGGATCATACGTGTTTTATGGCACACACACCCACATCCACCCAGCCTGGTCGTACCACACCTTAGTACAAATTTCATTTCATACTAAGGTCTGGATTTGCTCCATTGAGCTCCGTGAACAGGTGGGAGGGGTTAACTCCTTTTGCAGATTGAAACGATTGGATCTGAGTTTACCGTGACGTATGTAGTGCGCCCGAGTGTGTTGTTAGCATTTAGCATTTAGCCTAGCTTTAGCCATCTCCTTTGCTGCTAATGGAGCCTTTGGGGAGTAGTGCCACAATCTTGACCAGCGTTTACATTTGCTAAACATTCCTCTTGCTCCTGCTACAATTTCTTGATAGAACCAGACCGGATTACTTTACTATCGCACTCTGACCCTCCACATGGTCTGCTGCTCTGACCCTCCACATGGTCTGCTGTTCTAACCCTCCACATGGTCTGCTGCTCTGCCCCTCTACATGGTCTGCTGTTCTAACCCTCCACATGGTCTGCTGTTCTAACCCTCCACATGGTCTGCTGTCCTGACCCTCTACATGGTCTGCTGTCCTGACCCTCCACATGGTCTGCTGTCCTGACCCTCCACATGGTCTGCTGTTCTAACCCTCCACATGGTCTGCTGCTCTGCCCCTCTACATGGTCTGCTGTCCTGACCCTCCACATGGTCTGCTGCTCTGCCCCTCTACATGGTCTGCTGTCCTGACCCTCCACATGGTCTGCTGTTCTAACCCTCCACATGGTCTGCTGCTCTGCCCCTCTACATGGTCTGCTGTCCTGACCCTCCACATGGTCTGCTGCTCTGCCCCTCTACATGGTCTGCTGTCCTGACCCTCCACATGGTCTGCTGTTCTAACCCTCCACATGGTCTGCTGCTCTGCCCCTCTACATGGTCTGCTGTCCTGACCCTCCACATGGTCTGCTGCTCTGCCCCTCTACATGGTCTGCTGTCCTGACCCTCCACATGGTCTGCTGCTCTGACCCTCCAAATGGTCCTCCACATGGTCCCTGACTATATTCTTCCTGCTTCTCTTCTGCTCACAGTGCTCAGACAGTGAACTTTGACTAAGGCACCCACAGAGCTCTGCTGCCCCCTGCTGGCTCTATAAAACACTGTTTACAGCCAAACCCCAACATACTGTATATGATACAAGGAATATAAACACCCAGTCCTGGGTCAACGTGCCTCAGTCCTGGGTCAACGTGCCTCAGTCCTGGGTCTACGGCCTCAGTTCCGGGTCTACGGCCTAAGTCCTGGGCCGAAAGCCACGTTCAGACCGGATCATGCGTTGCGTCTGCTTTCAATGCAAAGTCAACGGTGACGCGCGTTCGAGCTGCGCGGGAAAGTCAAAGGGGAGGAGCAGGAGCGGAAAATCGACGCCCACAGGAGATAAACTTTTGTCAACCTTTCCTCGGAACGTTCGTGCAGCGACCAATCAGAGAACCGCAAAGTGGTCACGGGGACATTAGCGGACTGAGCGAGCAGACTGAACATACTGTTAACAGCCAAAACAGAAGCTACATCAGGACTAAACCAGGGTTGACAGTGGGGGACATAGTCCTTGTTAACATGTGAGTTTTCATGCTCCCGTGACTTTATGCAACTGCTTCGAGTGTGTTCGCCGATGCGGAAGTACAGTTTATTAATAAAATAAACGTATTGCGCACCTCCGTGAACACATGTTATATAAAGTCCGTGGAAGGTCTCTGAACACAGGCACGCTGCAAAGCTGTATTATTGGAGAAGATCTTTACACGAGAAGCCGCTAACTCTCTTAGCATCAGAGCTGGCCGGCACTTCCGGCGCTGGTCAGGACGTTCTGGTGTGAAGACCCGTGCGTTTCAAAACTAGAGAATGCGCGTCTGGTGAGCGGGGCTTCAGCGTTTGAGCGTTTGCGCGTTTGCGGTCTGAACGCGGCCTCAGTCCTGGGTCTACGGCCTCAGTCCTGGGTCTACGGCCTGTGGTTTCATGCAGATGTTTCTTCCTGTCCTCAGTAAGTTCCATAAGAAGTTGGGGCAGCAGGCCTGGATCGTTGCCGCCATCACTGTGACAGAGTTCCTGATCGTGGTGAAGTACGACCCCCACACCCTCATGCTGCCCATCCCCCTCTTCATCATCCACTGCTGGACCCTGGGCTTCATCCTCATCGTGTCCTGGACCCTCTGGAGGTTCTTCATACGGTGAGTTTACAGACACCGACATCACTCAGTGACATCACTCAGTGACATCACTCAGTGACATCACTCTCTCTCCTCAGTGACGTCACTCTTCGATACAAAGAAACTCAGAAAAAGAAACAGGAAGTTCCTCTCGGCAACGGATCCACTCCCAGCGGCCGCAGCAAACTCAACGGCAGCTCGGACTCAGTCCGACAGAGGAAGTCCTGAGACCAGACCAGAGACCAGACCAGAGACCAGACCAGAGACCAGACCAGAGACCAGACCAGAGACCAGACCAGAGACCAGACCAGAGACCAGACCAGAGACCAGACCAGAGACCAGACCAGAGACCAGACCAGAGACCAGACCAGAGACCAGACCAGAGACCAGACCAGAGACCAGACCAGAGACCAGACCAGAGACCAGACCAGAGACCAGACCAGAGACCAGACCAGAGACCAGACCAGAGACCAGACCAGAGACCAGACCAGAGACCAGACCAGAGACCAGACCAGAGACCAGACCAGAGACCAGACCAGAGACCAGACCAGAGACGAGACCAGACCAGAGACCAGACCAGAGACCAGACCAGAGACCAGACCGCAAACCAGACGGCAAACCAGACCGAAGACCAGACCGATGGATGTATAGTGGAAAAGCTGGAGCCAAACGAAGGAATCAGCCAAAACATTATGACAAGACAAGTTTATTTGTTTAGAACAGTTGGAATTCAAAAACTGAACAAAACTCGAAAAGAAACAATCGCACAAAGCTTTAAAAACAACTGTTTTTACCTGGATTTGATCAGTCAGAGAAGAAGCATGTCTCACACTTTCAGGAAGACTGCTCCAGACTTTAGCTTCTGAACACAGAGAGTTAGAGGGTGAGGCTCAGAGGGTGAGGGTTAGAGGTTGAGGGTTAGAGGTTGAGGCTCAGAGGGTTAGGCTCAGAGGGTTAGGCTCAGAGGGTGAGGCTCAGAGGGTTAGGCTCAGAGGGTGAGGCTCAGAGGGTGAGGCTCAGAGGGTGAGGCTCAGAGGGTGAGGCTCAGAGGGTTAGGCTCAGAGGGTGAGGCTCAGAGGGTGAGGGTCATGGTCGTAATGTTTTGGCTGCTCCGTGCAGTCGTGCCACAGCCGTTTACCTCATAGTCTTATTTTGTGGGTTTTGTTTCGATCTTTTCAGATTAGATTTAATATTTGTTTTATTTCCAACAGTTGTTTTTGCACTAAAAGAACTTGGAAGTTTTACTGAGACCAAAACAAAGGACTTAAGGAGAATCAGGAACGTGTTTATTCTTTTTTTAATGAATGCACAGATTTTATCTATAACTCATTACAGTCGTCATGGTAACACAACCAAGAGAGAGACCAGAGAGAGAGACCAGAGAGAGAGACCAGAGAGAGAGACCAGAGAGAGAGACCAGAGAGAGAGACCAGAGAGAGAGACCAGAGAGAAGTATATTATTGACGTCTGTTTTGACTGTAATCCTCCATTTGTTTATTTAAAATTGTTAAAACCACATTTTATTTTATTTGGGTAAAAATCAACAGAACTTTTTCTGAAGCTTTAAAACAACATCAGAGGAAGTTTATTTCTGTCTTTGTTCTTTGTGGTAGAAAAACTGTACAAAATGTAACATATTTAGGTTTTCAAATTGTGTCAACACTAAACGTTAGAGGCGGATTTAGCGCCGTTTGGACGATCGTGAGACTTTTGTGTTTGGATAATTTTGCCAAAGTTTCTTTTTTGCTAAACACAAAGAGCCAGAGCTGTCATTTTGACTGCTTCCATTCAGACCAATCAAGAATGTTTAGTTTTCCTCCAGATTTATGTAGAATAAGCTTTGCTAAAACTGGAGGCTCATGCTAACTGCCACAAGTAAAAGTGTGTTGCTATGGTAATAAGGAACTGAACTGATCTAAAATGCTTTTCAGTGAAAGCCTAAAGAAAGTCGGTTTCTGTTTAAAAACATTTGATTTAGACGCCATCAATGCCATCAATTTTTTATGTTATTTAAATTGTATTGTGGTCTGTGTTTTGTATCATTAGCTGATCTTTATAGAACCTTTGGTTCGTGTAATGTGACATCACAGTCATGTGGAGAAAGTGGACCTCGACCAAAACACATGCTGCTGTATTTGGTTTTATAATCTTTGCAATAAAAAAAAATCCAACATGAGTTTTTCTTCCCCGTGTTTCCCAACCAGAGAAACGCGGACCCCTAGGGGTCCAAGAGGGAATTACAGCGACTGTGGCATTTATACTATCCGTTTCCTCCAATAGAATCCTAACCCAGAAGTTAGATTAGAGAGAACAGAGACCAGAGTGAGATTAGAGAGAACAGCGAGACCAGAGTGAGATTAGAGAGAACAGAGGAGCAAGAAGTCTCTCTAGTGTCTCTCTGATTAGAGACCAGAGTGACACCAGAGCGAGATTAGAGACCGGAGAGAGAGAGCGACCAGAGCAAGATTATTTTCAGGTCTTTATTTCAGGCGTCCAACAAAAACATGAAAAGGTTGTGAATGTTTCTTTATTGCAGTTTTAAATGATCTCAAAAGTATCAGAAACATCTGTAATGATAGTTTTCCCGCACGTTTAAGGCACATAAACGTTTAACTCACTCAAACTTCAAGGTCATTCAAATATAAAAATACTAAGAGTGAATCCTTATAAAAACACTTCAGTAACTAGAGTCAATATGAAAATCATACGAGCCAGTAATAAACACATGGATCTGTTTGGTGTGAAAACTGTCTTTGGTTTGAAATCCACATCAATAGTCAAACTCTTTCTCTCTCCCTCCCTCCCCCCCCCAAACTATTAAAACTGAAAACTGTTTTCAAAGTCATGTTTCTGCAGCAGTCTCAAGGGCTTCGGTTTGCCTCCAGTCCGGTGTGAAGACCCGAGACTACAGCCGTTACTGGGTCTGAAGACGTCACTGCGATAATAGACGCTGTTGTGTTGTATGTGTTTTTGTAATTTACTACTTTGACCTTTTACAAAGTAACGAACAAATGCTCAAGAACAATCAGTGATAAAACTTGAAAAATCTCATTTTTGCTGTCAACAAATTTCCGGACAATAAACCGCTGCTTTGTTCTTGTCCTTTGATCCCACGGCTAATATAGCGATGAAGCTAATGTGTGTATTTTTTATTATGGCAGACTGTTTTAGTTGCTAAAAGACACTGGTTTATTGTAAACGTAGATGAAGCTGAACAGTCTGCTACATTAAACATGACAATCTGCGGCTTATATTCAGGTGAGGCTAATAGTCCAGAACGTTTTTCAAAGTGAGTTTTTTGGGGACAGAACTGAAGCATCAGTCAAACTGGTCCGGTGTCGTAACAGGTATTCATTCCGACAGCAGGAGCACAGCAGACTCCACACATTTCCTCATGTAAATCCAGTCTGAACCTGAAGACCTGAACCTAACCCTCAGGTCTTCAGGTTCATACTCAACTAAGTTAAAGTGTTTTCTATGGATTTGGTCACAGCTGTTATTTACCACGGGTGCAGAGTTTACAGGGAGTGTACTTCTCTTCGTTACAAGCGTTTGAACGCCTCCGTTACGAGCGTTTGGAAGTCTTCATAATGAGCGTTTGGAAGTCCTCGTTACTAGCGTTTGGAGGTCTTCGTTACGAGCGCACCAGCTTGAAGCCCTGTCCTGTGTCCAGAACAGCAGGAGGGAACCATGTGAGCTTGAACCTCTTCAAACATCGCAGACAGAGGCCACAGAGCCACAGCGCGTCCAGCCGGCCGCACCACAGCGCCCCCTGCACCAGAGGGAGGGTAATGCGTGGGAAGAACGCCCCCCAGTGGTGACACACGTCACTGTCAGAAGGTAAGTGCAGACTGTAGTCCCCCCAGGGTTTGGACACACCATAGACAGCTCTCACCGCAGTCCCGCCGTCCGACCACCGGAGGTCGCTGTGCGGGTTACAGTTATACTCCACCCACTGCGCCGTGAAGTCTCCGAGCTGCAGCGCCCCCTGCAGAGAGGGAGGTTAGTGACGTCTACAGCGCCCCCTGCAGAGATGGAGGTTAGTGACGTCTACAGCGCCCCCTGCAGAGATGGAGGTTAGTGACGTCTACAGCGTCCCCTGCAGAGGGGAAGGTTAGTGACGTCTGCAGCGCCCCCTGCAGAGAGGGAGGTTAGTGACGTCTGCAGCGCCCCCTGCAGAGAGGGAGGTTAGTGACGTCTGCAGCGCCCCCTGCAGAGAGGGAGGTTAGTGACGTCTACAGCGCCCCCTACAGAGAGGGAGGTTAGTGACGTCTACAGCGTCCCCTGCAGAGAGAGAGGTTAGTGACGTCTACAGCGCCCCCTGCAGAGATGGAGGTTAGTGACGTCTACAGCGCCCCCTGCAGAGAGAGAGGTTAGTGACGTCTACAGCGCCCCCTGCAGAGATGGAGGTTAGTGACGTCTACAGCGCCCCCTGCAGAGAGGGAGGTTAGTGACGTCTACAGCGCCCCCTGCAGAGAGAGAGGTTAGTGACGTCTACAGCGCCCCCTGCAGAGAGGGAGTTTAGTGACGTCTGCAGGGCCCCCTGCAGAAAGGGAGGTTAGTGACGTCTACAGCGCCCCCTGCAGAGAGGGAGTTTAGTGACGTCTACAGCGCCCCCTGCAGAAAGGGAGGTTAGTGACGTCTGCAGCGCCCCCTGCAGAGAGGGAGGTTAGTGACGTCTACAGCGCCCCCTGCAGAGGGGAAGGTTAGTGACGTCTGCAGCGCCCCCTGCAGAGAGGGAGGATAGTGACGTCTGAGGCGCCCCCTGCAGAGGGAGTACCTGGAGGAAACCTACGCAGACACGGGCAGAACATGCAAACTCCACTCAGAAAGAGCCTGTTCCGACCAAAATTCAAACCCAGAACCTTCTTGCTGAGACGCGAGAGTGCCAACTCAGCCAACGTGCCGCCCAAAATGTGAATGTGAAGGGTGTGAATGGTTGGTGGTGGTGGGAGGGGCTGATGGCACAGACTAATTGCCTCACTACCGTCAGTGTGCCCCAGGGCAGAAAAGCGCTGTATTAAACAAACGCATTATCAAAAATAGATGTTAGACACAAACACACACCTGTATGTGTGTAGCCCCCTGCACAGCTACGTAAACACCGTCCAGGCCCCGCACACCGTTGACCCACGGCGCCGCATTCTCACAGTCCAGGACCACAATGAGCCGAGAGCAGAACCCTCCATTCTTCTCCTTCCACAGATCCACCAGCTGCTGCAGACTTAGACTGTCGCCCCCTGCAGGAGAAAAAGCAGAACAGGATTAAACAACATACATACACACTCTCTGGTCTCTCTCTCTCTCTCTCTGGCCTCTCTCTCTCTCTGTCTCTGGTCTCTCTCTCTCTCTGGCCTCTCTCTCTCTGTCTCTGGTCTCTTTCTCTCTCTCTGGCCTCTCTCTCTCTGTCTCTGGCCTCTCTCTCTGTCTCTGGTCTCTCTCTCTCTCTCTCTGTCTCTGGTCTCTCTCTCTCTGTCTCTGGTCTCTCTCTCTCTGTCTCTGGCCTCTCTCTCTCTGTCTCTGGTCTCTCTCTCTCTCTCTCTGGTCTCACCTGCCAGGGCCCAGTCCCCAGAGGGGTGTGTGTGTCCGCTGTAGTAGAGGACGTAGGTGTCGTGCCGGGGTCCGTCTGTGGTCCTGAGGTCGAGGAAAGAGCTGAGTTTGTTGTGTAGTGTATCCATAGCGACGCCGCAGGTGGAAAAGTCGCAGCCGAACGACTCGATGAAGTGATGAGACAAGAACCTCTGCACAGAACCCAGCATCGCACTGGAACGGAGGTTTAACTCACACACGGACTCAGGGGGGAGCAGAGTGGGCTGGCCGTCTGGACTGAGGAAGAGAAAGAGAAAGAGAGAGAAGAGAGGGGGGAGAGAGAGGAGAGAGATGAGAGAGAGGATGTGTTTTATATCACACTGATGATTTTACTACATAATAATACTGTAATGTGTGTGTGTCACAAATGTTCAAGTCTATATTAAAGTCTAGAGTAAAGTCTAGCCGCGGTCATATAGCACCTAAAGCCCGGATCAAATCGCGAAGTGGGCTCAGGCACACTTTAACTGGGCTTTAGGGTGCGCATGTGACTGCAGCCTAAAAGTCTAACCTGCAGTAGTTGGTGGGGATGACCAGGCCGTAGTCCACACTGGTGTCTATATTAAAGTCTAGATTAAAGTCTAACCTGCAGTAGTTGGTGGGGATGACCAGGCCGTAGCCCACACTGGTGCCTCCGAGGCTGCGGCTCAGTTCATAAAACAATCCATGAAACAGAGATTCCAGCGGAAAAACCAGCAGCAGAAAACTCAGGAACAAACTGCTGGACGCCTGAAAAAACAAGTATTTGATGTTGGTCACATGGTACAGTCCTGGGTTAGGGTTAGCCCAACCTCTGTATAGTATGTATTTAGTGTGTATCTAGTATGTATACAATGTGTATATAGAGTGAATATTTATACATACAGTACAGACCAAAAGTTTGGACACCCTTTCTCCTTCATGACTATTGCCTGTAGATCCACACCAGGCTGTGTAAGTGCTGTTTGACTAATTGAGTGGCTGCATAGACTATATGCCACTATATGCTCTTGCTTTCTTCTTCTTACGGCTTCCACCAGATTTTGGCACTTTTCAACTCTTCGACGCTTTCACAAAATTCAACAAATTATACATCGTTACAACCGGCTTCACCGTCTCATTATTGCTATTACTTTTCACACTTCCACCTTTTGCACTTTTTTCCATTGACTTACATTGGACCAGTACAAAATTGCCCCCATACAACACATTCTTCTTCTTCTTCTATGCAGCCACTCACAATGGCTTCAGCCTTTGTACCATTTCTAGTTATTATAGATATTACATATATTAGATATTACAGTCTTGAAAGAGTTCCCATGATGCTCCTCTGTCCCAGCACCATCACTCACTACTAGAAATGGTACAATGGCTTCAGCCATGGCTCTATAATAATCACATGGATCTATAATAACATAATAACATGGCTCTATAATAATAACATGGATCTATAATAATAACATGGATCTATAATAATCACATGGATCTATAATAATAACATGGATCTATAATAATCACATGGATCTATAATAATAACATGGATCTATAATAATAACATGGATCTATAATAATCACATGGATCTATAATAATAACATATGGATCTATAATAATCACATGGATCTATAATAATAACATGTATCTATAATAATCACATGTATCTATAATAATCACATGGATCTATAATAATCACATGGATCTATAATAATCACATGTATCTATAATAATAATCACATGGATCTATAATAATCACATGGATCTATAATAATCACATGGATCTATAATAATCACATGGCTCTATAATAATCACATGGCTCTATAATAATAACATGGATCTATAATAATAACATGGATCTATAATAATCACATGGATCTATAATAATCACATGGATCTATAATAATCACATGGATCTATAATAACATAATAACATGGATCTATAATAATCACATGGATCTATAATAATCACATGGATCTATAATAATCACATGGATCTATAATAATCACATGGATCTATAATAATCACATGGATCTATAATAATCACATGGATCTATAATAATCACATGGATCGATAATAATCACATGGATCTATAATAATAATAATATGGATCTATAATAATCACATGGATCTATAATAATAATAATCACATGGATCTATAATAATCACATGGATCTATAATAATCACATGGATCTATAATAATCACATGGATCTATAATAATCACATGGATCTATAATAATCACATGGATCTATAATAATAACATGGATCTATAATAATCACATGGATCTATAATAATCACATGGATCTATAATAATCACATGGATCTATAATAATCACATGGATCTATAATAATCACATGGATCTATAATAATCACATGGATCTATAATAATCACATGGATCTATAATAATCACATGGATCTATAATAATCACATGGATCCACGTCTCTGAAGCCAAGTCCATAGAGCACCAGCCTCATCATTGAGGGGCTGATGCTCTATGGACTGGGTACATGTCTGACAGGCAGCCCCCCGACCCAGAAATGGATTAAGGGGAAGAAAATGGATGGATGAATATCCTAATGCATCATGGGATCACCCACGCTCAAGCGGGCTCCGGACGTCACTTGAGCACAAGGGTGGTTTTTAAGGGTGTGAGGGCCCTCGCCTCTTCTCCCTAAGTATTGGGACACCCTACAACCCCCGCGGGCACAAGCTACATCTAAGCAAGAGAGCTTTTAAAGGGCAAGGGTGAGAATTGGGACGGGGCCTTAGTCTCCCCTACAGCAGGATGCTGCCCCTCCCTCACTCTGATGACAGTGTTAGTCTCCTCTACAGCAGGATGCTGCCCCTCCCTCACTCTGATGACAGTGTTAGTCTCCTCTACAGCAGGATGCTGCCCCTCCCTCACTCTGATGACAGTGTTAGGCCATGTCCCAATTCTCACCCTTGCCCTTAAAAACCACCCTCGCCCCAAGTGAGGTCCAGAGCTCACTTGGGGCGAGGGTGATCCCATGATGCATTAGGATAGCTGTTGGGCAAAGCCGCGCCACAATAAAAGAAAACACCATGAAACACCCTCACCATGTTATTATTATCTTGTGGCTCAAGATTGCGCCTGGTACGGTCGCCACGGTGCTCTCTGTTTCTTTTGTTTTTACTTTTTAACTGTGCATCTGGCTGTTCCTACACCCGTGAGGAACTTGTGAACATCCGACCCACCATTCCCATGGACCTATTGCCTGTTTTCTGGGCATCTGCGGCTGATTTAGTCCATGTTCTAGCCAAAAAAGTGTGGGCCCGTAAAAGGGGAAAGCGTGGAGGCCTGCTTGTGCGTCTGAGGAGGAGAGGAGCGCCCACGGCTCTCCCCGGCATTTTTCTCTCCAACGTACGCTCACTGGGCAATAAGACGAACTCAGCCTGCTCATGAGAAGAAACAAGGACTTCATCCTGTGTCCTCTGCTTCACTGAGACCTGGTGTCCTCTGTGTCCTCTGCTTCACTGAGACCTGGTGTCCTCTGTGTCCTCTGCTTCACTGAGACCTGTGTCCTCTGTGTCCTCCATTGTGCGCTCTCAGGGAAGAGCAGAGGCGGTGGGCTGTGTTTCTACGTCAATACAAACTGGTGTAACGATGTGACAGTGATCTCCAAGCACTGCTCTCCTGCTCTGGAATATCTTTTCATCATTGTAACATTTACTTGCCATTCTGTTCACATACCGCCATGCGCGGACGCAGAGCAAGTACTGTGTATGGAACGTTTATACCCGGACTCTCTGATTATTATCCTGGGGGATTTTAATAAGGGAAACTTGAGCCAGGAATTACCCAAATACAGACAGTTTATCAAATGCCCGACCAGAGAGGAGAACACTCTGGATCACTGCTACACCACCGTGCGCGGAGCTTTTCGCGCTGTTCCCAAAGCAGCCCTCGGCTTCTCAGATCACTCCATGATACATCTGGTTCCTGCTTACAGACAGAGACTAAAGCTCTCGAAACCTGCAGTGAGGAGCTCCAAAGTGTGGTCTGATGAAGCTGTGGAAGAGCTGCGCGCATGCATGGAATCTACAGACTGGGACCTTTTCAGAGCTGCCACAGATAGTTTGGATGAATACACGGACACTGTGACGTCATACATTCACTTCTGTGAGGATAGCATCATTCCAACAAGGACCAGGGTCATCTATAACAACGACAAACCCTGGTTCACTGCTAAACTCCGGCAGCTCAGGAAAGCAAAGGAGTCTGCTTTCAGGGAGGGGGACCGCAGCGGCTACAAAGCAGCTAAATATCAGTTCAGGAGAGAACTGAAAGCAGCCAAGTCCCGGCACAGAGAACGACTACAGGAGCAGTTTGGTAACAACGATACTGCTTCTGTCTGGAGGGGCCTACGGGAGATCACCAACTACAAACCCAAAGCCCCCCCCGTGCTGACGACCACAGACTAGCCAACGACCTGAACAGGTTTTTCAGTCGCTTTGATGCTGCCCAAGACACCTCCCCCCCCCCCCCCCCCCTACTCTAACGACCCACCCATCAGCCCTGCCCCCAGCCTGACAATAGCCTCTAAAGATATTAAACAACTCTTCTTGAGGCTGCACCCCCGCAAAGCTCCTGGCCCGGACCACTGCTTCAAATCTTCCATCATTGTCCCCGTCCCGAAGAAGAAGAAGCCCAGGATCACAGGACTCAACGACTACAGACCTGTAGCACTTACGTCTGTCGTCATGAAGTCATTTGAAGCAGCGAGTGCGTCTGGGGAAGAATGTCTCGGACTCTCGGATTATAAATACAGGCGCCCCACAGGGCTGTGTTCTTTCTCCCCTGCTCTTCTCCCTGTACACCAACCACTGCACCTCCAGCCACAACTCCGTGAAGCTGATCAAGTTCGCAGACGACACCACCCTCATTGGACTCATCTCCAACAACGATGAGTCCGCCTACAGGAGGGAGGTGGACCGGCTGGTGTCCTGGTGTCTCCTACAGGAGGGAGGTGGACCGGCTGGTGTCCTGGTGTCTCCTACAGGAGGGAGGTGGAACGGCTGGTGCCCTGGTGTCTCCTACAGGAGGGAGGTGTCCTGGTGTCTCCTACAGGAGGGAGGTGGAACGGCTGGTGCCCTGGTGTCTCCTACAGGAGGGAGGTGTCCTGGTGTCTCCTACAGGAGGGAGGTGGACCGGCTGGTGTCCTGGTGTCTCCTACAGGAGGAGGTGGACCGGCTGGTGTCCTGGTGTCTCCTACAGGAGGAGGTGGACCGGCTGGTGTCCTGGTGTCTCCTACAGGAGGGAGGTGGACCGGCTGGTGTCCTGGTGTCTCCTACAGGAGGGAGGTGGACAGGCTGGTGTCCTGGTGTCTCCTACAGGAGGGAGGTGGACCGGCTGGTGTCCTGGTGTCTCCTACAGGAGGAGGTGGACCGGCTGGTGTCCTGGTGTCTCCTACAGGAGGAGGTGGACCGGCTGGTGTCCTGGTGTCTCCTACAGGAGGGAGGTGGACCGGCTGGTGTCCTGGTGTCTCCTACAGGAGGGAGGTGGACCGGCTGGTGTCCTGGTGTCTCCTACAGGAGGGAGGTGGACAGGCTGGTGTCCTGGTGTCTCCTACAGGAGGGAGGTGGACCGGCTGGTGTCCTGGTGTCTCCTACAGGAGGAGGTGGACCGGCTGGTGTCCTGGTGTCTCCTACAGGAGGGAGGTGGACAGGCTGGTGTCCTGGTGTCTCCTACAGGAGGGAGGTGGACCGGCTGGTGTCCTGGTGTCTCCTACAGGAGGGAGGTGGACCGGCTGGTGTCCTGGTGCAGTGGTAACAACCTGGAGCTGAACGCCCAGAAGACAGTGGAGATGATTGTGGACTTCAGGAAGAGCACTGTCCCCCCGCCCCCACCCTCCGTGATGGACTCCCCCATCACCTCTGTGGAGTCCTTCCGTTTCCTGGGCACCACCATCACCCAGGACCTCAAGTGGGAGCCGACCATCAGCTCCTCATCAAGAAGGCCCAGCAGAGGATGTACTTCCTGCGGCAGCTCAGGAAAGCCAAGCTGCCTGCACAGATGTTGACCTCCTCCATCACCTCCTCCATCACCTCCTCATCACCTCCTCCATCACCTCCTCCATCACCTCTTCCATCACCTCCTCCAGCACCTCCTCCATCACCTCCTCCATCACCTACTCCAGTACCTCCTCCATCACCTCCTCCAATACCTCCTCCAGCACCTCCTCCATCACCTCCTCCATCACCTCCATCCTCACCTCCTCCATCACCTCCACCATCACCTCCTCCATCACCTCCTCCATCACCGTGTGGTTCGCTGGAGTCAGTCATTTTTCATCTATTTTAATTTTAATTTTAAATGTATTCCTTAGAAGTGTTTTGTATTGTTTTTATTTTATCTTATTCTCTCTCTCTGACTGTTGCACTGAGCAAAAGCAATTTCCAAGTCTGTGACCTCCTGTTAATACGTGGCAATAAAAATGATTCTGATTCTGATTATAGATCCATGTTATTATTATAGATCCATGTTATTATCATAGATCCATGTTATTATCATAGATCCATGTTATTATTATAGATCCATGTTATTATCATAGATCCATGTTATTATTATAGATCCATGTTATTATTATAGATCCATGTTATTATTATAGATCCATGTTATTATTATAGATCCATGTTATTATTATAGATCCATGTTATTATCATAGATCCATGTTATTATCATAGATCCATGTTATTATTATAGATCCATGTTATTATTATAGATCCATGTTATTATTATAGATCCATGTTATTATTATAGATCCAGGTTGATGAATCTAACAGGTTGATAACATGAATCTAACAGGTTGATAACATGAATCTAACAGGTTGATAACATGAATCTAACAGGTTGATAACATGAATCTAACAGGTTGATAACATGAATCTAACAGGTTGATCACATGAATCTAACAGGTTGATAACATGAATCTAACAGGTTGATAACATGAGTCTAACAGGTTGATAACATGAATCTAACAGGTTGATAACATGAATCTAACAGGTTGATAACATGAATCTAACAGGTTGATAACATGAGTCTAACAGGTTGATAACATGAATCTAACAGGTTGATAACATGAATCTAACAAGTTGATAACATGAATCTAACAGGTTGATCACATGAGTCTAACAGGTTGATAACATGAATCTAACAGGTTGATAACATGAATCTAACAGGTTGATAACATGAATCTAACAGGTTGATAACATGAGTCTAACAGGTTGATAACATGAATCTAACAGGTTGATAACATGAATCTAACAAGTTGATAACATGAATCTAACAGGTTGATCACATGAGTCTAACAGGTTGATCACATGAATCTAACAGGTTGATAACATGAATCTAACAGGTTGATAACATGAATCTAACAGGTTGATCACATGAATCTAACAGGTTGATAACATGAATCTAACAGGTTGATAACATGAATCTAACAGGTTGATAACATGAATCTAACAGGTTGATAACATGAGTCTAACAGTCTAACAACAGGTTGATAACATGAATCTAACAGGTTGATAACATGAATCTAACAGGTTGATAACATGACCTGTAATGAAACCAAGGCGAATAACAAGATGATACTACATTAATTTGAGGAGTTAGTCTTTTGAACATTTTGGGTAAATGTGCTTGTTTCAAATCATTATTCTGTATATTCCTGTTTATTTATTTAGGCTGTGTGTGTTTGTTAGTGTTCATGGAAACCATCACATTTGAACATTTATAGCACCAAAGGACAGTGTTATTGTTGGTAACGTTACACAGTATTTGGGTCTAGTTTCCACAGGGCTCACTCGTGTTACTTGAAAAAGAGCTCCATGTAAAGGAATGATCAAAAACATGTGTTCCACAACTCGAACTCTTGAACACTAAATGATATTTGCTGAGTTGTCTCTGAAATAAAGTAGCAACGGTAAGAACACCGTATGGCTCCTTAAGGTGCGTTCAGACCAAACGCGTTTTCTGCGGCAAAATCGCGTCTGACGCGCGTCTTGGGACGCTTGTGACAAATTGTGGCAGACACTGTCACAGAGCATCTTGGAGGCGCGTCACACGCGTCCAGGACACTAGAGGGCAGCGTTCTGGAGCCGCGTCACACGCGTCCAGGACACTAGAGGGCAGCGTTCTGGAGGCGCGTCACACGCGTCCAGGACACTAGAGGGCAGCGTTCTGGAGGCGCGTCACACGTGTCCAGGACACTAGAGGGCAGCGTTCTGGAGGCGCGTCACACGCGTCCAGGACACTAGAGGGCAGCGTTCTGGAGCCGCGTCACACGCGTCCAGGACACTAGAGGGCAGCGTTCTGGAGGCGCGTCACACACGTCCAGGACACTAGAGGGCAGCGTTCTGGAGCCGCGTCACACGCGTCCAGGACACTAGAGGGCAGCGTTCTGGAGGCGCGTCACACGCGTCCAGGACACTAGAGGGCAGCGTTCTGGAGGCGCGTCACACGCGTCCAGGACACTAGAGGGCAGCGTTCTGGAGGCGCGTCACACGCGTCCAGGACACTAGAGGGCAGCGTTCTGGAGGCGCGTCACACGTGTCCAGGACACTAGAGGGCAGCGTTCTGGAGCCGCGTCACACGTGTCCAGGACACTAGAGGGCAGCGTTCTGGAGGCGCGTCACACGTGTCCAGGACACTAGAGGGCAGCGTTCTGGAGCCGCGTCACACGTGTCCAGGACACTAGAGGGCAGCGTTCAGGACGTTGTCCAGGACACTAGAGGGCAGCGTTCTGGAGCCGCGTCACACGCGTCCAGGACACTAGAGGGCAGCGTTCTGGAGGCGCGTCACACGCGTCCAGGACACTAGAGGGCAGCGTTCTGGAGGCGCGTCACACGTGTCCAGGACACTAGAGGGCAGCGTTCTGGAGGCGCGTCACACGTGTCCAGGACACTAGAGGGCAGCGTTCTGGAGGCGCGTCACACGCGTCCAGGACACTAGAGGGCAGCGTTCTGGAGGCGCGTCACACGTGTCCAGGACACTAGAGGGCAGCGTTCTGGAGCCGCGTCACACGCGTCCAGGACACTAGAGGGCAGCGTTCTGGAGGCGCGTCACACGTGTCCAGGACACTAGAGGGCAGCGTTCTGGAGCCGCGTCACACGCGTCCAGGACACTAGAGGGCAGCGTTCTGGAGGCGTGTCACACGCGTCCAGGACACTAGAGGGCAGCGTTCTGGAGGCGCGTCACACGTATCCAGGACACTAGAGGGCAGCGTTCTGGAGGCGCGTCACACGTGTCCAGGACACTAGAGGGCAGCGTTCTGGAGGCGCGTCACACGTATCCAGGACACTAGAGGGCAGCGTTCTGGAGGCGCGTCACACGTATCCAGGACACTAGAGGGCAGCGTTCTGGAGGCGCGTCACACGTGTCCAGGACACTAGAGGGCAGCGTTCTGGAGGCGCGTCACACGTATCCAGGACACTAGAGGGCAGCGTTCTGGAGCCGCGTCACACGCGTCCAGGACACTAGAGGGCAGCGTTCTGGAGGCGTGTCAAGAAAGAGCGTTTTGAGGCAGGCCTGCTCTGTTGCCAACACAACTCAGAGGGAAGGACACGGGAGCCAGGATTAAGGTAAAAAGTGTAAAATACGCTTTAATTAGGACATAAAGTTACTTCTAATAACATTTGAGGCGAGAAATACCCCCCTCTATTGTCATATCGGAGGTCTGCTTGGTGATCAAATAGAACAGTGTCGGACTTTTCTCCAGTGCAGAGAGCGGGGGTCGGGCAGTGCTCAAGCCGAGAAAGAGCGTCTCAACTCGGGGACACATCAGTGGAGCTCTTTTTTGTTTTGTTACAGACTTTCTCTATTATAACAATTGTATTGGCAGTAATCATTCGTTTTTACAAAGTCATAGTGTATATAAACAATGCACACATATGCAATAAATGATTTATGATTGATTTATTTGCTATGGCCCTCGTTTGTGCATCACTTACATAAATGTAATAACGTGTGTTTTATGATGAGAAAGGAATTTCCATGGATCTATAATAATAATAATAAGCACATCCATGGATCTATAATAATAATAAGCACATCCATGGATCTATAATAATAATAAGCACATCCATGGATCTGTAATAATAATAAGCACATCCATGGATCTGTAATAATAATAAGCACATCCATGGATCTATAATAATAATAAGCACATCCATGGATCTATAATAATAATAAGCACATCCATGGATCTGTAATAATAATAAGCACATCCATGGATCTATAATAATAATAAGCACATCCATGGATCTGTAATAATAATAAGCACATCCATGGATCTGTAATAATAATAAGCACATCCATGGATCTATAATAATAATAAGCACATCCATGGATCTATAATAATAATAAGCACATCCATGGATCTATAATAATAATAAGCACATCCATGGATCTGTAATAATAATAAGCACATCCATGGATCTGTAATAATAATAAGCACATCCATGGATCTATAATAATAATAAGCACATCCATGGATCTATAATAATAATAAGCACATCCATGGATCTATAATAATAATAAGCACATCCATGGATCTATAATAATAATAAGCACATCCATGGATCTGTAATAATAATAAGCACATCCATGGATCTGTAATAATAACGAACATCAGTAAAAAGCAGTTGAACACAGGAAAGGAACTGCTCTTTTTGAAGTCCAGAAAAGCAACAGACTGTCACTGATCAGATTAGAGTTGAATGTATTCCATTAGAACTTAGTACTGCTGACAAATATGTACCTGTGTCAATAATACCTTATTTTTCATGACTCTTTAAAATTCAGACACAAAAAACTAAATAATTATAACACCAACAAGTTTTATGTTTTATTTTTTATTTCCAGGCTCTGAAGGTGTCAGAGGCAGACGCCCAGGACTCTGCTGTTGCTCCTGCTGCTGCTCCTCCTGCTGTTGCTCCTGTTGCTGCTGCTCCTCCTGCTGTTGCTCCTGTTGCTGCTGCTCCTCCTGCTGTTGCTCCTGTTGCTGCTGCTCCTCCTGCTGTTGCTCCTGTTGCTGCTGCTCCTCCTGCTGTTGCTCCTGTTGCTGCTGCTCCTCCTGCTGTTGCTCCTGTTGCTGCTGCTCCTCCTGCTGTTGCTCCTGTTGCTGCTGCTCCTCCTGCTGTTGCTCCTGTTGCTGCTGCTCCTCCTGCTGTTGCTCCTGTTGCTGCTGCTCCTCCTGCTGTTGCTCCTGCTCCTGCTGTTGCTCCTGTTGCTGCTGCTCCTCCTGCTGCTGCTCCTCCTGCTGTTGCTCCTGCTCCTGCTGTTGCTCCTGCTCCTGCTGTTGCTCCTGTTGCTGCTGCTCCTCCTGCTGCTCCTCGTCTTCAGAGATGCAGAGCCCTCTGTTCTAACTATTCAAGACTGATGATTAAATAAACATGAAAATATGTTTGTTGTAGTTCATATTGTTAATCCGCAGTGAAGCAGGAGATGATGGAGGTGAAGCAGGAGGTGATGGAGGTGAAGCAGGAGGTGAAGCAGGAGGTGATGAAGGTGAAGCAGGAGGTGATGGAGGTGAAGCAGGAGGTGAAGCAGGAGATGATGGAGGTGAAGCAGGAGGTGATGGAGGTGAAGCAGGAGGTGAAGCAGGAGGTGATGGAGGTGATGGAGGTGAAGCAGGAGGTGATGGAGGTGAAGCTGGAGAAACAATGCCGTGTGATGTTGTTGCTGTCAGAGAAAGTTCCATTTCACCAAAAGTCTCTGAAAAAGAACAAACATCATGTTAAAACATGGACACCTCAAAATAAAATACATAAATCCTTCCTGTATTTAATATTAGAGGCACACTCTGAGGAGGAACACAAGAACAATATATTGGACATATACACACAAATACAATTTACGAGTGTTGCTAACCACTTTAAACCTTTTGGAAGTGAGACTGTCATCTGCAAATGTCCTTTATTAATGACAAAAGAAACATGTGTATAATGTGCTCTTATTTCATCATTGTATTTATCAGACTATTGTATGAAAAGTGCTTCATAATAAGACATATATATACAGTAAATGTTAATTATACAGTATTCCCAGTCTTAGTATGGGATTATAAATTATATACACAATCTATTTTATATGAATACAGATAACAGTATTTACTACATGTTAGAATACTACATGTTAGAATACTACATGTTAGAATACTACATGTTAGAATACTACATGTTAGAATACTACATGTTAGAATACTACATGTTAGAATACTACATGTTAGAATACTACATGTTAGAATACTACATGTTAGAATACTACATGTTAGAATACTACATGTTAGAATACTACATGTTAGAATACTACATGTTAGAATACTACATGTTAGAATACTACATGTTAGAATACTACATGTTAGAATACTACATGTTAGAATACTACATGTTAGAATACTACATGTTAGAATACTACATGTTAGAATACTACATGTTAGAATACTACATGTTAGAATACTACATGTTAGAATACTACATGTTAGAATACTACATGTTAGAATACTACATGTTAGAATACTACATGTTAGAATACTACATGTTAGAATACTACATGTTAGAATACTACATGTTAGAATACTACATGTTAGAATACTACATGTTAGAATACTACATGTTAGAATACTACATGTTAGAATACACACCTGAATGAACACACCTTTAAGGTGCGTTCAGACCAAACGCGTCTTGAGCGTCCAAAGCGTCGGGTTTAGGCCTGTTTCACACCGCACGCCGAGCGCACGCCGAGCGCACGCCGAGCGCACGCCGAGCGCCCTTTCCAGCCGAACTACCTGGCGGCGAGCGCATGTATTCAGACTGACGCCGAGCGTGGGCGAAGCGCCTAGACGAGTAGCACGCACAAAAGGAGTAGTATTGTACTCCAAACTAATAAACATGTTGTATATTTACATATGTTGAAATCAAAATAGCACATGTAGACCTTAAATAAATTGCTAACATTTCCTTATAATGTATCTTATAGCCTATTTTGATTGTCGTTTCATTATCATAGTGTGGTGCTGTTTTTTGTGTATTGGACCTGCCCATGTCAGGACTAGGCTTCTGGCCAAAGGTTAAACCTGTTCTGTTTTGGGGGAGGGGGAGTGACGAGGGTTTTACATTGGGTCTCTCCAAGGTGAAATGAAGTTGATGATCAGAGACTGAAATTCACAGAAAAAAACATTCCAGATGTTAAAAACATTCAAACAGATGAATTCAGGTTCATTTAAAATTCAACTCCTGATGGAACAGATAATCCGTCTTTTTTTGTTTTCATTGAAAAAAAAAAAGTTGAATATTTTGAAGGTGAATATGTCATCACTAAAAATGTGTAAACTGAATTTTTAGTGACTGAAATGTAAAGATAAAAATATTTCACCTTGGAGAGACCCATGAGGGAAAATGCAGTTAGAAGTTTAGGATTGAGCATGTTTGGCGCCCTAGGCCCGGGAGAGATGCTGTTGAGTGCGGCGCTTCATCGCACGCATAATCCCCCCCGGGGCCTAGGCACTGGTGACGGCAGAGGCAGTAGGCAAGCACGCTTCGATGAGAGAAGGAGGAGGTGGGGCGGCAGAGGCAGTAGGCGAGCACGCTTCGATGAGAGAAGGAGGAGGTGGGGCGGCAGAGGCAGTAGGCGAGCACGCTTCGATGAGAGAAGGAGGAGGTGGGGCGGCAGAGGCAGTAGGCGAGCACGCTTCGATGAGAGAAGGAGGAGGTGGGGCGGCAGAGGCAGTAGGCGAGCACGCTTCGATGAGAGAAGGAGGAGGTGGGGCGGCAGAGGCAGTAGGCGAGCACGCTTCGATGAGAGAAGGAGGAGGTGGGGCGGCAGAGGCAGTAGGCAAGCACGCTTCGATGAGAGAAGGAGGAGGTGGGGCGGCAGAGGCAGTAGGCGAGCACGCTTCGATGAGAGAAGGAGGAGGTGGGGCGGCAGAGGCAGTAGGCGAGCACGCTTCGATGAGAGAAGGAGGAGGTGGGGCGGCAGAGGCAGTAGGCAAGCACGCTTCGATGAGAGAAGGAGGAGGTGGGGCGGCAGAGGCAGTAGGCGAGCACGCTTCGATGAGAGAAGGAGGAGGTGGGGCGGCAGAGGCAGTAGGCGAGCACGCTTCGATGAGAGAAGGAGGAGGTGGGGCGGCGGAGGCAGTAGGCGAGCACGCTTCGATGAGAGAAGGAGGAGGTGGGGCGGCAGAGGCAGTAGGCAAGCACGCTTCGATGAGAGAAGGAGGAGGTGGGGCGGCAGAGGCAGTAGGCAAGCACGCTTCGATGAGAGAAGGAGGAGGTGGGGCGGCAGAGGCAGTAGGCAAGCACGCTTCGATGAGAGAAGGAGGAGGTGGGGCGGCAGAGGCAGTAGGCGAGCACGCTTCGATGAGAGAAGGAGGAGGTGGGGCGGCAGAGGCAGTAGGCGAGCACGCTTCGATGAGAGAAGGAGGAGGTGGGGCGGCAGAGGCAGTAGGCAAGCACGCTTCGATGAGAGAAGGAGGAGGTGGGGCGGCAGAGGCAGTAGGCAAGCACGCTTCGATGAGAGAAGGAGGAGGTGGGGCGGCAGAGGCAGTAGGCGAGCACGCTTCGATGAGAGAAGGAGGAGGTGGGGCGGCAGAGGCAGTAGGCGAGCACGCTTCGATGAGAGAAGGAGGAGGTGGGGCGGCAGAGGCAGTAGGCGAGCACGCTTCGATGAGAGAAGGAGGAGGTGGGGCGGCAGAGGCAGTAGGCGAGCACGCTTCGATGAGAGAAGGAGGAGGTGGGGCGGCAGAGGCAGTAGGCGAGCACGCTTCGATGAGAGAAGGAGGAGGTGGGGCGGCAGAGGCAGTAGGCGAGCACGCTTCGATGAGAGAAGGAGGAGGTGGGGCGGCGGAGGCAGTAGGCAAGCACGCTTCGATGGTGAGAAGGAGGAGGTGGGGCGGCAGAGGCAGTAGGCGAGCACGCTTCGATGAGAGAAGGAGGAGGTGGGGCGGCGGAGGCAGTAGGCGAGCACGCTTCGATGAGAGAAGGAGGAGGTGGGGCGGCGGAGGCAGTAGGCAAGCACGCTTCGATGAGAGAAGGAGGAGGTGGGGCGGCGGAGGCAGTAGGCAAGCACGCTTCGATGAGAGAAGGAGGAGGTGGGGCGGCAGAGGCAGTAGGCAAGCACGCTTCGATGAGAGAAGGAGGAGGTGGGGCGGCAGAGGCAGTAGGCGAGCACGCTTCGATGAGAGAAGGAGGAGGTGGGGCGGCAGAGGCAGTAGGCGAGCACGCTTCGATGAGAGAAGGAGGAGGTGGGGCGGCGGAGGCAGTAGGCGAGCACGCTTCGATGAGAGAAGGAGGAGGTGGGGCGGCAGAGGCAGTAGGCAAGCACGCTTCGATGGTGAGAAGGAGGAGGTGGGGCGGCAGAGGCAGTAGGCGAGCACGCTTCGATGAGAGAAGGAGGAGGTGGGGCGGCGGAGGCAGTAGGCGAGCACGCTTCGATGAGAGAAGGAGGAGGTGGGGCGGCAGAGGCAGTAGGCAAGCACGCTTCGATGAGAGAAGGAGGAGGTGGGGCGGCAGAGGCAGTAGGCGAGCACGCTTCGATGAGAGAAGGAGGAGGTGGGGCGGCAGAGGCAGTAGGCAAGCACGCTTCGATGAGAGAAGGAGGAGGTGGGGCGGCGGAGGCAGTAGGCAAGCACGCTTCGATGAGAGAAGGAGGAGGTGGGGCGGCAGAGGCAGTAGGCAAGCACGCTTCGATGAGAGAAGGAGGAGGTGGGGCGGCAGAGGCAGTAGGCGAGCACGCTTCGATGAGAGAAGGAGGAGGTGGGGCGGCGGAGGCAGTAGGCGAGCACGCTTCGATGAGAGAAGGAGGAGGTGGGGCGGCGGAGGCAGTAGGCGAGCACGCTTCGATGAGAGAAGGAGGAGGTGGGGCGGCGGAGGCAGTAGGCGAGCACGCTTCGATGAGAGAAGGAGGAGGTGGGGCGGCGGAGGCAGTAGGCGAGCACGCTTCGATGAGAGAAGGAGGAGGTGGGGCGGCAGAGGCAGTAGGCAAGCACGCTTCGATGGTGAGAAGGAGGAGGTGGGGCGGCAGAGGCAGTAGGCGAGCACGCTTCGATGAGAGAAGGAGGAGGTGGGGCGGCGGAGGCAGTAGGCGAGCACGCTTCGATGAGAGAAGGAGGAGGTGGGGCGGCAGAGGCAGTAGGCAAGCACGCTTCGATGAGAGAAGGAGGAGGTGGGGCGGCAGAGGCAGTAGGCGAGCACGCTTCGATGAGAGAAGGAGGAGGTGGGGCGGCAGAGGCAGTAGGCAAGCACGCTTCGATGAGAGAAGGAGGAGGTGGGGCGGCGGAGGCAGTAGGCAAGCACGCTTCGATGAGAGAAGGAGGAGGTGGGGCGGCAGAGGCAGTAGGCAAGCACGCTTCGATGAGAGAAGGAGGAGGTGGGGCGGCAGAGGCAGTAGGCGAGCACGCTTCGATGAGAGAAGGAGGAGGTGGGGCGGCGGAGGCAGTAGGCGAGCACGCTTCGATGAGAGAAGGAGGAGGTGGGGCGGCGGAGGCAGTAGGCGAGCACGCTTCGATGAGAGAAGGAGGAGGTGGGGCGGCGGAGGCAGTAGGCGAGCACGCTTCGATGAGAGAAGGAGGAGGTGGGGCGGCGGAGGCTTGCAGACTTCAGAAGGCCGGGAAGTGGGCGTCTCCGGCTTTTAACTTGCTGTCCTGGTGGTTATTGGTGGATTAGATGTGGGCGTTGCTGGTATGATGAGTCGAGGAAGAGCGGCTTGTAGGTCTACCACAGTGAACTTTCGCGAAAGCTCCATTCAAATATGCTTTTTCAGGGTTAAAAATTTCAAACGGAAAAATTCAAGCTAAAACAAATTCAAAATCTGACACAAAAAAATCTTCCATAGAATCTGTGCTGAAATCACACACATCCATGTTGTGTGTCAGTTGTGTGTCAGTTGTGTGTGACGTGGAACATGTTTGTGGCGTCCATTTGCACATTGTCCCCTAGATCCAAGTCCCATTTCTCAGGGAGAATATCCTGCGAGCCCTGACCTCTGACCTCTGACCCTTGAGCCCTGACCCCGGACCTATGACATCTGACCCCTGACCTCTGACCCCTGAGCCCTGACCCGTGTACTCGGCCAATCAGCTGCCAGCCCAAAGAGTCAGAGAGGACCATGTGGTGTTTCAGCAGGTCTCATGGGGAACGCTTCAGGGAAGACCAGACCTGCTCCTCAAGATGCTCGCCATCAGACGCAAAGTCACACAGACCAGACCCAGGACCAGACCCAGGACCAGACCCAGGACCAGACCCAGGACCAGACCCAGGACCAGACCCAGGACCAGACCCAAGACCAGACCCACGACCAGACCCACGACCTGCAACACCAGACACAGGACCTGCAACACCAGACACAGGACCTGCAACACCAGACACAGGACCTGAGAGACCAGGTCCAAACCCTGAAAGACCAGGTCCAAGCTCTGAAAGACCAGGTCCGAGGTCTCCAGGAGGAGCTGAGTAACCACACGGGGAGAGTGACCCAACTGGAGATGGTGTTAGACCACAACACACGAGCAAAGGTGAGAAGAATAAGGTCTTTCTCTGGTCCAGACCAAGGTCTTTCTCTAGTCCAGACCAAGGTCTTTCTCTAGTCCAGACCAAGGTCTTTCTCTGGTCCAGAATGAGGTCTTTCTCTGGTCCAGAGCAAGGTCTTCCTTTGGTCCAGAGCAGCCCCAGAGATGAGGCAATCCTGGTCTACAAAAGAACTTTGCAACTGTGTTTATCTTTGTTCCCAGGAGAGACCCAAGTCCACCTCGGGACTGTCCAGACCCGAGTCCACCTTGGGACTGTCCAGACCCGAGTCCACCTCGGGACTGTCCAGACCTCCTAGTTTGAAGACCCGCCCCCAAAGTTCAAAGACACGCCCCCCCAGCCTCAGGACACGCCCCCAAAGTGTGAGGAGCAAACGCAGAGGAGCGAAATCTGGAGTTTCAGCTGAACCTTCACCAAAGGTCTACGAGTCCAGAGAGCCCACCCCAGTCCCGAAAGACCTGGGGTAAGACCAGAGACCAGGACCAGAGACCAGGACCAGGGACCAGAGACCAGGACCAGAGACCAGGACCAGAGACCAGAGACCAGGACCAGAGACCAGGACCAGAGACCAGGACCAGGGACCAGAGACCAGGACCAGAGACCAGGACCAGAGACCAGGACCAGAGACCAGGGACCAGAGACCAGGACCAGAGACCAGGACCAGAGACCAGGACCAGGGACCAGAGACCAGGACCAGAGACCAGAGACCAAGACCAGAGACCAGGACCAGAGACCAGGACCAGAGACCAGAGACCAGAGACCAGAGACCAAGACCAAGACCAGAGACCAGAGACCAGGACCAGGACCAGACACCAGAGACCAGGACCAGGACCAGAGACCAGGACCAGGGACCAGAGACCAGGACCAGAGACCAGGACCAGAGACCAGAGACCAGAGACCAGAGACCAGAGACCAAGACCAGAGACCAGAGACCAGGACTAGAGACCAGGACCAGAGACCAGAGACCAAGACCAGACACCAGGACCAGAGACCAGGACCAGAGACCAGAGACCAGAGACCAGGACCAGAGACCAGGACCAGAGACCAAAGACCAGGACCAGAGACCACAGACAGAGACCACAGACTGAGACCACAGACAGCTGAACACTGTCTCCCCCTGTCTCCCCCGTTTCCCCCCCATCTCCCCTCCTGTCTCCCCTCCTGTCCCCCCTCCTGTCTCCCCCCGTTTCCCCCCCATCTCCCCTCCTGTCTCCCCTCCTGTCCCCCCTCCTGTCTCCCCCCGTCTCCCCCCCATCTCCCCTCCTGTCTCCCCCGTCTCCCCCGTCTCTCCTGGTCTCCCCCCCGTCCCCCCTCCTGTCTCCCCTCCTGTCTCCCCCGTCTCCCCCGTCTCTCCTGGTCTCCCCCCCGTCCCCCCTCCTGTCTCCCCTCCTGTCTCCCCCGTCTCCCCCGTCTCTCCTGGTCTCCCCCCCGTCCCCCCTCCTGTCTCCCCTCCTGTCTCCCCCGTCTCCCCCGCCTCTCCTGGTCTCCCCCCCGTCCCACCTCCTGTCTCCCCCCGTCTCCCCCTCAGTGTGCGGGTGCAGCTGCTGAATGCTCTGATGAAGAACCAGTTCCTGAAGCGTTTGGAGGCGGAGCCTCTGCGTCACATGGTCGACTGTATGCACCAGCAACACTACCAGCAGGGGGCGCTAGTGACACAGCAGGGAGAGAGAGGGCACCACCTGTTTGTGTTGGCAGGTACACACACACACACACACACGCACACACACACACACACACTCACACACACACACACACACACACACACACACACACACACACACACACACACACATGTGAGACACACACGCACACACACACACATACGTACACACACACACAGACACACACACGCAGACACACACACAGACACACACACACACACAAACACACAGACACACATACACAGACAAACACACACACACAGACACACACACACACACACAAACACAAACACACACACACACACAAACACACACACACACAAACACACAGACACACATACACAGACACACACACACAAACACACACCCACAGACACACACACAGTTCTACCTATAAATCATTGATTGACCTGGTTCCAGGGTCAGTCCCAATTGTGATGTTGGTCTGCTATTGGCTGATGTGTGTGTGTCTGTGTGTGTGTGTGTGTGTGTGTGTCTGTGTGTGTCTGTGTGTGTGTGTGTGTGTCTGTGTGTGTGTCTGTGTGCCTCTGTGTGTGTGTGTCTGTGTGTGTCTGTGTGTGTCTATGTGTGTGTGTGTGTGTCTGTGTCTCTGTGTGTGTGTTTGTAGTTGGGAGTCTTGAGGTCCTTCAAAACCAGGTCCAGATTTCGTGTCTTGTTCCTTGGACGACGTTTGGAGAACTGGCTCTGCTCTACAACTGCACCAGGACAGCAACCATCAAAGGTACCAGGACAGCAACCCTTGAAGGTACCAGGACAGTTACTATCAAAGGTACCAGGACAGCAACCATCAAAGGTACCAGGACAGCAACCATCAAAGGTACCAGGACAGCAACCCTTGAAGGTACCAGGACAGTTACTATCAAAGGTACCAGGACAGCAACCATCAAAGGTACCAGGACAGCAACCATCAAAGGTACCAGGACAGCAACCCTTGAAGGTACCAGGACAGTTACTATCAAAGGTACCAGGACAGCAACCATCAAAGGTACCAGGACAGTTACTATCAAAGGTACTAGGACAGCAACCATCATAGGTACCTGGACAGTTACTATCAAAGGTACCAGTACAGTTACTATCAAAGGTAGCAGGACAGTTACTATCAAAAGTACCAGGACAGTTACTATCAAAGGTACCAGGACAGTTACTATCAAAGGTACTAGGACAGTTACTATCAAAGGTACTAGGACAGTTACTATCAAAGGTACTAGGACAGTTACTATCAAAGGTACCAGGACAGTTACTATCAAAGGTACTAGGACAGTTACTATCAAAGGTACCAGGACAGTTACTATCAAAGGTACTAGGACAGTTACTATCAAAGGTACCAGGACAGTTACTATCAAAGGTACCAGGACAGCAACTATCAAAGGTACCAGGACAGTTACTATCAAAGGTACCTGGACAGTTACTATCAAAGGTACCTGGACAGTTACTATCAAAGGTACCAGGACAGTTACTATCAAAGGTACCAGTACAGTTACTATCAAAGGTACCAGGACAGTTACTATCAAAAGTACTAGGACAGTTACTATCAAAGGTACCAGGACAGTTACTATCAAAGGTACCAGGACAGTTACTATCAAAGGTACTAGGACAGTTACTATCAAAGGTACTAGGACAGTTACTATCAAAGGTACCAGGACAGTTACTATCAAAGGTACTAGGACAGTTACTATCAAAGGTACCAGGATAGTTACTATCAAAGGTACTAGGACAGTTACTATCAAAGGTACCAGGACAGTTACTATCAAAGGTACCTGGACAGTTACTATCAAAGGTACCAGGACAGTTACTATCAAAGGTACCAGGACAGTTACTATCAAAGGTACCAGGACAGTTACTATCAAAGGTACCAGGACAGTTACTATCAAAGGTACCAGGACAGTTACTATCAAAGGTACTAGGACAGTTACTATCAAAGGTACCAGGATAGTTACTATCAAAGGTACTAGGACAGTTACTATCAAAGGTACCAGGACAGTTACTATCAAAGGTACCTGGACAGTTACTATCAAAGGTACCAGGACAGTTACTATCAAAGGTACTAGGACAGTTACTATCAAAGGTACCAGTACAGTTACTATCAAAGGTACCAGGACAGTTACTATCAAAGGTACCAGTACACCTACTATCAAAGGTACCAGGACAGTTACAATCAAAGGTACCAGGACAGCAACCATCAAAGGTACCAGGACAGTTACTATCAAAGGTACCAGTACAGTTACTATCAAAGGTAGCAGGACAGTTACTATCAAAGGTACCAGGACAGTTACTATCAAAGGTACCAGGAAAGTTACTATCAAAGGTACTAGGACAGTTACTATCAAAGGTACCAGGACAGTTACTATCAAAGGTACTAGGACAGTTACTATCAAAGGTACCAGGACAGTTACTATCAAAGGTACCTGGACAGTTACTATCAAATGTACCAGGACAGTTACTATCAAAGGTACTAGGACAGTTACTATCAAAGGTACCAGGACAGTTACTATCAAAGGTACCAGTGCAGTTACTATCAAAGGTACTAGGACAGTTACTATCAAAGGTACTAGGACAGTTACTATCAAAGGTACCAGGACAGTTACTATCAAAGGTACTAGGACAGTTACTATCAAAGGTACCAGGACAGTTACTATCAAAGGTACTAGGACAGTTACTATCAAAGGTACCAGGACAGTTACTATCAAAGGTACCAGGACAGTTACTATCAAAGGTACCAGGACAGTTACTATCAAACGTACCAGGACAGCAACTATCAAAGGTACTAGGACAGTTACTATCAAAGGTACTAGGACAGTTACTATCAAAGGTACCAGGACAGTTACTATCAAAGGTACTAGGACAGTTACTATCAAAGGTACCAAGACAGTTACTATCAAAGGTACCAGGAAAGTTACTATCAAAGGTACCAGGACAGTTACTATCAAAGGTACCAGGACAGTTACTATCAAAGGTACCAGGACAGTTACTATCAAAGGTACCAGGACAGTTACTATCAAAGGTACCAGGACAGTCGCTATCAAAGGTACTGGGACAGTTACTATCAAAGGTACTAGGACAGTTACTATCAAAAGTACCAGGACAGTTACTATCAAAGGTGCCAGGACAGTTACTATCAAAGGTACCAGAACAGTTACTATCAAAGGTACCAGGACAGTTACTATCAAAGGTACCAGTACAGTTACTATCAAAGGTACCAGGACAGTTACAATCAAAGGTACCAGGACAGCAACCATCAAAGGTACCAGGACAGTTACTATCAAAGGTACCAGGACAGTTACTATCAAAGGTACCAGGACAGTTACTATCAAACGTACCAGGACAGCAACTATCAAAGGTACTAGGACAGTTACTATCAAAGGTACCAGGACAGTTACTATCAAAGGTACCAGGACAGTTACTACCAAAGGTACCAGGACAGTTACTATCAAAGGTACTAGGACAGTTACTATCAAAGGTACCAGGACAGTTACTATCAAAGGTACCAGGACAGTTACTATCAAAGGTACCAGGACAGTTACTACCAAAGGTACTAGGACAGTTACTATCAAAAGTACCAGGACAGTTACTATCAAAGGTACCAGGACAGTTACTATCAAAGGTACCAGAACAGTTACTATCAAAGGTACCAGGACAGTTACTATCAAAGGTACCAGTACAGTTACTATCAAAGGTACCAGGACAGTTACAATCGAAGGTACCAGGACAGCAACCATCAAAGGTACCAGGACAGTTACTATCAAAGGTACCAGGACAGTTACTATCAAAGGTACCAGGACAGTTACTATCAAACGTACCAGGACAGCAACTATCAAAGGTACTAGGACAGTTACTATCAAAGGTACTAGGACAGTTACTATCAAAGGTACCAGGACAGTTACTATCAAAGGTACTAGGACAGTTACTATCAAAGGTACCAGGACAGTTACTATCAAAGGTACCAGGAAAGTTACTATCAAAGGTACCAGGACAGTTACTATCAAAGGTACCAGGACAGTTACTATCAAAGGTACCAGGACAGTTACTATCAAAGGTACCAGGACAGTTACTATCAAAGGTACCAGGACAGTTACTATCAAAGGTACCAGGACAGTTACTATCAAAGGTACCAGGACAGTTGCTATCAAAGGTACTGGGACAGTTACTATCAAAGGTACTAGGACAGTTACTATCAAAAGTACCAGGACAGTTACTATCAAAGGTACCAGGACAGTTACTATCAAAGGTACCAGAACAGTTACTATCAAAGGTACCATGAGAGTTACTATCAAAGGTACCAGGACAGTTACTATCAAAGGTACCAGGAGAGTTACTATCAAAGGTACCAGGACAGTTACTATCAAAGGTACCAGGAGAGTTACTATCAAAGGTACTAGGACAGTTACTATCAAAGGTACCAGGATCTCGGTCTGGCCCTGGACTAGACCGAGTTCCAGACCCAGACCTGGTCTCTGTGTTCCCAGCTCTGGAGGAGGTTCAGACCTGGGCTTTGGACCGAGAGGTTTTTCAGAACATCATGAGGAGGTCTGCAGAAACACGACAAGAGCAACACCTGAAGCTCCTCAAGAGGTGAGATATGATCCCGGACCAGGACCAGACCAGGACCAGGACCAGACTAGGACCAGAACCAGACCAGGACCAGGCTGACAGTGTCTGTGTTGCAGTGTGTCGCTCCTGTCCAAACTGCCGGACGAGAAGCTCTCCAAGATGGTGGACTGTGTGGATGTGGTGAGTTCATCTGAGACAAAATGTCCTGGCCTGGTCTTGGTCTTGGTCTCGGTCTTGGTCTTGGTCTCGGTCTGGTCTTGGTTCTAAGTTCTGTTTCTCAGGAATTTTACGACAAAGGAGAATTCATCATCAGAGAAGGAGAAGAAGGGAATACATTCTACATCATCACGAAAGGAAAAGTAATAATAATACTGCTATTACTACTACTTCTACTGCTACTACTGCTGCTACTGCTACTACTACTACTACTTCTACTGCTACTGCTACTGTTACTACTACTGCTACTGCTACTACTACTGCTACTGCTACTATTACTGCTACTGCTACTACTACTACTACTGCTACTGCTACTACTACTACTACTACTACTGCTACTACTACTACTACTTCTACTGCTACTACTACTACTACTGCTACTTACTACTTCTACTGCTACTACTACTTCTACTGCTACTGCTACTACTACAACTTCTACTGCTACTACTACTGCTAGTACTACTACTTCTACTACTACTGCTACTACTACTACTGCTACTACTGCACTCCCTCATCATCACCCCTCCCCTCCCTCATCACCCCTCCCTCATCATCACCCCCTCCTTCATCATCACCCCCTCCCTCATCATCCCCCCTCCCTCATCATCACCCCATCCCTCATCATCCCCCCCTCCCTCATCACCCCTCCCCTCCCTCATCATCACCCCCTCCCTCATCATCACCCCATCCCTCATCATCACCCCTCCCCTCCCTCATCACCCCTCCCTCATCACCCCTCCCTCATCATCACCCCCTCCCTCATCATCACCTCCCCTACCTCATCACCCCTCCCTCATCATCACCCCCTCCCTCATCATCACCCCCCCTCCCTCATCATCACCCCCCCCCTCCCTCATCATCACCCCATCCCTCATCATCACCCCCTCCCCTCCCTCATCACCCCTCCCCTCCCTCATCATCACCACCTCCCTCATCACCCCCTCCCTCATCATCACCCCCTCCCCTCCCTCATAATCACCCCCTCCCCTCCCTCATCACCCATTCCCTCCCTCATCATCCTCCCCTCCCTCATCATCCTCCCCTCCCTCATCATCACCCCCCCTCCCTCATCATCATCCCCTCTCCCTCATCACCCCCTCCCCTCCCTCATCACCCATCCCCTCCCTCATCATCCTCCCCTCCCTCATCATCACCCCCTCTCCCTCATCATCATCCCCTCCCCCTCATCACCCCTCCCCTCCCTCATCATCACCCCTCCCCTCCCTCATCATCACCCCTCCCCTCCCTCATCATCACCCCCTCTCCCTCATCATCACCCCCTCTCCCTCATCATCATCCCCTCTCCCTCATCACCCCCTCTCCTCCCTCATCATCACCACCTCCCTCATCATCACCTCCCCTCCCTCATCACCCCTCCCCTCCCTCATCATCACCCCCTCACTCATCATCACACCCCTCCCCTCCCTCATTACCCCTCCCCTCCCTCATCATCACCCCCTCCCCTCCCTCATCACCCCTCCCCTCCCTCATCACCCATCCCCTCCCTCATCACCCCCCCCTCCCTCATCATCACCCCCCTCCCTCATCATCACCCCCCCCTCCCTCATCACTCCTCCCCTCCCTCATCATCACCCCCTCTCCTCCCTCATCATCACCACCTCCCTCATAATCACCTCCCCTCCCTCATCACCCCTCCCCTCCCTCATCACCCCTCCCCTCCCTCATCATCACCCCCTCACTCATCATCACCCCCTCCCCTCCCTCATCACCCCTCCCCTCCCTCATCATCACCCCCTCCCCTCCCTCATCACCCCTCCCCTCCCTCATCACCCATCCCCTCCCTCATCATCACCCCCCCTCCCTCATCATCATCCCCTCTCCCTCATCATCACCCCCCTCCCTCATCATCACCCCCTCCCCTCCCTCATCACCCCTCCCCTCCCTCATCATCACCCCCTCCCTAATCATCATCCCCTCTCCCTCATCACCCCCTCTCCTCCCTCATCATCACCACCTCCCTCATCACCACCTCCCCTCCCTCATCACCCCCTCCCCTCACATGTTGCTCTCTCAGGTTGCAGTGACTCAGAGCACAGACGGGGGGCGCTCTCCTGAACTCATCAACACTTTACAGACGGGAGATTATTTTGGAGAAAAGGCACTGATCAGGTTTAAACACACACACACCACACGGACACACACACACACACACACACATACAGACCTACACCCACACACAGACACACACACACCACACACAGACACACACACACACACAGAGACCTACACCCACACACATAGACACACACACACCACACATAGACACACACAAACACACACAGAAAAGACTCACACACACACACACACACACCAGGTCTGAGTGAGTTATTAGGACCTACAACACACACATCAGGTCTGAGTGAGATATTAGGACCTATAACACACACATCAGGTCTGAGTGAGATATTAGGACCTACAACACACACATCAGGTCTGAGTGAGATATTAGGACCTATTACACACACATCAGGTCTGAGTGAGATATTAGGACCTATTACACACACATCAGGTCTGAGTGAGATATTAGGACCTATAACACACACATCAGGTCTGAGTGAGTTATTAGGACCTACAACACACACATCAGGTCTGAGTGAGATATTAGGACCTACAACACACACATCAGGTCTGAGTGAGTTATTAGGACCTACAACACACACATCAGGTCTGAGTGAGATATTAGGACCTATTACACACACATCAGGTCTGAGTGAGATATTAGGACCTACAACACACACATCAGGTCTGAGTGAGTTATTAGGACCTACAACACACACATCAGGTCTGAGTGAGATATTAGGACCTATTACACACACATCAGGCCTGAGTGAGATATTAGGACCTACAACACACACATCAGGTCTGAGTGAATTATTAGGACCTATTACACACACATCAGGTCTGAGTGAATTATTTATCAATAGTTACTCCTGTCAAAGAGAGTAACTCTGTAGGTGGACAAATACATTATGACTTTATTTTAGAATAATTTGAGGTGTCATTTTTGACATTTTTTATTTGTTTTTGATATTTTAAATCCTTATTTAAACATGATTTTCCTACCGGAGTTAAGAATATTTATCACATTTTTTGTGTTATCGGAAATCAGAGTACCTGGAGAAAACTTACTGACACAAGGAGAACATGCAAGCTCCACTTCAAAAGGTCCTTTCGGGCTGAAAGATTTAATTTTTGTACAAACAGTAACTCACTACTCAAGTATGTTTTAGCTTGACTCAAAATTTTGGCTATTCTACCCACCTCTGGAAATATACTTAAGTTTGTGACAAAATGTGTGACAAACGAGGTCAAGTGTGTGTGTGTTTAAAGTGTGTTATGTAGTCCCATGCACGAGTTCCATTTTTGGTGTGGAGCTTGTTCTGGGCCTCTACAACGCTGTAGTCCATCCATCCATCCATCCATCCATTTTCTACCCTTTAATCCATTTCTGGGTCAGGGGGGTGGCAGTCAGAGATGCCACCCAAGTCTCATAGCACCAGCCCCTCACTGACCCTCTGCAGGTGGTGAGTCCACAGGAGGACGGCTGCTCTCTGAGTGTGAGCACAGCCTTGATCTTTCAGTGGGGGCTTTCCATGCACAACGCTGTAGTGTGCATGGAAAAATGGGGACCTAAAAATGTCCCCGTATTTCATCAGGTCCCCATATTGAAGGTGTGTTACCATACAAAAGTCCTCATTTGTACATAAAACAAACACACAGACAAATACAAACACACACTTACTGATATTCCTACAGTGAGGACCTGCGCTCGGCAAACATCGTGGCAGAAGAGGACGGCGTGGAGTGCTTGGTCATCGACAGAGAGTGAGAACCAGAGAAATCTCCACATGGTTCTGTGTGTCTATTCTAACTCTTCGGTCTCTCTCTGGTTTCTCTCTGGTCACTCTCTGGTCTCTCGCTGGTTTCCCTCTGGTCTCTCTCTGGTCTCTCTCTGGTCTCTCTCTGGTCTCTCTCTGGTCTCTCTCTGGTCTCTCTCTGGTCTCTCTCTGGTCTCTCTCTGGTCTCTTTCTGGTCACTCTCTGGTCTCTCGCTGGTCTCTCGCTGGTTTCTCTCTGGTCTCTCGCTGGTTTCCCTCTGGTCTCTCTCTGGTCTCTCTCTGGTCTCTTTCTGGTCTCTTTCTGGTCTCTTTCTGGTCTCTTTCTGGTCTCTTTCTGGTCTCCCTCTGGTCTCCCTCTGGTCTCCCTCTGGTCTCCCTCTGGTCTCCCTCTGGTCTCTCTCTGGTCTCTCTCTGGTTTCTATAGGATGTTTGATCAGACAGTTGGATCCTTCTCTGAGCTGCAGGAGTATGTACAGACACTGGAGCGAGACGACCGACAGCGCAGCACCAAGTGAGGACACACACACACACACACAGACAAACACACAAACAGACACACGCACTCTCTGGTCTCTCTGTTCTCTCTCTGGTCTCTCTCTGGTCTCTCTGTTCTCTCTCTGGTCTCTCTGTTCTCTCTCTGGTCTCTCTGTTCTCTCTCTGGTCTCTCTCTCTGGTCTCTCTGTTCTCTCTCTGGTCTCTCTCTGGTCTCTCTGTTCTCTCTGTTCTCTCTCTGGTCTCTCTCTGGTCTCTCTGTTCTCTCTCTGGTCTCTCTCTGGTCTCTCTCACTCTGGTCTCTCTCTCTCTCTGGTCTCTCTCACTCTGGTCTCTCTCTGGTGTAACCTGGTCTCTCCCTGGTCTCACCTGGTCTCTCTCTGGTCTCACCTGGTCTCTTGTTTCACTTGGTCTCTGGTCTGACCTGGTCTCTGGTCTCACCTGCTCTCTGGTCGCTCTCTGATCTCTCTCAGTTCTCTTGTTTCACCTGGTCTCTGGTTTCACCTGGTCTCTGGTCTCACCTGGTCTCTGGTCTCACCTGGTCTTTGGTCTCACCTGGTCTCTGGTCTCACCTGGTCTCTGGTCTCACCTGGTCTCTGGTCTCACCTGGTCTCTGGTCTCACGTGGTCTCTTGTTTCACCTGGTCTCTGGTCTCACCTGGTTTCTGGTCTCACCTGGTCTCTGGTCTCACCTGGTCTGTCTTAGGTCAGCCTCTGCTCAGAGTCAGCTCTCTGAGTTCTGTTGCTCTGAACCATTTCATCATCTGGAGCTGGTGTCAACACTGGGAGTGGGAGGCTTCGGACGAGTGGAATTGGTACTACTACTACTACTATTACGACTACGACGACGACGGCGACGGCTACGGCTACGGCTACGGCTACTGCTACTGCTACTGCTACGACGACTACTACTACTACGACAACGACGGCTACGGCTACAACGACGACGACTACGGCTACTACTACTACAACAACGACGGCTACGGCGACGACGACGGCGACGACGGCTACGACAGCTACTGCTAAGGCTACGGCTACTGCTACTGCTACAACAACGACCACAACGACGACGACGATGACGGCTACTGCTACTGCTACGACGACTACTACTGCTACTACGACTACTACTACCACTACCACGACGACGACTACGGCTACTGCTACTGCTACTGCTACTGCTACGACTACGACTACGACTACGACTACTGCTACGACTACGACTACGGCTACGGCTACGGCTACTGCTACTGCTACTGCTACTGCTACTGCTACTGCTACTGCTACGACTACGACTACGGCTACTGCTACAACGACGACTACGACAACGACGACGGCTACGACGACGACGACGACGACTACGACTACGGCTACTGCTACAACGACGACTACGACGACGACTACGACTACGGCTACTGCTACAACGACGACTACGACGACGACTACGACTACGGCTACTGCTACAACGACGACGACGACGACGACGGCTACGACGACGACGACGACGACTACGACTACGGCTATTGCTAAGGCTACTGCTAAGGCTACTGCTACTCCTACGTTTCAAGGAGATTGATCATGTTAATGCCCTTCAGAATAGAGCCATTAGAACATTTTTGGGAGTGCATAAATTCAGCCCAATATCAGCGACACAGGGGGACATGGGATGTGAGCCGTGTGTCATTAAGCAAAGGGCTGAAATGGTGCGTTTATGGAACCGCCTCATCCAGCTGCCCAATCACAGGCTCACTAAAAAGATTTTTAATTGGAACTGTTCAAACAAGTACCCCTGGTCTAGAGAAATGGCGGAAGTGTTCTTAAGTTCTCATTTAAATTATGTTTATCTAAATAAATTAAAATGTGATATGTTTGTTTAGACAAAACGCATTAACAGAGTTTAAAGCACAATGGAAACTTGATATTTGCAGGAAACCTAAGTTAAGACGTTATATTTTATTTAAACAGGAGTTTTACACAGAACTGTACATCCAGTCAAATGTACCTAGAAGGCAGCGCTCTCTGTTAGCCCAGCTGAGGACCGGCACTTTGAAGGCAGCGCTCTCTGTTAGCCCAGCTGAGGACCGGCACTTTGAAGGCAGCGCTCTCTGTTAGCCCAGCTGAGGACCGGCACTTTGAAGGCAGCGCTCTCTGTTAGCCCAGCTGAGGACCGGCACTTTGAAGGCAGCGCTCTCTGTTAGCCCAGCTGAGGACCGGCACTTTGAAGGCAGCGCTCTCTGTTAGCCCAGCTGAGGACCGGCACTTTGAAGGCAGCGCTCTCTGTTAGCCCAGCTGAGGACCGGCACTTTGAAGGCAGCACTCTCTGTTAGCCCAGCTGAGGACCGGCACTTTGAAGGCAGCGCTCTCTGTTAGCCCAGCTGAGGACCGGCACTTTGAAGGCAGCACTCTCTGTTAGCCCAGCTGAGGACCGGCACTTTGAAGGCAGCGCTCTCTGTTAGCCCAGCTGGGGACCGGCACTTTGAAGGCAGCGCTCTCTGTTAGCCCAGCTGAGGACCGGCACTTTGAAGGCAGCGCTCTCTGTTAGCCCAGCTGAGGACCGGCACTTTGAAGGCAGCACTCTCTGTTAGCCCAGCTGAGGACCGGCACTTTGAAGGCAGCGCTCTCTGTTAGCCCAGCTGAGGACCGGCACTTTGAAGGCAGCGCTCTCTGTTAGCCCAGCTGAGGACCGGCACTTTGAAGGCAGCACTCTCTGTTAGCCCAGCTGAGGACCGGCACTTTGAAGGCAGCGCTCTCTGTTAGCCCAGCTGAGGACCGGCACTTTGAAGGCAGCGCTCTCTGTTAGCCCAGCTGAGGACCGGCACTTTGAAGGCAGCACTCTCTGTTAGCCCAGCTGAGGACCGGCACTTTGAAGGCAGCACTCTCTGTTAGCCCAGCTGAGGACCGGCACTTTGAAGGCAGCACTCTCTGTTAGCCCAGCTGGAGGACCGGCACTTTGAAGGCAGCGCTCTCTGTTTGCCCAGCTGAGGACCGGCACTTTGAAGGCAGCGCTCTCTGTTAGCCCAGCTGAGGACCGGCACTTTGAAGGCAGCACTCTCTGTTAGCCCAGCTGAGGACCGGCACTTTGAAGGCAGCACTCTCTGTTAGCCCAGCTGAGGACCGGCACTTTGAAGGCAGCGCTCTCTGTTAGCCCAGCTGAGGACCGGCACTTTGAAGGCAGCACTCTCTGTTAGCCCAGCTGAGGACCGGCACTTTGAAGGCAGCACTCTCTGTTAGCCCAGCTGAGGACCGGCACTTTGAAGGCAGCGCTCTCTGTTAGCCCAGCTGAGGACCGGCACTTTGAAGGCAGCACTCTCTGTTTGCCCAGCTGAGGACCGGCACTTTGAAGGCAGCGCTCTCTGTTAGCCCAGCTGAGGACCGGTACTTTGAAGGCAGCGCTCTCTGTTAGCCCAGCTGAGGACCGGCACTTTGAAGGCAGCGCTCTCTGTTAGCCCAGCTGAGGACCGGCACTTTGAAGGCAGCGCTCTCTGTTAGCCCAGCTGAGGACCGGCACTTTGAAGGCAGCGCTCTCTGTTAGCCCAGCTGAGGACCGGCACTTTGAAGGCAGCACTCTCTGTTAGCCCAGCTGAGGACCGGCACTTTGAAGGCAGCACTCTCTGTTAGCCCAGCTGAGGACCGGCACTTTGAAGGCAGCACTCTCTGTTAGCCCAGCTGAGGACCGGCACTTTGAAGGCAGCACTCTCTGTTAGCCCAGCTGAGGACCGGCACTTTGAAGGCAGCGCTCTCTGTTAGCCCAGCTGAGGACCGGCACTTTGAAGGCAGCACTCTCTGTTAGCCCAGCTGAGGACCGGCACTTTGAAGGCAGCACTCTCTGTTAGCCCAGCTGAGGACCGGCACTTTGAAGGCAGCACTCTCTGTTAGCCCAGCTGAGGACCGGCACTTTGAAGGCAGCGCTCTCTGTTAGCCCAGCTGAGGACCGGCACTTTGAAGGCAGCGCTCTCTGTTAGCCCAGCTGAGGACCGGCACTTTGAAGGCAGCGCTCTCTGTTAGCCCAGCTGAGGACCGGCACTTTTCCTTTAGCAGTGGAGGTGGGGCGCTTTAAAGCGGTCCCTGAAGAGGCCCGTCTCTGTACAGTGTGTGACCTGGGGGTGGTGGAGGATGAGCCTTATTTTGTTTTGCTTTGAGCTTCCAAACATTTTATTTGAAAAAGTAAATGCTTCTAACCCAGAGGTCTTTGGCCGGAGGGAGACATTATGAACTGGATGTACTGCCATGAAGTTTTTGCTTTTGTTGCTAAAGCCTGTTTTTCATGTCTGTATATGGTCTGTATATGGTCATACTACTACTACTACTACTACTACTACTACTGCTACTGCTACTGCTGCTGCTACTACTGCTACTGCTACTGCTGCTGCTACTACTGCTACTGCTACTGCTGCTGCTACTGCTGCTACTGCTACTGCTGCTGCTACTGCTGCTACTGCTTCTACTGCTACTGCTGCTACTGCTACTGCTACTGCTGCTGCTACTGCTGCTACTGCTTCTACTGCTACTGCTGCTACTGCTACTGCTAGTGCTACTGCTACTGCTACTACTGCTGCTGCTACTACTACTGCTACTGCTACTGCTGCTGCTACTACTGCTACTGCTACTGCTGCTGCTACTGCTGCTACTGCTACTACTACTGCTGCTACTACTACTGCTGCTGCTACTGCTACTACTGCTACTACTGCTACTACTGCTACTACTACTACTACTACTACTGCTGCTGCTACTACTACTGCTGCTGCTACTGCTACTACTGCTACTACTGCTACTACTGCTACTACTACTGCTACTACTGCTACTACTACTACTACTACTTCTACTACTACTGCTACTACTGCTGTTCCTTCTGCTGCAGGTGAAGCTGAAGCAGCAGGAGGTGTCGTTTGCTCTTAAGATCTTGAAGAAACATCAGGTTGTGGAGAACCATCAACAGCTGCACGTGTTCGAGGAGAGAGACATCCTACAGGCCTCAAATAGTCCATTCATAGTCAGGTACCAGAACCCGGACTGCCACTGCGACCAGGACTGAGACCAGGACCAGGATCGAGACAGGACTGAGACCAGACCAGAGAAGGAGTTGTTTTTATGGTCCAGTAGATAGGAAGGTTGCTCACCCATCTGCTTCAGTTTGCATCAGCTCAGGTAGGGGCAGGTCTAACCATCTGAACTCATCAGCATGTCACTGTTCTATTGTCTGCTAGTAGTAGTAGTTTGTGTGTAGTGTGTGTGTGTGTGTGTGTGTAGTGTGTGTGTGTGTGTGTAGTGTGTGTGTGTGTGTGTGTGTATAGTTTGTGTGTGTGTAGTGTGTGTGTGTGTGTATGTGTGTATTGTGTGTGTGTGTGTGTGTAGTGTGTGTGTGTGTGTGTATAGTTTGTGTGTGTGTAGTGTGTGTGTGTGTGTGTATAGTTTGTGTGTATTGTGTGTGTGTAGTGTGTGTGTAGTGTGTGTGTGTAGTGTGTGTGTATGTGTGTGTAGTGTGTGTGTGTGTGTGTAGTGTGTGTGTGTGTGTATAGTTTGTGTGTGTGTAGTGTGTGTGTGTGTGTAGTTTGTGTTTAGTGTGTGTGTGTAGTTTGTGTGTAGTGTGTGTGTGTGTGTGTGTAGTGTGTGTGTGTGTGTGTGTGTAGTGTGTGTGTGTGTGTGTGTGTGTGTAGTGTGTGTGTGTGTGTGTAGTGTGTGTGTGTGTGTATGTGTGTATTGTGTGTGTGTGTGTAGTGTGTGTGTGTGTGTGTGTAGTGTGTGTGTGTGTGTGTGTGTATAGTTTGTGTGTGTGTAGTGTGTGTGTGTGTGTGTGTGTGTGTATAGTTTGTGTGTATTGTGTGTGTGTAGTGTGTGTGTGTAGTGTGTGTGTATGTGTGTGTAGTGTGTGTGTGTGTGTGTGTAGTGTGTGTGTGTGTGTAGTTTGTGTGTAGTGTGTGTGTAGTTTGTGTGTAGTGTGTGTGTTGCTTGTGTGTAGTGTGTGTGTGTGTGTAGTGTGTGTGTGTGTGTGTGTGTAGTGTGTGTGTGTAGTGTGTGTGTGTGTATAGTTTGTGTGTAGTGTGTGTGTGTGTGTGAGATTATGCATCATATTAATTTCCTTCAAAGGATCAATAAATTCTGAATCAAGTGTCGACCGTCCTCCTCATCAACAGAACCACCTCCTCATCAACAGAACCACCTCCTTATCAACAGAACCACCTCCTCATCAACAGAACCACCTCCTCATCAACAGAACCACCTCCTCATCAACAGAACCACCTCCTCATCAACAGAACCACCTCCTCATCAACAGAACCACCTCCTCATCAACAGAACCACCTCCTCATCAACAGAACCACCTCCTCATCAACAGAACCACCTCCTTATCAACAGAACCACCTCCTCATCAACAGAACCACCTCCTCATCAACAGAACCACCTCCTCATCAACAGAACCACCTCCTCATCAACAGAACCACCTCCTCATCAACAGAACCACCTCCTTATCAACAGAACCACCTCCTCATCAACAGAACCACCTCCTCATCAACAGAACCACCTCCTCATCAACAGAACCACCTCCTCATCAACAGAACCACCTCCTCATCAACAGAACCACCTCCTCATCAACAGAACCACCTCCTCATCAACAGAACCACCTCCTCATCAACAGAACCACCTCCTCATCAACAGAACCACCTCCTCATCAATAGAACCACCTCCTCATCAACAGAACCACCTCCTCATCAACAGAACCACCTCCTCATCAATAGAACCACCTCCTCATCAACAGAACCACCTCCTTATCAACAGAACCACCTCCTCATCAACAGAACCAGCGTCTCATCAATAGAACCACCTCCTCATCAACATAACCACCTCCTTATCAACAGAACCACCTCCTCATCAACAGAACCAGCTTCTCATCAATAGAACCACCTCCTCATCAACAGAACCACCTCCTCATCAACAGAACCACCTCCTCATCAACAGAACCACCTCCTCATCAACAGAACCACCTCCTCATCAACAGAACCACCTCCTCATCAACAGAACCACCTCCTCATCAACAGAACCACCTCCTCATCAACAGAACCACCTCCTCATCATCAACAGAACCACCTCCTCATCAACAGAACCACCTCCTCATCAACAGAACACCTCTATCACGAACCACCTCCTCATCAATAGAACCACCTCCTCATCAACAGAACCACCTCCTCATCAACAGAACCACCTCCTCATCAAAGAACCACCTCCTCATCAATAGAACCACCTCCTCATCAACAGAACCACCTCCTCATCACAGAACCACGCTCAAACAGAACCACCTCCTCATCAACAGAACCACCTCCTCATCACAGAACCACTCCTCATCAACAGAACCACCTCTCATCTCATCAACAGAACCACCTCCTCATCAACAGAACCACCTCCTCATCAACAGAACCACCTCCTCATCAACAGAACCACCTCCTCATCAACAGAACCACTCCTCCATCAACAGAACCACCTCCTCATCAACAGAACCACCTCCTCATCAACAGAACCACCTCCTCATCAACAGAACCACCTCCTCATCAACAGAACCACCTCCTCATCAACAGAACCACCTCCTCATCAACAGAACCACCTCCTCATCAACAGAACCACCTCCTCATCAACAGAACCACCTCCTCATCAACAGAACCACCTCCTCATCAACAGAACCACCTCCTCATCAACAGAACCACCTCCTCATCAACAGAACCACCTCCTCATCAACAGAACCACCTCCTCATCAACAGAACCACCTCCTCATCAACAGAACCACCTCCTCATCAACAGAACCACCTCCTCTCACAGAACCACCTCCTCATCAACAGAACCACCTCCTCATCAACAGAACCACCTCCTCATCAACAGAACCACCTCCTCATCAACAGAACCACCTCCTCATCAACAGAACCACCTCCTCATCAACAGAACCACCTCCTCCTCAACAGAACCACCTCCTCATCAACAGAACCACCTCCTCATCAACAGAACCACCTCCTCATCAACAGAACCACCTCCTCCTCAACAGAACCACCTCCTCATCAACAGAACCACCTCCTCATCAACAGAACCACCTCCTCATCAACAGAACCACCTCCTCATCAACAGAACCACCTCCTCGTCAACAGAACCACCTCCTCGTCAACAGAACCACCTCCTCGTCAACAGAACCACCTCCTCGTCAACAGAACCACCTCCTCGTCAACAGAACCACCTCCTCATCAACAGAACCACCTCCTCATCAACAGAACCACCTCCTCATCAACAGAACCACCTCCTCCTCAACAGAACCACCTGTGGACTGCCCGACCCGCCTGGAGCTGTTTCAGTCCTGCACCTATCTACGTTCTGTGGCTTAGGTCCTGGGTCTAAAGCCTCAGTCCTCGTTCTACAGTCTGAGTCCTGGGTTTTAGAGTAGTTCCTCTGATGCAGGGGTCTGTTGGACCAAAACATATGTGTGTTTTCCATATGGTGAGGGAGGGTGAGGGAGGATGAAGGAGGATGAAGGAGGATGAGGGAGGATGAGGGAGGATGAGGGAGGATGAAGGAGGATGAGGGAGGATGAGGGAGGATGAAGGAGAATGAAGGAGGATGAGGGAGGATGAGGGAGGATGAAGGAGGATGAGGGAGGATGAAGGAGGATGAAGGAGGATGAAGGAGGATGAAGGAGGATGAGGGAGGATGAGGGAGGATGAAGGAGAATGAAGGAGGATGAAGGAGGATGAGGGAGGATGAGGGAGGATGAAGGAGGATGAGGGAGGATGAAGGAGGATGAAGGAGGATGAAGGAGGATGAAGGAGGATGAGGGAGGATGAGGGAGGATGAAGGAGGATGAAGGAGGATGAGGGAGGATGAAGGAGGATGAGGGAGGATGAGGGAGGATGAAGGAGGATGAGGGAGGATGAAGGAGGATGAAGGAGGATGAAGGAGGATGAGGGAGGATGAAGGAGGATGAGGGAGGATGAGGGAGGATGAAGGAGGATGAGGGAGGATGAGGGAGGATGAAGGAGGATGAGGGAGGATGAAGGAGGATGAAGGAGGATGAAGGAGGATGAAGGAGAATGAAGGAGGATGAGGGAGGATGAAGGAGGATGAGGAGGATGAGGGAGGATGAAGGAGAATGAAGGAGGATGAAGGAGGATGAGGGAGGATGAGGGAGGATGAAGGAGGATGAAGGAGGATGAAGGAGGATGAAGGAGAATGAAGGAGGATGAAGGAGGATGAAGGAGGATGAGGGAGGATGAGGGAGGATGAAGGAGAATGAAGGAGGATGAGGGAGGATGAAGGAGGATGAGGGAGGATGAGGGAGGATGAAGGAGAATGAAGGAGGATGAAGGAGGATGAAGGAGGATGAAGGAGGATGAAGGAGGATGAGGGAGGATGAGGGAGGATGAGGGAGGATGAAGGAGGATGAGGGAGGATGAGGGAGGATGAAGGAGGATGAGGGAGGATGAAGGAGGATGAAGGAGGATTAAGGAGGATGAGGGAGGATGAGGAGGATGAAGGAGGATGAGGGAGGATGAGGGAGGATGAAGGAGGAGGAGGGAGGATGAGGGAGGATGAAGGAGGATGAGGGATGGAGGATGGGGATGAAGGAGGATGAGGGAGGATGAAGGAGGATGAAGGAGGATGAGGGGGAGGATGAAGGAGGATGAGGGAGGATGATGGGAGGATGAAGGAGGATGAAGGAGGATGAAGGAGGATGAAGGAGGATGAAGGAGGATGAAGGAGGATGAAGGAGGATGAAGGAGGATGAAGGAGAAGAGGATGAAGGAGGATGAGGGAGGATGAAGGAGGATGAGGAGAAAGGAGGATGAGGGAGGATGAGGGAGGATGAAGGAGAATGAAGGAGGATGAAGGAGGATGAGGGAGGATGAGGGAGGATGAAGGAGGATGAAGGGAGGATGAGGGAGGATGAAGGAGGATGAAGGAGGATGAAGGAGGATGAGGGAGGATGAAGGAGGATGAGGGAGGATGAAGGAGGATGAAGGAGAATGAAGGAGGATGAAGGAGGATGAGGAGGATGAGGGAGGATGGAGGAAGGAGGATGAGGAGGATGAAGGAGGATGAAGGAGGATGAAGGAGGATGAAGGAGAGGATGAGGATGGATGATGAGGGAGGATGAATGAAGGGAGGATGAAGGAGGATGAGGGAGGATGAGGGAGGATGAAGGAGGATGAGGGAGGAGGATGATGAAGGAGGATGATGAAGGAGGATGAGGAGGATGAAGGAGGATGAGGGAGGATGAGGGAGGATGAAGGAGGATGAGGGAGGATGAGGGAGGATGAAGGAGGATGAGGGAGGATGAGGGAGGATGAAGGAGGATGAGGGAGGATGAAGGAGGGAAGGAGGATGAGGGAGGATGAAGGAGGATGAGGGAAGGATGAAGGAGGATGAAGGAGGATTGAGGGGGAGGATGAAGGAGGATGAAGGAGGATTGAAGGAGGATGAAGGAGGATGAAGGAGGATGAAGGAGGATGAGGGAGGATGAGGGAGGATGATGAAGGAGAATGAAGGAGAGATGAAGGAGGATGAGGGAGAGATGAAGGAGGATGAAGGAGGATGAAGGAGGATGATGAAGGATGAGGAGGATGAAGGAGGATGAAGGAGGATGAAGGAGGATGAAGGAGGATGAGGGAGGATGAAGGAGGATGAGGGAGGATGAAGGAGGATGAAGGAGGATGAAGGAGGATGAAGGAGGATGAAGGAGGATGAAGGAGGATGAGGGGAGGATGAAGGAGGATGAGGAGGATGAGGGAGGATGAGGAGGATGAGGGAGGATGAAGGAGGATGAGGAGGATGAGGAGGATGAGGGAGGATGAAGGAGGATGAAGGAGGATGAAGGAGGAGGGAGGATGAGGGAGGATGAGGAGGATGAAGGAGGATGAGGGAGGAGGATGAAGGAGGATGAAGGAGGATGAAGGAGGATGAGGGAGGATGAGGGAGGATGAAGGGAGGATGAGGGAGGATGAGGGAGGATGAGGGAGGATGAAGGAGGATGAGGGAGGATGAAGGAGGATGAAGGAGGATGAGGGAGGATGAAGGAGGATGAGGGAGGATGAAGGAGGATGAGGGAGGATGAGGGAGGATGAAGGAGGATGAAGGAAGATGAGGGAGGATGAAGGAGGATGACGGAGGATGAGGGAGGATGAAGGAGAATGAGGGAGGATGAAGGAGGATGAGGGAGGATGAAGGAGGATGAGGGAGGATGAGGGAGGATGAAGGAGGATGAGGGAGGATGAGGGAGGATGAAGGAGGATGAGGGAGGATGAAGGAGGGTGAAGGAGGTGAAACATTTCCAAAGTGTGTCTCCTCTAAACCCTTCCCCTGTGTCTCCTTTAAACCCTTCCCCTGTGTCTCCTTTAAACCCTTCCCCTGTGTCTCCTTTAAACCCTTCCCCTGTGTTGCAGACTGTACCGCACCTTTAAAGATGATAAATACGTGTACATGCTGCTGGAGGCGTGTTTAGGAGGAGAGGTGTGGAGTCTGCTGCGAGACCGGTAAGACTCCGGTCCCTCTCTGGTCCCTCTCCGGTCTCTCTCTGGTCCCTCTCTGGTCCCTCTCTGGTCCCTCTCTGGTCCCTCTCTGGTCTCTCTCTGGTCCCTCTCCGGTCTCTCTCTGGTCCCTCTCTGGTCCCTCTCTGGTCCCTCTCTGGTCCCTCTCTGGTCCCTCTCTGGTCCCTCTCTGGTCCCTCTCTGGTCCCTCTCTGGTCCCTCTCTGGTCCCTCTCTGGTCCCTCTCTGGTCTCTCTCTGGTCCCTCTCTGGTCCCTCTCTGGTCCCTCTCTGGTCCCTCTCTGGTCCCTCTCTGGTCCCTCTCTGGTCCCTCTCTGGTCCCTCTCTGGTCCCTCTCTGGTCCCTCTCTGGTCTCTCTCTGGTCCCTCTCTGGTCCCTCTCTGGTCCCTCTCTGGTCCCTCTCTGGTCTCTCTCTGGTCTCTCTCTGGTCTCTCTCTGGTCTCTCTCTGGTCTCTCTCTGGTGTCTCTCTGGTCTCTCTCTGGTCTCTCTCTGGTCTCTCTCTGGTCTCTCTCTGGTGTCTCTCTGGTGTCTCTCTGGTGTCTCTCTGGTGTCTCTCTGGTCTCTCTCTGGTCTCTCTCTGGTGTCTCTCTGGTGTCTCTCTGGTGTCTCTCTGGTGTCTCTCTGGTCTCTCTCTGGTCTCTCTCTGGTCTCTCTCTGGTCTCTCTCTGGTCTCTCTCTGGTCTCTCTCTGGTCTCTCTCTGGTGTCTCTATGGTGTCTCTCTGGTGTCTCTCTGGTGTCTCTCTGGTGTCTCTCTGGTGTCTCTCTGGTCTCTCTCTGGTCTCTCTCTGGTCTCTCTCTGGTCTCTCTCTGGTCTCTCTCTGGTGTCTCTCTGGTCTCTCTCTGGTGTCTCTCTGGTGTCTCTCTGGTGTCTCTCTGGTGTCTCTCTGGTCTCTCTCTGGTCTCTCTCTGGTCTCTCTCTGGTCTCTCTCTGGTCTCTCTCTGGTCTCTCTCTGGTCTCTCTCTGGTCTCTCTCTGGTGTCTCTCTGGTGTCTCTCTGGTGTCTCTCTGGTCTCTCTCTGGTCTCTCTCTCTGGTCTCTCTCTGGTGTCTCTCTGGTGTCTCTCTGGTGTCTCTCTGGTCTCTCTCTGGTCTCTCTCTGGTCTCTCTCTGGTGTCTCTCTGGTCTCTCTCTGGTGTCTCTCTGGTGTCTCTCTGGTCTCTCTCTGGTCTCTCTCTGGTGTCTCTCTGGTGTCTCTCTGGTGTCTCTCTGGTGTCTCTCTGGTCTCTCTCTGGTCTCTCTCTGGTCTCTCTCTGGTCTCTCTCTGGTGTCTCTCTGGTCTCTCTCTGGTCTCTCTCTGGTGTCTCTCTGGTGTCTCTCTGGTGTCTCTCTGGTGTCTCTCTGGTGTCTCTCTGGTCTCTCTCTGGTCTCTCTCTGGTCTCTCTCTGGTCTCTCTCTGGTCTCTCTCTGGTCTCTCTCTGGTCTCTCTCTGGTGTCTCTCTGGTGTCTCTCTCTGGTCTCTCTCTCTGGTCTCTCTCTGGTGTCTCTCTGGTGTCTCTCTGGTGTCTCTCTGGTCTCTCTCTGGTCTCTCTCTGGTCTCTCTCTGGTGTCTCTCTGGTCTCTCTCTGGTCTCTCTCTGGTGTCTCTCTGGTGTCTCTCTGGTCTCTCTCTGGTCTCTCTCTGGTGTCTCTCTGGTGTCTCTCTGGTGTCTCTCTGGTGTCTCTCTGGTCTCTCTCTGGTCTCTCTCTGGTCTCTCTCTGGTCTCTCTCTGGTGTCTCTCTGGTGTCTCTCTGGTCTCTCTCTGGTGTCTCTCTGGTGTCTCTCTGGTGTCTCTCTGGTCTCTCTCTGGTGTCTCTCTGGTGTCTCTCTGGTGTCTCTCTGGTGTCTCTCTGGTGTCTCTCTGACTTGTCTCCCTCAGGGGGAGCTTGGGGGAGGCGGCCTCTCGGTTCTGTGTTTCGTGTGTGGTTGAAGCAGTGGATTATCTTCATGAACATCACGTCATGTACAGAGACCTGAAGCCAGAAAACCTCCTGCTGGACAACCAGGGCTACTGCAAGCTGGTACCAGGACCAGGACCAGCACTGACACCAGGACTAGGACTATGGCTCTGGTCTCTCTCTCTGGTCTCCCTCTGGTCTCTGTTTCTGGTATCTGGTCCCTGGTCTCAGTCCTGGTCTCTCTCTGGTTCCAGGTGGACTTTGGTTTTGCTAAGCGGTTGAGTCCAGGGCAGAAGACCTGGACGTTCTGTGGGACCCCAGCCTATGTTCCTCCTGAGATCGTCCTGAACCGAGGACACAGCTTCAGTGTGGACTTCTGGTCTCTGGGCGTCCTGCTGTTTGAGCTGCTGACGGGGAGGTGAGACCAGGGACCAGGTGAGACCAGAGACCAGGTGAGACCAGAGACCCTGTGAGACCAGCGAAGACCAGAGACCAGGGACAGGTGAGACCAGAGACCAGCGAAGACCAGAGACCAGGGACAGGTGAGGCAAGGGACAGGTGAGACCAGAGACCAGGTGAGACCAGAGACCAGGTGAGACCAGAGACCAGGTGAGACCAGAGACCAGCAAAGACCAGAGACCAGGGACAGGTGAGGCAAGGGACATGTGAGACCAGAGACCAGGTGAGACCAGAGACCAGGTGAGACCAGAGACCAAGTGAGACCAGAGACCAGGGACAGGTGAGACCAGAGACCAGGTGAGACCAGAGACCAGGGACCAGGTGAGACTAGAGACCAGGTGAGACCAGGGACCAGGTGAGACTAGAGACTAGGGACCAGGTGAGACCAGAGACCAGGTGAGAGCAGGGACCATGTGAGACCAGGTGAGAGCAGGGACCATGTGAGACCAGAGAGAGCCTGACTATCTCCTCCTCTGACCTGTGATCCTCAGCCCTCCGTTCGTGGGCTGTGATCCCATGACCATCTACACCTTCATCCTCAGAGGAATCGAGAAAGTGGACTTTCCCAAAAAGATCTGCAAGAAACCAGAGGATCTGATCCGCAGGCTCTGCAGGTGATGTCACATGTTTAGAGCTGAGGTCTGTACCTACAGGTGATGTCACATGTTTAGAGCTGAGGTCTGTACCTACAGGTGATGTCACATGTTTAGAGCTGAGGTCTGTACCTACAGGTGATGTCACATGTTTAGAGCTGAGGTCTGTACCTACAGGTGATGTCACATGTTTAGAGCTGAGGTCTGTACCTACAGGTGATGTCACATGTTTAGAGCTGAGGTCTGTACCTACAGGTGATGTCACATGTTTAGAGCTGAGGTCTGTACCTACAGGTGATGTCACATGTTTAGAGCTGAGGTCTGTACCTACAGGTGATGTCACATGTTTAGAGCTGAGGTCTGTACCTACAGGTGATGTCACATGTTTAGAGCTGAGGTCTGTACTAGGGCTGGGATAAACGATTATTTTTTAAACGATTAATCTAGCGATTATTTTTTCGATGCATCGATTAATCTAACGATTATTTTTTTCGCTTCGATTCGATTTCGATTCGATTCGATTCTCGATTATCTCCCCATTAATTGACTAATATTGATGTATACATGTTGATTTAAATATTTTAATGATAAAAACATGAATTCCTTCACAAAAAATATGTATTGCTTGCACTTAAAAAATAAGACATTCTTAGAGGTAGCATAAAACCTTAAAGCCTTGAAAACACAGCTTACTGAAAAAAGTGCATCTTATCATTCTTGAAACAAACATTTGATGCTTAGCATTCAATAAAAATATGAAAAAGTTCAGCCAAATACTTGTGTAGAGCAACTAAAAGAAAACAGTAACCAATGTAAACTTGAAGGCTTTAAGCTAAACAAAGAGTGCTTTTCCAGCAAAAACAGTGGGAGCCATCAGCCTGTCATGGCTACATAAGAGTGTAGAGTGGCCACAGGACGCGTCATCAGCCTACGTCAGCAGCCTACGTCAGCAGCCTACGTCAGCAGCCTACGTCATCAGCCTACGTCATCAGCCTACGTCATCAGCCTACGTCAGCAGCCTACGTCATCAGCCTACGTCAGCAGCCTACCTCATCAGCCTACGTCATCAGCCTACGTCAGCAGCCTACCTCATCAGCCTACGTCATCAGCCTACGTCATCAGCCTACGTCATCAGCCTACGTCATCAGCCTACGTCAGCAGCCTACGTCATCAGCCTACGTCATCAGCCTACGTCATCAGCCTACGTCAGCAGCCTACGTCATCAGCCTACGTCAGCAGCCTACCTCATCAGCCTACGTCATCAGCCTACGTCATCAGCCTACGTCAGCAGCCTACGTCATCAGCCTACGTCATCAGCCTACGTCAGCAGCCTACCTCATCAGCCTACGTCAGCAGCCTACGTCATCAGCCTACGTCAGCAGCCTACCTCATCAGCCTACGTCATCAGCCTACGTCATCAGCCTACGTCAGCAGCCTACGTCATCAGCCTACGTCAGCAGCCTACGTCATCAGCCTACGTCAGCAGCTGCGGACTGCTATGAAAACATTAGCTTTGTGGTTTCACAGGCGCAGTTGACTGCTTAAACTAAACTTTGCACGAAACTTTGACTCTTAAAACCCACATGTGACAAAACGGAATCATCAACATCTCGCCTCAAATTGCATTAAAAGTGACATTCGTGTCTTAATTCGTTCGTATTTTAACTTTTAAAGAAATTCACGGTCCGCCATCTTGGTTTGCTTCGGCTGCCGTGAGTCGCGCATGCGCAGGTTTGCATTACATCATAAACAGCTGAGGCAGTGCATCTCTTCAAGACAGTGTATCTCAGCGTTACACCGGCTTGCACTTCTCTAACACGGCACTCGCATTGTTACCGCTCGCCGCCATCTTTGTTTTGTGTGTGACGCACCGACGCGCATATTATACGTCGGTGTATTTTTTGCGTCGACGTCACCGATTACGTCGACGCGTTGTCCCAGCCCTAGTCTGTACCTACAGGTGATGTCACATGTTTAGAGCTGAGGTCTGTACCTACAGGTGATGTCACATGTTTAGAGCTGAGGTCTGTACCTACAGGTGATGTCACATGTTTAGAGCTGAGGTCTGTACCTACAGGTGATGTCACATGTTTAGAGCTGAGGTCTGTACCTACAGGTGATGTCACATGTTTAGAGCTGAGGTCTGTACCTACAGGTGATGTCACATGTTTAGAGCTGAGGTCTGTACCTACAGGTGATGTCACATGTTTAGAGCTGAGGTCTGTACCTACAGGTGATGTCACATGTTTAGAGCTGAGGTCTGTACCTACAGGTGATGTCACATGTTTAGAGCTGAGGTCTGTACCTACAGGTGATGTCACATGTTTAGAGCTGAGGTCTGTACCTACAGGTGATGTCACATGTTTAGAGCTGAGGTCTGTACCTACAGGTGATGTCACATGTTTAGAGCTGAGGTCTGTACCTACAGGTGATGTCACATGTTTAGAGCTGAGGTCTGTACCTATAGGTGATGGAAGAGAGCTTTTAAAGGGCAAGGGTGAGAATTGGGACGGGGCTTGAAGTTTACTGGGTGCAGCTCTGACTGCCACCCCCCCCAACCCAGAAATGGATTAAGGGGAAGAAAATGGATGGATGGATGGAATGAAAATAAAAAACTCTTTGAATGAGGTATGTCCAAACTTTTAGTCTGTACTGTATACCGTATGTATACACAGTGTATATAGTATGTATACACAGTGTATATAGTATGTATACACAGTGTATATAGTATGTATACACAGTGTATATAGTATGTATACACAGTGTATATAGTATGTATACACAGTGTATATAGTATGTATACACAGTGTGTGTATAGTATGTATATAGTGTGTGTATAGTGTGTATATGTATGTATATAGTGTGTGTATATGTATGTATATAGTGTGTGTATATGTATGTATATAGTGTGTGTATATGTATGTATATAGTGTGTGTATATGTATGTATATAGTGTGTGTATATGTATGTATATAGTGTGTGTATATGTATGTATATAGTGTGTGTATATGTATGTATATAGTGTGTGTATAGAGTGTATACAGAGATACGCAAGAATTGGACGCGACCAACAAACGTAAGAGGGCGAGGAGCATGTGGCTCGTGAGAAGTGAAAGTTGAGACGTTATTGAAAAAGGAATTATGCCATTTCTGAACAGGATTCACATCCTCCAATCTGCCCCGGGGCAGCTGCGTGTGCTTTGTACTGGCATCCGCTTTGACAACAGCTCAGCAAACGCACATCCGTAACATGGTACCGACCGCGGACCATAGACGCGTGGCAGAACCATAGACGCGTGGACAGAACCATAGACGCGTGGACAGAACCATAGACGCGTGGACAGAACCATAGACGCGTGGACAGAACCATAGGCGCGCAGCCACCATAGACACGCGGACAGAACCTAAGTGCTGTCTCCACCGGCCGCGTCTCCGTTTGCGCGTGTAGGCTGCTGCCCGTCAGACGTGCGTAAAACGGAATAGTGGCCACAGTGACTGCAGCAGCGCGCAGCTCTGGCTAGAGGTGCGGTAGACAGTGGGTACAGAGACTTGCGGCAAAAGCAAGAGACAAACTTTTTCCTCTGGAAACCGTCACAGGGACACAAGCGCGCAGCCAGAGACACTGAAAACACTCAAACAGCCAAAACAGGAGCTAAACCAGGACTGTCAATGGGGGACACTGTGCTTGTGAACATATGACTGAGTTGTCATTCCCTTGTGACTAAATATGTGCCGTTTATAGTATGTATAGAGTGTATATAGTGTGTATATGTATGTACATAGTGTATATAAATAAATTAGTCCATAAAATAAGTTTAATTTTAGTTTTAAAATATTAGTCCATAAAATAGTCCATAAATTGGACTATATTGTTACCATGGCGGCGCATGAACATGCTGCAGCTTCTCTCTCTCTTGACAAGGTGACATTTCTACCCTTTTCTACCCTTTTCTGCAAACTGCATTTGCAGTTTTTGTGATCCGCATTGTTTAGCAAGATGTTGTTGTACATCTTTGCCATGTTTTTGTGGAGTTCAGCGGATTTTTTACTGCCAAAGCTCTTTGCTAGCAATGATCAGAGGATGTGTTTTTAAAAGTAAACACTCAGTTAGCATCTGAGCTAAAGGCTTTTTGAGCAGTATTTAAGACCTACAAATCCAGAGATATCATCTTCTGAAGCGCTGACAGGTCACCGAGGGCCCCACGCATCTGCAGCACAGTGGAGGCGTCACAAGAGGCGCTACAGGAGTCCCGGCCTCCGTTGTGGGCAACTTCTACAGAGGGACTGTAGAGAGCATCCTGACCAGCTCCATCACTGGGTGGCACGGCACCAGCACTGCCTCCTGCCAAAGGAGAGCAGCAGAGAAGATCTGTGGAGCCCCTCTCCCCACCATTAAGGACATGTACTCCACCCGTCTCACCCGCAAAGCCGTCAGAATCACCAGGGACCCTACGCACCCATCACACAGGATCTTCAGGGTAATGCCTTCAGGGAGGAGACTGCAGAATTTACGGAACAGTTCCAGTCGACTTAAAAACAGTTTCATTCACAAGGCCATCAGGAAGCTGAACTCCCTGCCCTCCCTCCCACCCCTCTTCCCCCACCCCCCGCTCCACAATCAAGGATGAGAGAAATATAATTTCAAACCATTCACTTGGTTTGACAAATAAAACTCTTGAAATCTTGAAAATCTATAGTATGTATATAGAGTATATATGGTGTATATAGTGTGTATATGTATGTACATAGTGTATATAGTATGTATATAGAGTATATATATATAGTGTATATGTATGTACTTTGTAATTTGGCACCCCCACCACTAAATACATTTGTGAAAAGGTGTGAGGAGGTGAGAACCAGATCCACCAGAGCCACATCCAGGGGAGACTGTGAACTTTAGGTCCTCCTCATTTGGTCAGAACTGTTTCTCTGTCAAAGCAGCAGTGGCCTGGAACTCACTACCTCTGTTTGTGCGGGAGAGTAGCTCACTAGGACAGTTTAAACTCAGCCTAAAAAACTGGCTCAAAGAGAATCAAGTCTGTAGTCATTAGTCAGATGTAAATAATTGTGTGATGTATATTTTGTATGTATTGAATTGTGTCTGTGTGATTTAGAGGTGTTGTATTTTAATTAGGCCATTCATTCTTTCTATTTATCAATTCTTTGCACACTGTAAACCTGCTGTCACGTTGCCTCTGCCTCAGGGACTACGGATGAAAATTAGCTTGTAGCTATATCCGGTCTGAACAATACATTTATTGTGCAATGTCCCTGTCAAATAAACAAATAAATAAATAAATAAACATAGTGTATATAGTATGTACATAGTGTATATAATATGTATATTGAGTATATATAGTGTATATAGTATGTATTTAGAGTATATAGAGTGTATATAGTGTGCATATAGAGTATATAGAGTGTATATAGTGTGCATATCGAGTATATATAGTATGTATATAGAGTGTAGTGACCTGCCAGCACAGAGCTCCCACAGCCACTGTAGATCCCAGAGTGAACAGCAGGAGGCGCTCTGAGACGAGGCAGTAGTGTCTCATTCCTTTGGAGGCCATGATCTTGTCCAATCCACTGAAGTCCGGCCCCTGGGACCAGCAGAGCCTCTGACAGTCGCTCAGTTTGGTGTGAAAGCCCCAAACGGTCGCCACGAAGACCAGGTGAGAGATGCTCCAGAAGAGAGAGGTCACCATGAAGCCAGGGACCAGGAGGAACCAGGGGTCAAGGTTCAGGAGCTTACGGGCACAGAGAGCCAGGAACACCACCTCCACCTGTACAGAGACACACGCAGAGACAGACACAGAGAGACAGAGAGAGACAGAGACACACAAACACAGAGACACACACACTTATTGCACTTGTCTGTATGGTGCGCCTGTAGTGTCACCATAGTAACCGCCTCACCAGCAGCAGCGGCAGCAGAGACAGCCTCCTCCACAGACCTCGCCACATCAGGAACGGGCGCCATCGCTGCGTCACAGACAGACCACTGAAGTACAGGTCCAACAGCGGGTCACAGATCAACTGTGAGAAGAAACAGCACAGAGCCAACGGGTTCACGTCCAGCCGCAGGGACTGGAAGAAGGCGGCTCCTGTGACCACGGCGAAGGACACCAGACATGGCAGCGAGAGCAGAGCCTTCAGCCTCAGGGCGACCATGACTGTGCCCAGAGACAGCAGCAGCACAGACACAGACACAGACTTGTTAATGAGAAGAGTCGTACTGGCCACAGCGAAGCCACATAACTCCACACGCTCCGCAGACGTCAGGAAGGCCGGCCGGAACCTGCGGTCAGGGAATGGTCAGCTGCAGCTACAGTATTAGCCTCAAAGTCTAACTTATACATGTAGGTTTAGGTTGTGTTGATAAGATAGAACAGTCCTGGGTGCACTAGAATACACAGTACTTTATACTTGCCTCTTATTATGCCAATTGTCAAACTTTTATACTTCTTTATTATTATTAGGTTCAAGATAAAGATTTTATACTTGTTCTTTGATGCTAGAGATGTTTTTATTTTAATTAGTATAGCTATTGTTCACTTATCTTGTGCTGTGTGCTCCTCATTCCTTTACTGTTCTATAACTTGTGATGCAAGATTCTCTCTTAATCTTAAAATCTATTGTTTTCAACTGAAACATTAAAGCGAGTACTGACTCACAGGACTCTCATGCTTTCTGATCTGATGACCACGGAAGGTCCGTTTATAGAGTACGTGAAAGAGCTCACCTGGTCCTTCCGAACAGCCGCTCCAACAGCGCCCACATGGTCCGCAGCACCATACTCGCCAACAACATGTAATTAGCCGCTCGCTCCTTCACGTCAGTCCTCACAGACACGGGGTTAATGAAAGAGAGTAGTCCGAGCAAGAACCCGAACCACAAATGCAACAAACTCAGGCTCAGTCTTTCCATGTTGAAGAAATAATGCAAGACACTGGCCAGTCCCAGGACCAGCAGCGCCAGCACCAGGATGACAAGTATCGTGGATCCTTCAGTCTTCTCCCACCGCACGTAGAGACCCAGGAACAGGGCGAGGAGCAGGTTCACGCCGGACAAGGAGCCCACCATCCGGACTGAGGACCACACGCTCACCTCCTCCAGCCTGGCTCCTTTCACCTCCTCCAGCCTGGCTCCTTTCACCTCCTCCAGCCTGGCTCCTTTCACCTCCTCCAGCCTGGTCATTGCGGCGTGCAGACAGTGGCTCACGCAGTAGCGCAGAAAACGACACATTTTAGACATGTTTCAAGTCTAAACAAAGTCAGTAAAAGGCACAGAGTCGATCAAGTCTGACGTCATCTCAGAGTAAGATAAGTTTACTGACTGTTAGCATTGGCTTCCGTTAGCTCCCTCCGCAGTCAGGGCAGAACTACGCGACAGTTACATGTTTGTCGTTTTGGTTCAGTGAAGAGTGAGAAGATCATTTGTATTACACTTGTTTAGAGAGAGGACAGAGCCAGGAGACGCCAATTACATCAGAAAACTGTCCCGGAGAAAGTTTTGAAGCGTTTGACAGCGGCGCCATGTTTACTGCTACGGCGAGAGAGAAGGGTCAGAGTCTAAACCGAAAGTGCATCATCTATTACTATGCCAAAGTTGAAGATATTTACGACAATCCCAAATGTTAAATATTTTCCTCTTTTTGCATTGACATATTACGTGGGTATCATTCATCTATCCATCAATTTTCTTCCGCTTTATCTGTTGTTGTGTAACAGAGGCAGCAGTCAAGCAGAGACTCCCAGATTTCCTACGGGCCAGTCCTGGGTCTACAGCCTCAGTCCTGGGTCTACAGCCTCAGTCCTGGGTCTACAGCCTGAGTGCCGCTCACTTTGGACCAATGGCTCTGTTTGTTATTATTACAATTCCTGTGTTTGATTTTCTGATCTTCTGTTGGTGAATCAACAACTTTGTGTCCTTTGAGACGACAGCTGTTGTGATTTGGGGCAATACACAAACACATTGAATGGTAAAGTCTTTCTAGACACATTTTCTCCATTAATAATACGATTTATAACATGTCATAAATTATTAAATTGACTTCACACCAGACTGAGTTTGTTTCTGTCTTAGACCCGATGGAAGACGATGGTTAATACCATGTGTGCAACAGGATCAAAGGGATTTGGAAGAATCATCAGAGCTGGGACTGAGGAGCACAGGGACTGGCCTCCTGCTGGGACTGAGGAGCACAGGGACTGGCCTCCTGCTGGGACTGAGGAGCACAGGGACTGGCCTCCTGCTGGGACTGAGGAGCACAGGGACTGGCCTCCTGCTGGTGATTCTGAGAAGCACAGGGACTGACCTCCTGCTGGTGATTCTGAGAAGCACAGGGACTGGCCTCCTGCTGGGACTCTGAAGGATTTTATATTTTATCTTTGTAACAATTATTTATGATGCTAATCCTTGTGTGATTGTTCTGTAATTGGAGTTGCCTTGGGTATGAACTGTGCAATACAAATAAACTTCCTTTGCTCATTACTCACAATATAGATGCAAACAAACCTTTTTCTCTTGGTTTATTTCTTCAGATTCTTTCAGTCATTTCAAGTCTTTTCAAATATAACAATCCTTCAGTTCAAAAAAAGGCTTCAGTGATGAACCAGGGGAAAACTGTCAAAGTTTATGTCCCTAACTCTAACTAACTCTAAAGAGATCAGAGAGACTAGAGAGAGACCAGAGAAAGAGACCAGAGAAAGAGATCAGAGGGAAACAACAGTCAGACAAAGTCAACAGGTGGATTCCAGAGGTCCTGTGCTTCAAAAAAAGGTACAAGTCTTTGCTGACAGAGCTGAAGTTGGCTGGATGACTATGGCAAAGGACCTCATAGCCTTAAACAAGACCGCTATTGGCCCACAGGCCTTGGTTTGGACAACCCTGAAATGGTTTTTCCGAAAGCATTTGTCATCGTTACAGGCGACAGTAGAAATGATACTGGAGGCGGACGGTCTCCTCCCTCTGTGTCCTGGGTCTCCTCCTGGTTTCCAGGGTTCCTGATTGGTTAATAACATTTCTACATTCACCAGCGCCTGCTGTGTCCTCATTGGTTAAAAACATTTCTACATTCCCCCAAGCTGCTGCATCCTGATTGGTTAATAACATTTCCGAATGAAAACCTGCTACGTCTTTAACTTTGGAGCAAAATGGGATCTTCGAAGTGGTGCGGCGCAGGCACAGAGCTGGCCTGACGCCCCGAGTCAGAGTCAGAGTCTGAGTCGTAAGGAGTCTGCGGCAGCTCGCTGAAGCTCCACGCCACTCGTTCATCTTCCAGCTCTGAGCGCATGTGGACAGGATAAGCCTCCTCCTCCTCGTCCTCAGTGAAGTCCTGTGGGATGTAGAGCATCTCAGGGTAGTTCTGAGAGACCAAGTCGCTGCTGGTGGCGAGGGAAACCTTCCGGAAAGCCATCAGATGCATGTGCGAATACTTGACGTATTTGTAGCGTTTAAACCCCAGGGACTCGATGGCGACTCTCCAGCTGCGCATCATGAGCGCGTGGCGGTTCTGGTGCGAGGAGTCAGGCGTGATGATGAGGAGCAGGCCCTGCAGCTCTAGCAGCTCGTGGGCTTTCTTACAGCAGATCCAGCGCTGGTACGGAGACGGGAAGTAAGACAGCAGCAGAGAGAAGACCACCACCTGGAACAGCTGCGCAGGCAGCGTGTCAATGGGACTGTGCAGCTGCAGCAGGAAGCTCTCCAGCGCGTCCCGGGTCAAATGCACCGGAGCCTGCAGCTGCAGGTTCAGGAAGTCGCATTTACGCACGCTCTGGAGACACACACACGTGTTAGAGCCTAACATAATTTAGTCACACATACACACACTCTGGAGACACACACGTGTTAGAGCCTAACTGTCTAACAGAGAGAGACCAGAGAGAGACCAGAGAGAGACCAGAGAGAGACCAGAGAGAGACCAGAGAGAGACCAGAGAGAGACCAGAGAGAGAGACCAGAGAGAGAGACCAGAGAGAGACCAGAGAGAGAGACCAGAGAGAGAGACCAGAAAGAGAGACCAGAGAGAGAGACCAGAGAGAGAGACCAGAGAGAGAGACCAGAGAGAGAGACCAGAGAGAGAGACCAGAGAGAGAGACCAGAGAGAGGTGCTCTGCTCTGAAAGGTTCACATGAAACGCTGGGATCCTCCTCTCGCTTTAACCAGTATGTTTGCTCAGAGGCACAAAGTCGCCCTCTGCTGTTCTGAGTGTCTACAGCATCACCAGGTTTCAAAAGGAATGAGTGACAATCGTGCAATAATTGTGCAGATTAGAAAAGTCTCATATGACAAAACACAAAAAAACAAAATCAAAAGCGAACCTCGACCGCAGGAACGATGTCGATCCCAACCGTGAGGAACTCGTCAAAATTCAAGAACGGGTTAAAACAGCTGCCCACGTCCAGCAGGCGCATTCTGCCCATCCGAGAACTGAAGACAAACCTCCATTTACACATCAACATGCAATAATGTATCAATGCTAATGCTACATCAATGCTAATGCTATAACAACACTAACTTTATATCAATGCTAAGTCTACATCAGGGGTGTCAAACTTATTTTGGTTGAGGGCCGAATAAAAAAAGAAAGACCTGGTCAGGGGCCGAAAAAATAAGTGGGTTTCATTTATAAATTTTTTTTGGAATATGACGGTATCTAAATAATTGCCTTGTTTCACATTAGTTGGATTGGACATTCTTTTCTGATTAGAATTAGTTCAGTTTCTGTGGACTGAACCAAAACTAGACCAAATAGTGAAGGTACTGTATATAGGAAGATTTTATACTTTTGAGTGGATCATCAAGATTATTGGTCCTCCCAGTTATCAATCATTCTGGTGATTTGTGATAGTCAAATAAGACCAGAGAGTTTGGTTCAAAAAGTGGAGAGGGCGGTTCTTTCCTAAGAAAATTGGAAAAGCCTTTATTTCTTATGGAATTAAATGTTATGGTTGTTTTCTTAGTGATGGATAACATGCCATTGTCGCCTATAACCATTTATGCTGCTATTTAATATAATAATTCAAAATCATCTTAAGGGCCACTGAAAATGGTCTCGAGGGCCGGATCTGCCCCGGGGCCTTGACTTTGACACCTGTGTTCTACATCAATGCTAATGCTACATCAATGCTAATGGTATATTAATGCTAATGCTACATCAATGCTAATGTTATATCAATGCTAATGCTACATCAATGCTAATGCTATATCAATGCTAATGCTACATCAATGCTAATGCTACATCAATGCTAACTTTATAGATGTACAGTGGGGCAAAACATTATTTAGTCAGCACCAGTTCTCCCACTTAAAAAGATGAGGCCTTTAATTTCCATCATACATAATCCTCAAATATGAGAGTTTTTATAAAGAATGACTGGCCCCGGACTGGCCCCGGACTGGCCCCGGACTGGCCCCGGACTGGCCCCGGACTGGCCCCGGACTGGCCCCGGACTGGCCCCGGACTGACCCTGGAATGGCCCCGGACTGACCCTGGACTCGCTGTGCTAAGTGTAAAGTGCCGGAGTCTTACGCAGGGACAGAGCTGAGACTCGAAGTGCTCAGTCCTGAGCTCAAACCCAGAGAAGCAGCAGCACTTTTCTGGTCCTTCTCCATCATCTTCTTCATCCCTCCACATAAGAAGTACTCCTGACACACGCTGTGAAGAGGCAAGAGAGGAAGTCTTTAATTCAGACAGAAGACATGTTTTATTGTCGATGGTAGGGACAGCATTAACAAAGACGTTACAGAATGTAAGTGACATACAGCGGAAGGAATGGAGACTTATTAGCATTATTAGCATTATTAGCAAATATTAGCATTCGCCGCCCACGGTGCCAGTAGCTTCAACCTTGATATTACCAAAACATGTAGTGGAAAAATACTGCCTTGTGCATATTGTTAGAATTATGAGTCAGAAAGTTAACAATAGTAGCTTCAAAGTGTCATGAAATATCCAAAAAAGCAAAGAAATACTCGGAAGAGTTGCATTTTCTTCGCATATCAGCAGCAACTCTTGCTGGCCTGACCACCACTTCGTCAACCGGAAGTTTATGCGTCACGTGACTGCAAGCCAAGAATATCATTCACTCATTACATTCAAACATATTGCTTTTAGTGGTAGAGGAAACCGGAGCACCCGGAGGAAACCTACACAGGGGAGGAAAATGCCAAGTCCATTCAGAAAGTCTTCCGAAGGCTGTTAGACAGGCCTCTATCCTGACTAGAGCAAGGCAATGTGGAGAAAATAAGTATATCCATATAATTTTGATATCTAAATAACGTTACAGGGTAAATAACCCCCAAATCTACTGCAAAAACAAATATGCCACATTTCAAAGTTATTGTTTATTGAACCTCTGTCAGTTGAAGTAGGAACAAATAATGTAAACTAATGCATCGGTTTTATATAGCGCTTTTATGGACACTCAAAAAAGCACTATATAATAAATATTTCACATCATTATTCATTTACTCCATACACATGGTGATAAACTACTACTGCAGCCACAGATGCCACAGTTTGGCACTTTCCAGCCGCCCCACTGTGTTTAAAGTGTTTGTAACAGTGTTTAATGTGTTTGTAGCTGTGTTTAAAGTGTTTGTAACAGTGTTTAATGTGTTTGTAGCTGTGTTTAAAGTGTTTGAAGCTGTGTTTAAAGTGTTTGAAGCTGTGTTTAAAGTGTTTGAAGCTGTGTTTAAAGTGTTTGAAGCTGTGTTTAAAGTGTTTGTAGCTGTGTTTAAAGTGTTTGAAGCTGTGTTTAAAGTGTTTGAAGCTGTGTTTAAAGTGTTTGTAGCTGTGTTTAATGTGTTTGTAGCTGTGTTTAAAGTGTTTGTAGCTGTGTTTAATGTGTGCATAACAATGTTACATATAACCAGGTTATAGTCACCTGCGACACCACTCGATGCGCCCCTCCCCCTCACTCTTCCTGGTCCAGTGATGGTCCGCCAGGTTCCTCATGGCGTTGGCATATTCACTCAGGGTCTGCTGGTCTTCACAGTGCTCTCTCCAGATCTTCTCAAAGTCCCCCACTGCAACACAAGGTACCATCGTTACAGACCCTACCATCGTTACAGACCATCAACATGCCAGCAACATGCCATCAACATGCCAGCAACATGCCATCAACATGCCATCAACATACCATCAACATGCCATCAACATACCATCAACATGCCAGCAACATGCCAGCAACATGCCATCAACATACCATCAACATGCCATCAACATGCCAGCAACATGCCATCAACATACCATCAACATACCATCAACATACCATCAACATACCATCAACATGCCATCAACATGCCAGCAACATGCCATCAACATACCATCAACATGCCATCAACATACCATCAACATACCAGCAACATGCCATCAACATGCCATCAACATACCATCAACATGCCATCAACATACCATCAACATACCATCAACATGCCATCAACATGCCAGCAACATGCCATCAACATACCATCAACATGCCATCAACATACCATCAACATACCAGCAACATGCCATCAACATACAATTGTTATAGACCAGAGAGAGAGACTAGAGAGAGAGAGACCAGAGAGAGAGACCAGAGAGAGAGAGACCAGAGAGAGAGAGACCAGAGAGAGAGACCAGAGAGAGAGACCAGAGAGAGAGAGACCAGAGAGAGACCAGAGAGAGAGAGAGACCAGAGAGAGAGACCAGAGAGAGAGAGACCAGAGAGAGAGACCAGAGAGAGAGACCAGAGAGAGAGACCAGAGAGAGAGACCAGAGAGAGAGACCAGAGAGAGAGACCAGAGAGATCAACCCTAAACCCTGGCCTTATGAAAACACAGAACATTTTAAAGAAATATTAGGCAGGTCTTCAGTCCATTAAAACTGATACAGACGAGTTCCTTCATGTGTAAAAATGTGAAACTATAGTTCAATAGTAAATGGTATCAAGGCTAATGCTCCCTAACCCCGAGTGGTAGCACCGTGAATTTCTCTCTCTCTGGTCTCTCTCTGGTCTCTCTCTCTCTCTCTCTCTGGTCTCTCTCTGGTCTCTCTCTGGTCTCTCTCTGGTCTCTCTCTGGTCTCTCTCTGGTCTCTCTCTGGTCTCTCTCTGGTCTCTCTCTGGTCTCTCTCTGGTCTCTCTCTGGTCTCTCTCCGGTCTCTCTCCGGTCTCTCTCTCTCTCTCTCTCTCTCTCTCTCTCTGGTCTGGACAGCATCTACAGCCAGTTAAGACTCACAGCTACGACTTATTTTGTTTATGTTGTGTCTCTCACTAGTATCCTGTCTGTGCGCTGCAACATTGAAATTTCCCCCCTGTGAGACGATCTATAAAAAGGATCTCTTTTCTCTTATCACAGCTAGCATCACAGCTAGCATCACAGCTAGCATCACAGCTAGCATCACAGCTAGCATCACAGTTAGCATCACAGCTAGCATCACAGCTAGCATCACAGTTAGCATCACAGTTAGCATCACAGTCAGCATCAGTCTACTACTACATCACTTTATAAATGCTCTGGATGTGGCTGACGCTGTCCCCGGTGCCCACGGGCCCAGACCCGGACTCAGTTCTCACCCTCTCGGTATTTCCTGCGTAGTTTTCGGTGCACGTCTTTCACGACACCGGACAGTTTCTCCTGCTCCCGTTTGCGATGCTCGGTCTGCGGGATCGGCACGGACCACACCTCCCCGCGGCTCTCCACGCTACCACCCGGATCCATGCTCCTGTGGCCGCAGAGAGGAGCAGCTCAGGCGGCGTCACTCCTGCTGCTGCCCCTGGACCACCGGAGGAGGAACCGAAGGCACAGGGCAATAACGACAGCGCTGATTGGTCCGTGGTGACAAGCACGTTGGACAAATGACAGCTCAGCAGCCAATCAGAGCGCAGGAAGAGAGGGGCTTGGTTTCCATATGGTTTCTTTTCCTTCTTAGATACGATCAAATATAAAAAACACGTTTATAGTTATATTTCCATCACTTTTTTCATTAGTTTAATTCTCTTGTAAACTTTATTACATTATAGAATCAAATCAATTAATTCTCATTAGCCACATTCACTCCAGTTTCATCTATGGTTGCGACATACATTTAACTCAAAATGACTATAAATAAACTGTATATGATTTACTTTATTATAGCACTGATTATAACAGAAATAGGAATGACACAGTTTTAAAACCTAACACTGAACATTTCTACAAAACCACAGTTATTACAAACTGCTCAGTGTGTAAAACCCAAACCCACACGGATCTGTGGGTTCAACTTGTCATTATAATTCTTTAATTGATTAAGTGGCATAATGCAAATCTTCATTGGCATTACATTAAAAGTAAACAAGAAAAAACATTTAATACTCAAAAATGCCTGCATCAGACCTTGGATTCTCTGCAGGATTTGGCCTGGTTAGAACTTGGGATGGGAGACTTCTGAGAATACAATAATGTGAGATATGGTTAGGGATGGATTTGATACATGTTAAAATCCAGGGCAACAACACTGAGGGACTGTACCTTCACTCACTTTAATGCACTGTGATTATTCATGATTTTAACTTTTGCCTTTTGTATGAACTGTGCTATACAAATAAACTTGTCTTCCCTTACAATACGCTTTATGTGTTTTATACAAAACAATAATACTATTAAACCTTCTGGCACCATAAAAAAGTACTGTTATTTTTCTACCATTATTTATGTAGTTAATAGTTAGTTAATATCAATTTAAAATAGGATACAAATTGCCAATGTGAAGCAAACTGTTGTTCCCTTTGGCAAGACACCATGTGAGACCATATGTGTGTTGTGTGATAGGACAATCGCTGTAGAAATACAATGCTTTTTTCCTCCCACAATACACAGGCTCATTCAGAAATACATAAGTAGAACAAAATTTATGAAATCACATGTAGGACTAATCATCAAAGTCTTTGTATTTGTCCAACTTCATGTGTTACACACGTGTTACACACGTGTTACACACGTGTTACACACATACGGACAAAGCATCAGGAGAAGCAGAGGTTTAAAGACCAATGATAATAACATTTATGGGCAGTGGTTAGTCCTTATGGACCAATGGCTCCCATTGTTTTAATTGATCTTATGTTATTTGATTCTCTGATCTGTTGTTGGTGAATCAATAACCTTGTAAAGTCGACTGCTGTTGTGATTTAGGGCTGAACAATGAGAATCTTGGGCAGCTCAGTTATCATCACAATCATCTATTGTGTTTTCTGTTCTATTTGTCACCTTGGAAAAACAGCCAGATCAGTGACAACAGGTAGAGTCCAAAGCAGGCAATAAAATCATAATGATATGATACTGCTAGAAATAAAACTGCAAATGTGACAAAGAGCAGAGACTTTAGGACCTTCCTGTATGAAAACATCTTCTTCCAACAGTTATCATCATCTTCCTCTTTGGGCAAAGTGGCAGCAATAGTCTGCACTGGGCTCTCATCTTCATGTCTGTGGTTTATATCTGTCTGTTCCTCATCTAAAGCTTCACTGATGGAGGGTAAGGACGTAGAGCGCTTTGTCTTGGTGGAGGGCAGTCTTTTCTGTTCAGGTTTTGTGGCTTTTGTCGATCTCTGTTGCCCATAAACCGCACGGAGACAGTGCATATACAGCTCCATCTCATCTTCTGAACCAGATTCGGACTCAGAATTGCTCTCGTCGTCAGTGTTTTTATCATAATCCAAACCATCTGAAAATGTTGAATCATTGGCATCGATTTCAATGGGCATACAACGCTTAACTTCTATTTCACCCTGAACACTCAGAGAGCTTTTTTGCACTGTCTGAGCTTGTAATTTTCTCTTGACTTTGCGAGGAGGTACTTTGAACCTATCTCCCTCACTTGTGGGTTGTATTATTTCTATGTCTTCAACGATGTCTGAAAGTTTGTATTTTGGCATGTTGTCATTAGAATCCATTATTCTGCCTTTGTTACATCCATCTAGTTCTTTCTCTTCTACATGGGTTAATAATATGTCACGTTTTTCTATTTCATTGTCTTTCTTCAGTTCTTTAGCTCCGTCTTCCAAAGAAGCTTCAATCTGTAATTCCAATCTTACAGGATGGTCAACATAAAAACTTGTTTTTGACTCGACTACATTTGCAAAACATTGATTAGATGTCTTCAATTCCTCATCATTGCTTATTTGTTGTTTCTGATTCTCAACACAATCTTGTTCAACTTCCAGATTTTCATAATCTTTAATTTCATGGCCTTTAGATTCACTTTTTAAATTGTAAATCTTCTCTTCTCTTTCTAATATGGCGGCCGTTTCGGGAAAATCTTGCTCTAGGCCTGATTCCTCTAAAGGACTTCTGGTGTCGGATTGTATATCTACCAGACCTACAGAGCTGCTTTCATAAACTTGAGATAACAAGGAATGTTCTTCCATGTTTGATTCACAAGGTGCCATATAAATTCCACTCAAAATGTGATCATGTGGACGTTTAGAGCCACTGCTATTGTTGGTTAAACTTTCATTTTGGATAAGTTCCATGCATGAAAAAGTATTACCATTGGCGTCTTTTGAAGAGCCAAGATCAAGAGTTTGGTCCATTTCAGTTGGCATACAAGAACCTGCTTCCACTGGGTCGTCCTGGCTTGGAATATTTTTGGCTATCGAAGCAGATAACTTCCTCTTGGCTTGGCGTGGAGGTATTTTAAACCTTTCCTCATCTCTTGTTTTCAATTGTCTTTTTATTGTTTCTCTCTCTCTATTGTCACATTCACATTGTGGTGTATTGTTTATAGAATCCAATATTCTGCCTTCAATACTTGCAACGCTCGCACAAACAGCGATATTCTTTTCATTACTGCCACTTTGATATATTTCTTTGAAGAATGGTTTAGAAAACACTTCAGGTGCTACTAACGTGTCTAAGTTTTCTGCTGTATTTTTAAAGTCAACGCTGAGTGATGTTTCTGAATCTAATCTCTCAATAGCCCCATCTTCCGTTTGAGTCAGGAACAATGTTTTTGAATGTTTTTCTTTTTCAGATGCAAAAACACAATCATATTTTGTTTTTGACTCGACTACATCCTCACTTTGAACAGACGCCTCCCATTCCTCATCCGTGCTTGTTTCATGTTTCTCGATATTAACACTTTGTATGTCCTCCAGTTTTTCAAAGCAATTGGCTATTATTTCATAGCCCGTAGATTCACTATTTGCATTGGAAATGAAATCAGTCAGATCTTGCTCTCGGCCTGATTCAGCTGAAAGACTAACGGTGTCCAATGGTGCAGCTACCAAACCTACAGAACTGAGATTACAATCTTGAAGAAATGACTCGTTTTCTTCCATAGATGATTCAGGACATGGTAGCAAATCCATTTCACTCAATATGTAATCAAGTCCGAGATCAGGATTGTCAAGGAAACATTCTTTTTGGGCAAGAGTTTCACCTCCAAGAATTGAAAATATCGGGAGCATATTGCTGTCATTCTCCATGTTTAGCTCACCTGGTTGAGTGATCTTGTCACTTTCAGATTCTTCCAGAGATAAATTTGTAATTTCATCACACACTCTGTTTAATGTTATATCCACAGAACCAGCCTCACAAAAATATATTTCTTCTGTAAAGTTACCATGGCAATACGGACTATTTCTCTCCAGCAAACATGCCTTTTCTTCCACATTTTGGCCCATTGTTGCACAGTTTTCTGAATCATCATTATGGTCTAGTAATAAAGAATTGGTCGACAGTGTAGTTTGAGGGCATTCAGTGTCAGGAGTTACCTCGCCCGTTAATTTACACCTGTGTTTTGACTCCTCTAACAAACTCTTATTTTGATCAAGCGATAAAAACAGGTCTTTCTCCGGAGTTTCAACACTTGGTCTAAGAGGAAAGGTAATAAGTGGATTTTCTTCTTCATATATTGAGGATACATTTAAATTTTTGACTTCACTGTCTTGGCTCGGCTCGTTCTTAAACTTACTGGTGTTTGTGGCCGACACATGTTTGTTCTCATTGGGAGGTTTGGACGAGTGCTTTGAAATGACCAACATTGTCTGGTTTTCGAACTCTTGACTTGTTTCATCTATTGCATTTCTAGTTAAGAAAGCTACGTCTACATTTTTGGAAAGATGACGGTTTGAATATAGAGTGTCTTCACATATTTCCACTCGATGCACTGGTGATGTAAGTGCACTACAGCTTTCAGTATCTAGACTTGGAATAGTGCTGCAAGCCGGATCTACTAATGGTGATAAACTTGCGTCAGATTGGACTTTTCTTGATATGTCCAATGACTGATCAACACATTCTAAGCCACTTGGAACATTGAACGAGCTTTGCAAAATATCCTTGTGAGAAAGTTGAAAAGACAAAGTTGTGAGTTCCTCTTGAAACAGCGTCGGGCTCTGTGGTATAGCTACATTTTTCTTACTATACTCAAGACTTGGATAATCTAAGTCATCTATTTTGTTGCTAAGACCATCTTGTTCTTCCGTTTCCAACACTGTTTCATCTCTATTTTCATCAAAGTTTTCAATCTCTATCAACCGAGTCTTAGGAGTCTGGGTTACAATAGTTTCTCGATGTTCTGAACTAGAATCTTTCTTTCGTATCACCTTTTCGCTGTCCACAATTACACTGCCTGTCAAACATAGCACTTCTGGAAGCCCCAATGTTGGACTTACCATCTTCTCAACAGCATTATCAACCTTGTTTGTTCTTTCATCATTCCTATCATCGCAACTACGTCCGACGCAAGCGTGTCTTACATTCATAGTCTCATTCTCGATCTCTTGCTGCTTCTTCATGTGTTTATTGTTTGTTTCAGAATACAGCTGTCTCCCCACTGCTCTCCCAGACACCTCCTGGTAAAGTGGAGCAAGGACAGTTCCGAACGCAAAGCTAACGAGCCTCTCTCCAGGATCCTTCTGTGTCGAAACTTCTGAACTGGCTTCTACGCAGCTGCAGGCTTCTATGGGAACGGCTTTGCTCTCAACACCATCCACATCATCAGCAAGATCCAAGTTCTCACGTGTCATGGAGTCTGAGCCCAGTGCATCATCAGCAAATGGAACGCTTCCTTCAGGATTCGACTTCTCCAACGTTTGGTTCTGTTCTTCGGCTGCTGGGGTCTGTGTCTCTGGAGACGCCTGGCTTTCTTTGTTCTGGTCTGTTATGTTCTTTTGAGCAAAATAGTCCTTTATTCGAGCCACGCGCACTGCTTTCCTGCGGTTCCGACGACTGTGGTTTCGTCTGTTCTCCTGTTGATGAAAAAAAGTAATCAAATGTCAAACAGTTAAGCTGACAAACTCTGGTTAAAGCTGGGGTACCTAACTTTTAAACAACAACCAAATGATGAAATCCATCTTTCGATCTCTGGTCTCTCTCTGGTCTCTCTCTCTGGTCTCTCTCTGGTCTCTCTCTCTCTGGTCTCTCTCTCTCTGGCCTCTCTCTCGTTGGCCTCTCTCTCTGGCCTCTCTCTCGTTGGCCTCTCTCTCTGGTCTCTCTCTCGTTGGCCTCTCTCTGGTCTCTCTTTGGTCTCTCTCTCTGGCCTCTCTCTCTGGCCTCTCTCTCGTTGGCCTCTCTCTCTGGTCTCTCTCTCGTTGGCCTCTCTCTGGTCTCTCTTTGGTCTCTCTCTCTGGTCTCTCTCTCTGGTCTCTCTCTCTCTGGCCTCTCTCTCGTTGGCCTCTTTCTGGCCTCTCTCTCGTTGGCCTCTCTCTCTGGCCTCTCTCTCGTTGGCCTCTCTCTCTGGTCTCTCTCTCGTTGGCCTCTCTCTGGTCTCTCTCTCTGGTCTCTCTCGCTGGCCTCTCTCTGGCCTCTCTCTCTCTGGCCTCTCTCTCGTTGGCCTCTCTCTCTCTGGTCTGTGGTCTAGTAAAACAGCTCACCTGGACTGAGTCTTCTGTGCTGTTGTTGCTTGGGTTCGTTTCTCGTTCATGGATGGTATTTTCTCGTTCATGGATGGTATTTTGCTGAGTCGTCTCATCTAAAGAAAAGTTAAGGTTATAATCTAACAAATAACTTTTTTAAAATTACAGTTGAAGTTTCACCTGCTGCACTTTTCTCCGGCTCCAGAGACGACGCTCTGTCGTCCAGAGAGAAGCTCTGGCTGTAAACGAGTGAGAGAGAAGTTTATATACATTTTATTTGTTAGGGTTATGTCTTTGTAATAGACTATACATTACATTGTGTCATATTATACATTACATTGAATTAAACTGAACTTTGATTTTGTGATATTAAAAATCCACTGGACGTCAAACTACATCAATGAAAACACTGGAACAACAAAAACTTTAAAAGTTGTAAATTCACCAACAACAGATCAGAGAATCAGTTTTGAACACTGGAAAGGCCATAATAATAATAATAACAATGATTTTGGTGCTCTGTGGACTGGGTGCAGCTCTGACTGCCACCCCCTCAACCCAGAAATGGATTAAGGGGAAGAAAATGGATGGATGGTTGGAAAATAATAATTATTATTATAATAATAACAAACAGAGCCGTTGGTCCAAAGGTTAAAGATGGAAAAAAATTCTTTTTTTCTGACAGAAGGACTTCATCAACTATAAATGTTTTAGATTAAAACACATGAAGAGGACCACAGACACATGAGGACCACAGACACATGAGGAGGACCACAGACACATGAAGAGGACCACAGACACATGAAGAGGACCACAGACACATGAGGAGGACCAGAGACACACGAGGAGGACCACAGACACATGAGGAGGACCACAGACACATGAGGACCACAGACACATGAGGAGGACCACAGACACATGAAGAGGACCACAGACACATGAGGAGGACCACAGACACATGAGGACCACAGACACATGAGGAGGACCACAGACACACGAGGAGGACCACAGACACATGAGGAGGACCACAGACACATGAGGAGGACCACAGACACATGAGGAGGACCACAGACCTCACCTGACAGCTTTCAAACAGCTTTTCTTGCTTTCTCTTTGCGCCTGGCCTGGGACTGCCTTTTTCCGCTCATGACAAAACAGCACATAGTTCTTCCCGCCGTTATTGGCCCAAAATGTCCCGTTCTGAGTCTCGTATCGCAGACAGAAGTGCACTTTAGCCCCCTGCTCTGCGAACGGAGGCCCCAACGTCAGTCTGAAGGAGAAAGTGTCCGAGTGGCCGTCACTAGATCCTGGGACAAACTCTGACAACAGGTCAAAGTGGCTCAGCCAGTCGTCCAAAGAGGTGCGAACATAAACCGCTTTAGTGAAGGAGATGTTGAGGACGTGGATGACCCCTTTCAGAATGCTGGTCCTGGGGATCAACTCCAGGCTTTGTAACACCACCTTCTCATCCAGAAGCTTCACAATCATCTCATCAGAAGGCAAAGGCGTCGGAAAGTTGAAAGGTGAAATGAAGTATTTGTCCTCATCTTGGCTCGTCAGGTCTAAAAAGTCTGGAAGCTGCGGGACGTCCCATTTGTCGAACTCTTTCACTTGCACCAAACTCAGTCCGACAGCGTCTGCGAACGACACTCTACGAGAGCCGCTCAACGATGGAGGTTCTGAGAGGTCCGACTCCTCTTCGCTTATTGAGGTCTTCCTTCGAGGCTGAGGAGAGGATTTAGGTCGTATTCCAATCACTATATCTTCGTCCTCCTCATCCAAATCCACCTGGAGGTCCGGGTGGATTGGACTGGGAACCAGTAAGAGCCTTGGGGCCCCAGCACAGGAGCCTTGACTTCCCACAGACTCCATGCGGACTCTCTGTGAGACTGACATTAAACCCGAACCCCAAAGACACACGGCGTAGAGTTACACATGACATTGTTGCAAAGGCTCAAACTAAAAATACTTCAGCTATGTACAGTCTCAGAGCATAACCCGTCACTCCTCCTCTTTTTAACCTTTAGTCAACCAGGACTGTCCTATTGAGAGTCCTGTACCTGTGATGCTGTCGAGTCTGTACCTGTGATGCTGTCGAGACCTGTACCTGTGATGCTGTCGAGTCCTGTACCTGTGATGCTGTCGAGACCTGTACCTGTGATGCTGTCGAGACCTGTACCTGTGATGCTGTCGAGACCTGTACCTGTGATGCTGTAGAGTCCTGTACCTGTGATACTTCTGTGGAGTCCTGTACCTGTGATACTTCTGTGGAGTCCTGTACCTGTGATACTTCTGTGGAGTCCTGTACCTAGGAAGGGGCTAAAGAGTCCTGTACCTATGCTAATGTGGAGTCCTGTACCTGTGATGCTGTAGAGTCCTGTAACTGTGATGCGGCTAAAGAGTCCTGTACCTGTGCTAATGTAGAGTGTAGGAGTGTGGGTATGGTTGCTATGGCAACGTGTCAGGGGGCGTGGGTCACGTGGGCAGGGGTTTAGTGTCGGGAGTTTTAAAGGCACTCGCTTCCTGCTCCGTGACAGGGAGAGGGGAGAAGCTGGGTAGCCGCATTTTTCGTTGACCGCTCACTTTTGTACCATACTCTTTTGTTTCCTGTTTTACTCAAAGGCCTGTATCATATTCACTGTAACAATCATCAACCGTTGCTACAATTAAATCCACAAAACGCATTCTACGTCATGGTGCTACGTCCCTTAGCGGACTTCGCTAGTGGGATATCACGTGACCCCCAGGTCACACGCCAGAGAGATCAAAATAATTTGCTCCAATCACTAGCGACCTGGCCTGACAAGGCCGCACCCCCTCTTTCACTCTGGCGCCGATTGAGATCTTACCTTTCTACGTCGTACTTCATGTCAGAGATGTCTACCCCGACTGCACGTCCAAGTTCCCCTTCGCCCTCCGGTGTCGGACGTCGTCGGTGCTCCACCTGTCGGGTCAAGCTTCACCGCACGGCTCAGCATGCCAGCTGCTTCACGTGCATGGGCTCGGGCCAGGCGGCTGAGAGCGCTAGCTGCGCCTTGTGTCTCGCTCTCCCCAAGGAGGAGAGCAAACGCAGGCGAGCAAACGCAGGCGAGCGAACGCAGGCGAGCGTTCTACGCCGCTACGATGCCCCCTCCGGACTCTTCTAAGGACGAAGGGTCCGAGATTGACTGGGCCCCACTCGACCTTCCTCCTGTGCCCGCGGAATGGGGAGACTGCGAGGTTGGAGACTCGGAGGACGGCTCGCTCATCACCCTGGACAAGGTGGTTTCCAACCCGGAGCCGGACCGCTTCCCGCTGGACCACATGCCGGGTCTCTACTCGTCTGCGGCGGCCATCATGGGGGCCCCCCTGCCACCACAGCCAGACCAAGCGGTGGTGGACTTCACCTCCGTTGGCGCCGCACCTCGAGGGAGGAGGAGGAAGCAGCCCACACTGTGCCCGCGAATGGAGCCGATCCTCCATTACGCGACGCATGAGTGGTCCAAACCTCTGACAGCCAAGAGGCCTGCCTTGGGTTATGGGATGTACTGCAACGTGCAGGACTGGTCCTGGACCGGTGGCGTCCCGGAGATTGAGGACTCTGTCCGCATGGCCCTGCTCCCCTCCTCATCTGTGTGGCCCGGCACCAGACCTCTCCTTCCCTCCGAGCGGGATAGGAGGTCTGTGGCACTGCTGGATAGGTGTTACGCCAATGCGGCTCAGGTCGTCGCTTTGGCGAACAACATGGCGTTCCTCACGGGGGCGCTGGATAGATTGCTCTCCGCTGGCCAGTCACTCAGCGGGGACCGTCTTTCGGAGGCGAGGACCACCTCCGCGGCGCTCCTGCGCATGAGCCAGGCGCTTGCCGTGGATGGTGGACGCAACATGGCGGCAGCCCAAGTCGGGGTCAGGCACCTTTGGCTTGGGCTAGCTAACATCAGGGAAGCGGAGAAGAGGCAACTGCTGGACCTGCCCGTCTCCCAAGATTCCCTGTTCGGCCCGGACATGCAGGCCCTGGTGGAGAGCCTCGAGTCTGCGGCGAAGGATTTGGCGAGGCTAGCTCCGCACCTAGCTCCGAGGCGTGAGGCCCACCAGTCGTTGCGGAGCAGAGACAGAGGCAGAGAGCGCTCGCCCAGGAGGCGCTCCGATCCCGAACCTCGCTCCGCCACTCACCGTCTCCCCTCAACGAGACCCCCAGGCCCGGACAGACCCACGGGAGGCTCGCGGGAGCAACGTGCCCACCGCCGGCCTCCCTATGGTAGAGGAGGCCAGGGTGGCAAGAATGTTTTCAATAAAGGCCGTCCGGCATTTCACCAGTACTCGTTGTCTGAGTCTCATTTGGGGGTATGTAACATTTTTAATGATGTATCTGATTGTGTTACTTCCCGGGCACATAACGTGGCCTCGCTAGGCCTGCAGCCCCCTGAGCAGGGCGTGCAGTGCGCTACGCGGGCTACGAGCTCCGGTTCTCTAATCCATTCTATGCCCTCCCAGAGAGAGGTCAAGCGGAGAGTGTTGGTGAGTAGAGGTGTGTGTACTTCAGCTAAACACGTGCTAGCCCCTCCTAGCTACGAGGCTAAGCACAGGGTTTCCCACTCCAGGCACGGGGTTTCCCATTCCAGGGGCTCGCCCCCTTCCCCATGAGGCAAGAGCCGGGGGGGGCGGAGCGGCCGTGTCACAGGGGATGAACAGGCCCGGTCTTATGACATCGGGCCTGCGGAACACGTGACCGCCCCCGATGCACACGACGTGACGCAGGAGGCCTCTCTGCCCTTTTGTTCACCCCCCCTCCCTGCTAGGAACACCAGGAGAGGGCGGGGCTGTGACGTCTCGTGTTCCAGTTCCCGTTCCGCCCCTCGTAGATTTCTACAACATCTGGAGGGAGCAGGGATTACTGTCAGACCCGTGGTTGGAGAAAACCATGCGCAGAGCCTACGCACTGCAATTCTCCCGGAAACCACCACCATTCCGAGGCGTACGGGCAGCACGCTCTCAGGTACGGGGGTCATTAGTGGCACTGCAAGCGGAGGTCTCCTCTCTGCTGAGTCGAGGCGCAGCAGTGGAGGTAGACCCACAGGACGCCACCAGGGGGCTGTACTCCCCTTACTTCTTGGTGCCAAAGAAGTCAGGCGGGGTGCGTCCCATTTTGGATCTGCGCGTAATGAACGAGTGCATTTCCAAGCGTCAGTTTCGGATGCTGTCCACAAAGCAGCTTCTACAGTGTGTCAGGCAGGGAGACTGGATGTGCTCCATAGACCTGACGGACGCCTATTTTCACATGGCGATAGTTCCGGAACACAGGAAGTTCCTACGATTCGCAGTGGGAGAAAGGAGCTACGAATACTGCCGTCTCCCATTCGGCTACGCGCTCGCGCCTCGGACGTTCTCCAAGTGCGTGGAGGCAGCACTGGAGCCGCTCAGACGCGCGGGGGTAAGGATTTTAATCTATATCAACGATTGGTTAATACTGGCCTCCTCCAGAGAAGTGGCTGTGAGTCACACACACTGGGTCCTGTCCCACATACAGCGTCTGGGGTTTGTGGTGAACAGAGAGAAGAGCAGGCTGCAGGCGGCTCAACGCTTGATTTATCTCGGCCTGCAGCTGGACTCGGTGAGGTTCAGTGCTGCATTGTCCGAGGACAGATGGAGGAGCATCACCCGTCTGGCAAAGGAGGTGCTGGCGGGTCCCAGGGTCCCCGCGCGGCGCCTCAGATCCCTTCTGGGGATGATGCCGGCGGCTCATACTGTGGTACGGTTAGGCCTCCTCCACATGAGAATGTTTCAGAGATGGTTCTCACGTCTCAAGCTTCACCCCTCACGGGACGGGGGGAGGCTGATCTGGGTTCCCCAAACTGCAGCATCGGACATCAGGTTTTGGCTCACTCCGGGTCTGCTGCGGACCGGGGTGTCTCTGGTCAGCGCCGTGTCTCACGTGGAGGTGTTCACGGACGCGTCACTTGAAGGGTGGGGTCCTCGGTCAGAGCTCCGTAGGAGGCTGCTGGTCGGACTCAGCCCGCCACATCAACCTTCTGGAAATGGAGGCAGTGCACAGGGTGCACTGCCTCCATTTCCCCTGTTCTCACGCCCGTTTATCGGCCGCAGGCTCTGGGCTTGGAGGTTGAGAGGCGGAACCTCGTAGACCTGGGTCTTCCTCCGGCGGTGGTGGAGACCATTCAGGGGGCGAGGGCGCCAACCACGGTGAGAGCCTACGACACCAGATGGAGGCTCTTCAGCGTCTGGTGCAGTGCTCGTTCTTGGGATCCCAGGCACTGCCCCTTGGAGGGAGTCCTGGGCTTTCTACAGGAACTCTTTGAAAAAGGGAGGGCTGTCGGTACCCTGGCGGTGTTCGCGGCAGCCATCACCTCGGGTCACGGTGGCTTCGATGGGTTCACGGCCCGTTCTCATCCTTTGGTGAAACGTTTTTTGCGGGGGGCCCGCAGGAAGAGGCCCCCGCTTCAGAGAACGCCCCCAGTGTGGGACCTCAGAGTGGTCCTTAGGGGTCTGTCGGGCCCGCCCTTTGAACCAGTGTCGGAGGCGAGTCCCGAGTGTGTTGCTTTTAAGACTGCCCTCTTGCTGGCGTTGGCGTCTGCTAAGAGGGCGGGCGATTTGTGTGCGCTCTCCATACATGCGTCTTGTCTGTCCTTTGGAGAGGGGGACGGGCTGGTAGAGTTGTGGCCCAATCCGGCCTTTCTCCCTAAGGTCATTTCTTCGGCCTTCAGGTCGAGAGTGATCAGGATTAGGGCTTTCCATCCGCCGCCGCACTCCTCCCCCGAGGAGGAGCGACGGCACCTGCTGTGCCCTGTCAGAATTCTTAGGCGTTACCTGACCATGACATCTTCCTTCAGACTGGTGGATCAGCTGTTTGTGTGTCTGGGCCCCAAGAACAGAGGCGCCCCGCTGTCGTCTCAACGTCTGGCACACTGGGTCGCTTCGGCTGTACGGATGGCGTATCAAGCTCAGGGCCTGACGCCCCCGTGGGTTTTAAGGCGCACTCCACGCGTGGAGTGGCGGCTTCTACGGCCCTCCTCAGGGGGGCTTCGGTGGAGGACGTTTGCCGTGCGGCTTCTTGGGCTTCGTCCTCTTCCTTTGTCCGGTCTTACCTGTTGGATGTGTCGGACCGGTCGGTGGCTCATTCCGTGCTTGGTGCAGCGGACTGATTGGAATCATGGGTTCTTCGTCTATGAGATTACGGTTTGCCCTTCCGCCCTAGTTCAGGAGCTCTTGGGAGAGGCGTCCTGTAGGTGCGGTGTTAGGGGTGTTGGTCAGTTGGGTGGTCCACGTCAGGAGCTCTTGGGAGAGGCGTCCTGGGACTACGGGTGACTTTTGGTCGGTGTTACTTGGGGGTGTCCTTGGGAGGAGCGGCCCCGTAACACGCTTGGATTTGGTTTCTGTCCTGAGTCTTCTCACTGTGTGAGGGTTGCTCGGACGGGGCTCCAATCACTCTTCGCAGGCCTGCTGGGAGTACATGTTCCTACGGCCTCCGCGTTGTGTCCCACTAGCGAAGTCCGCTAAGGGACGTAGCACCATGACGTAGAATTAATAGTTACCTAATGTAACTTAAGTTCTACGAATAGGTGCGTAGTCCCTTAGCTACGAACCCATCAGGCCAGCCCGGCTTGGCAGAGTTCAAGAGGGGGTGCGGCCTTGTGCAGGGGCCTTTATAGAGGAGGGTCGCTAGTGATTGGAGCAAATTATTTTGATCTCTCTGGCGTGTGACCTGGGGGTCACGTGATATCCCACTAGCGAAGTCCTAAGGGACTACGCACCTATTCGTAGAACGTAAGTTACATTAGGTAACTATTAATTACGTGCCTCCAGCGTGTTCTTTACAATCGGCTGCGCGTCACCGATTCATTTTTATTCCTGTATTTTTAGCTTGTTTTATTCCTGTATTTTTAGATTGTTTTATTCCTGTATTTTAGATTGTTTAATTCATGTACTTGTAACAAAAGAGGCATATATTATAAGACTTGTTCTTCTTCTCTGTGCCGTTTCATTCGGACTGTATTGGCAGTTTTTGCTGTTGTTGTTGTGATTATATGTCACTTTGATGATGTCTGGGGCATACTGGGGACCTATCCACATGTTTTCCCCAATGAGGTTTTACTGCTAATGGCAAATGAAATTAAAATGATAATAATATTAATATTTTATTATTATATTATATCCAGGACATTTATTAACATTTGCAGACACCCTGCTCCCTATGGGACCGGTGCCTAATATGTGTTTTTCTGTGTTAGATTCTCTGATCAACAACTTTGTACAGTTCTCCCAGACAACTGCTGTTGTGATTAAGGGCGATAAAAAAATGAATAGAAGTGAAATTTAATTGAATATACTATCAAATGTATGGGAAACATTTGGTACATTTTTGGCCCACATTTTTTGACAGGCGTGCTGCTACTATTACGTATATTGCACAACTTTTTCATTATATTATGTAAAGTCTGTATGCATGACCTCTGTCTGAACAGTAGGTGGCAGTGTTTACTCTCATGTTTAAAGCTACAAAGCAAACGCAGAGCCAGCGCTATCTCCATCAGTAGGTCACGTGAGGTGAGGGCATTTTTCCATTATATATCATTTATAAGACACGCTTTAAAGTGCCCCTATATGAAAGATATAGCTTACGTTATCAAGTGATTCTTCTACCACGTCCTCGTTATTACCAAACATTTAGCTTAACATGCCTGTCTATGTTATGTGATCACATGACTTTGTTTACATCATTCCCCTTCAGGAGAAAGTGCGGTAGTTATAAGTAGTAGTTCCATATCTTCACATGGTATGAGCTAAGTTACATGTTGTTTATGATGTTCTATGATATGCTTTCGGTTCAGGTGAAATGCTAGCGCTATCGGAATGTGTGTTTATATTAGCATTAGCTCTATATGAATGAAGCAGGATTTTAAAATAACAGATTTGCTAAACCAATTCTCTTATATATGAAGTTCTGTCCACGTAAATGATGATAATAATGCATCAGTTTTATGTATTGTTTTTTCTAGATATTCACATTGCATTATTCATTCATGTGAAGGTTCTACAGAAGTCACAGCTGCCCTGGGACATACTGACAGAAGCAAGGTAAATAATCTATGCCATCAACCCCTCCATTCACCACCAACCATTTGCTTACACACCAGACTATTATTAGGCAAACTATGGAGGACACAACAAAATGTACTCTCCGGGGTCTCCCATCACACTAACAAGGCTCTGTCCGGCTTAGCTCCTGAGACCAGGATCAGGCTTTCATATACAGTTGAGTCAGTTTATGTAAATGTAGGTTAGCCAGTTTTTCCAGCCAGGTCACCTCCAATTCTAGATTCAGTCATTCATTGAATATTTTCAATGGATAGCTGCCTACGTGCAAGACAAGGACTCTGATTGTGTATCCATGTTATGACTATGATTTGCTCTGACTGTCTCTGTGTGACACGTATGTCTTTCGATGTGTGACGTAACAATGACTATACATAGTTTTCCATCACGTGCTTATTACCCATGATGCTTTGCGCGAACGGCATTTTGGGAGTCAAGCTTATATTGCACGTATCATTTGTCACTGATAATTTGTCACGGATCATCTGTCCCCATGTCATCTAAAGCCACAAATTCGGCCGACACTGACCGCGTTATGTATATTGATACACTGTAGTAATCTGTGAGGCAAGATCCTTTGAGAATCAGGAGATTTGGATCCGTATGAAACGTGACGAGACCAGTGGACTTCCCAGAAATGGCTTACTTTCACTTAACAGTTTTACAATTAAAAAAACGTCATGATGTATATGATGCAATATTTCTTCCAATCAATATTTTATTTTGAACAAAGCAGTTGATATCAGAGGCCGCAAATCACTTCTGTCTACCACCCTTTCCCCCCCTCCTCCTCCTTCTGTCATTCATTTAGATGGGATGCTCGAGGCGCCTATATAGACTTAGGATCACAGTCAAATGGCAGCTCTGAATATAAACCACACACGCACAGAAGGGCGACAGTAGCTCAGTTGGTAGAGCACTGGCCTTTGAGCCTGAAGGTCGTGGGTTCAAGCCCACCACGGGACCTTCTCCACCGACTCCCACTGATGACTGCTGTCGTTGTGTCCTTGGGCAAGACACTTAACCCTGCATTGCCTGAAGCCCCCGCTGAAAAATCAAGGCTGTATTGTCACTGACAGAGCAGCCGTCCTCCTGTGGACTCACCACCTGCAGAGGATCAGTGAGGGGCTGGTGCTAAGTGAATTGGGTGCAGCTCTGACTGCCACCCCCCCGACCCAGAAATGGATTAAGGGGAAGAAGATGGATGGATGGATGGACGCACAGATTTAGCTCTTACCTGTTATGAAATGGTCAGAACAGACCTTATAGTGCCGTTTTCCAGGGGGTTAGGGTTGAATCCCTCTGGTTGATCCATGTCAACTAAGGAGTAATTTCTCCGTCCCCAGTCACTCCCCTGTCTCGTAATAGCCTTCGGAATGTCCCTACAATCTACGCGGTTTCTGCATCCCCAAACGATGCAGGTAGTCTGCATGTTTTAGCGCAAAAAAGTGATTTGGCCCGATTTGGTTAGCTTCAACTAGCGGCGGCTAGACTCCCAAAATGGTGAACTGCAGAATTGTGGGTAGTGCGTGACGTCAGTGGAAAACTATCTATATAACATGTACTGACTCCATTTTGGTCTCAGAGAAAGAAACAACGAAAACCACTGGAACTTGAGAGAAACATAAATAAACTTCCAGAGCTTGGCGTACCACAATCCGTCTCTGTCTGGTTCATTCCTGACAGATTGATTAGAAAAATCAGCTAAAAGTTTGATTACATGATGAGATTTGTTTGTTTTTATTTTTTATTGTTTTTTGTTTATTTGTTTATTTATTTATTTTTTTTCCCCCCAGTATAGAATGAGTAAAATCCCCTACACATATATTGATTTTGATGATAATGAGTTTAATGCATACAATGTTTTTTTTTCTTTTTACGTTTTTTTTGGGTTTTTTTTCTCACTTTAATGATTGATCAAATTGAGTGATCACATGTGATTATGTGATCAAATGGGGGTATAAGGATTAGATAGCTATTTGGCCTACGTACAGGACAACTGCAAGACTCTACAAGGACTCTGATTGTGTATCCATGTTATGACTATGATTTGCTCTGACTGTCTCTGTGTGACACGTATGTCTTTCGATGTGTGACGTGACAATGACTATATAACGTTTACTGACTACATTTTGGTCTGAGAGAAAGAAACAACGGAAACCACTGGAACTTGAGAGAAACCTAAATAAACTTCCAGAGCTTGGCGCACCACGATCCATCTCTGGTTCATCCCTGACAGATTTACACATTACAGGTCACTTTCCCAATGGACTTCTCATCTTTTATGGATATTCGCGGATGGCCAGTAACGTTCGGACTATTATTAATTTTCCTCAATCTTCTCTATTGGTTTGTATCTGAACAAATTTGGGAGAATCACCTACACATTCAAAATAATCTCCAAATGATTAAATGCAATTTTCTTTTAGGTATTCTATATATCCCTTTTCAGTGCTCAGAGAATGTGGCATCACTCACCCCAGACCAATACCCTTTTTGGGGAATATTTTTTTGTTTCGTGAGGTAAATACAACATTTATTATTGATATTTCTGTGCTGGATGTTTCACCACAACTAAACATCAAATGAGCACAATCTGACTTGATTTTAACTAAATGTATTACTGAATGGATTCTCTCCTGCAGGGTTTCTATAATGCTATGACAGAGCTCATTAAGACACATGGTAGAGTGTGTGGGTATGTGTTTCTGGTTTTCTTTTTTGTGATTATGGTCATTTAAAAACATGCTTAGTCTGACTTTGTTTGCCTCAGGTATTACTTGGGCCGCAGACCGGTGGTGGTGATCGCTGACCCTGATATGCTCAAAGAGGTGTTGGTCCGAGATTTCAGCAACTTCCCCAATCGAAATGTAAGATATGAAAGTGGTTGTTTGCAGTTATTTGACTTACAGAACATGAACTAAAGCGTACGTGTTTTCTTTGGCCTTGTAAAGTCACCAGGCAATGACTCTCCACATAGAAATTCTAGGGACAAAAAATAGCCTTGCCCTTGACTATAAGTGTTTCACATGTTGATTGTGTACACTTGCCCCTATCAAATAAATCAATAAATAAAATAAATTTTGGAACGTCCACCAAAAGAATTCTTGATTCATAAGATATATTTTTTACAGACAAAAAATGTATTCAAATGATCTAAAAACTCAGGATACAGAATAATAAAGGCGGCAGGGCCAAGATGGAGGGTGCCGAGGAACTAGAAAGGGTCGGCGCTAGATCATAGACTGAATCGGGTTAGTCCTTAAGTGGTGACTGGTTAAGTTTTAAGTGTCTGAGTAAGATGGTTAAGGATGGTTTGGGGTTACATGGGAATGGGTGGTTAAGTTTAGGTTGGTTATATTGACTTTAGCTTCCGTCTCGATTCCGTATATGATCTAGTGCTGACCAATAGAAGGTCATAGACGGTCTCTTCCTGCTGTAGCCACACTTCCAGGTTGCACACATTGTATAGTCCTTTCTCAGCGGGGGCACGAGATGGAGACAAATGTTTTCATGGATGCTGTACACCTTAACATTATACAGTGCAACACATCTTATTTGACTCCAGGCCTTGTGCATAAACTGAGCTGACTTGTGAGTTTAGTTTTGCACGTCTACATCGGCCTCTATGCTGGTGTTTACCCTCTTTCTGTGATAGTGTGTGTATGATTTTATACCTTGTGGAGTTTATGGCTTTTTGATAGATTTGAATACTCTTGACGTTGTGTCCTCCCAGATAACCAACTGAACATGTGTGTTTACTTTGCAGTCCTTCCGATTTGCCACGAAGCCCATGAGTGATTGTTTGCTGTTGTTAAAAAGCGACGAGTGGAAAAGAGTCCGCAGCATCCTTACCCCATCTTTCAGCGCAGCCAAAATGAAAGAGGTATTGATCAAGACAAAACTAAAAATGATTGTTTGTGATACTGACTGGTCGTTTGTCCCAGATGGTTCCACTCATCAACACAGCCACCAACGCTCTGATGGACAATCTTAATGTGTACGCAGAGGCAAATGAGGCCTTCGACATCCACAAGTAAAGCAGAGTATTTCTATGTTCATGCTATTATTATTAGACACATAGTAAATCATGCTGTTGCTCATAGATGTTTTGGCTGCTTTACAATGGACGTCATTGCCAGTGTGGCCTTTGGTACTCAGGTGGACTCCCAGAACAACCCGGACGACCCGTTTGTGCACCACGCGCAGATGTTTTTCTCGTTCTCTTTCTTCAGACCCATCATGCTGTTTTTCAGTCCCGTCCTTGTTCGCCTAAGGCCCCCTGGCCAGGGGCCCTGCTTACGTTTTCCCACCAGTGCGTCGCCTGCCGGTCCAGCTGCGGGATCAAACAGGAAGGAGGTCGGGTGATCCTGGTGGCTCGGACAGTCCCTTGCCCGGTGGTTCCCCTTCCTGAGGGGCATGGCGGTGATGGAGCCCTTGGGCCTCCCGGGACGAGCCGGGGGCTCTAGTCCAGTGGGGGAGGAGCCCTGTTTTCAACGCCTGATAATCGGCCGCAGGCGCTGGGTTTGGAGGGCGAGAGGCGGAACCTCGTAGACTGGGTCTTCCCCCTTCCGGTGGTGAGACCATTCAGGGGCGTGGGCGCCGTCCACTGTGAGGCCTAACGCCACTAGTGTGAGGCTCTTCACGACTGGTGCGGTTCCCAGTTCCTGGGATCCCAGGCGTTGCCCGCCTGGAGGGGGTCCTGGGATTCTACAGAAGCTCTTTGTCTAGGGAGGTCTGTCGCCACCTTGGCGTGTTCGCGGCAGCCATTATTCGGTCACGATGGTTCGGGGGTTCACAGCCCGCTGTCATCCGTTGGTTAACGTTTCTGCGGGGGGCGAGCATGATGAGGAGGCCCCGCTCCAGAGAACCGCCCCCGGTTTGGGACCATCAGGGTGGTCTTAGGGGGCTGTCGGGTGCCGCCTTTTTGAACCGGACGCGGAGGCGAGTCCCGAGTGTGTCCGCTTTTATAGACGGCCCTCTTGATGGCGTTGGCGTCTGCTAAGAGGAGGCGGGCGACTTGTGTGCGCTCTCTGGTCCATGCGTCTTAGCTGTCCTTTTGGAGAGGGCGACGGCAATGGTGGAATTGTGGCCCAATCCGGCTTCTCCCCAAGGTCATCACTCGGCCCTTTAGGGTCCGAGAGTCATCAGATTAGGCTTTCTATCCGCCACCGCATGCCTCCCAGAGGAGGATCGGCGGCACCTTCTGTGTCCTGTCAGAAGCTGAGGCATTACCTGGCCTTTGACGTCGTCATTCAGGTTTTGGTGGTCAGCTGTTTGTGTGTCTGCCCCAAGGGACAGGGCGCCCCGCTGTCGGCTCAGCGGCTGTCTCCTCCTCTTTCGCCGGTCTTAATATTGTATGTTGTCGGATCCGTTTGGTGGCCCATTCCGTAGCTGAGTGCAGCGACTGATTAGACCGTTGGTTCCTCCGCTGTGGGGCCTTCGGTTTTTACTTTTTCCGCCCTGGTTCTTGGAGCTCTTGGGGAGGGCATCCTACAGGTGCGGTATCATATTTTGTGTGTTTGGTCCGGTCAAGGTAGTCCACGTCAGAGCTCTTGGGAGAGCGTCCCAGTGACTACGGATGACCTACGTCTGTGTTTTTCGTGGGGGTATCCTTGTAGGAGTGGCCCTGTATACGCAGTGTTTCTTCTGCCCTGAGTCCCTCTCACTGTGTGAGGGTCTTGCTCGAGCGGAGCTCCAATCACCCTTTGCTGGCATGCTGGGATTACATGTTCCTACGGGCCTCCGCGTTGTGTCCCTCGAGCGATGTCCTTAAGGGATCGTAGCACCATGACGTAGAATTAATAGTTACCTAATGTAACTTAATTCTACGAATAGTGCGTAGTCCCTTAGCTACCGAGCCCATCAGGCCAGCCCGGCTTGGGCAAGTTTCAGAGGGGGTGCGCCCTTGTGCAGGGGCAAATTTTATAGAGACGGTGGGCTGTGATTGGAGCAAATTTTTTTTTGATCTCTCTTGGCCGTGGTGACCTGGGGGTCCACGAAGTGATCATCCCTACTAGCGAAAGTCCTAAGGTACTACGCCACCGATTCAGTAGAACTTAAGTTACATTTAGGTAACCCTAAAGTAATTTTTTATTGGTAAAAGGACCACCGGCCGCAATTCATTGTTTGACAGTGTTCGGCGGCGAATTAAAAACCCCAATACAAGTCGATGACATCCTGTTTAAAAGGCATAAGATCTCAATAGCTCTGTCTATGACGTCACAGAGCATAAAAGATTCAACATAGTGCGTTCCATGAAGGGGGGGAGAAGCTGAAAATGGTCATTTGTGAGCATAGATGGAGCTAAAACTACTCCAGGTGTGGTTGTGGATGTGGGAAGACCGCTGGCATTTTACATCATACGTGCCCCTTTAATTCGATGTCATAAAAGTATTGCGACGCATGCTTTCTCGGAGGCATTGCGACCAGGCTGCTTGCTGACGGCGTGCCGATCTGAACGCAATGTACATGTTTGTGCTGCTGTCCCGTGTGTCGATCCCGTGTGCTCTGCTGGTCCCCGTCCTGGTTCTCCGCGCGGGGTCCTCTCGCTTGCACGCACGGCGCCCGCGCTCACACCCAGTCCAAGTTGTGCCTTGCCCGGTCATGCCTACGGGGCTATATACATCTGTCAGAGAGGAGAGGGGAGAAGAGGAAAAGAAAGGGGAGGGGTCTGCAGGCCGCGCGCATGACACTCACACACACCGACTCTTACACACACACTCGCTGCTGGGCAGCCTACAAACTGGTTCATTCAATCAAGAAGGAGAATTAGAGGCGACATTGAAATGCCCATGGTTATAGACCTGTGAAGAGGACATGTTTCGCTGTTTCTTGTTTACCTTTCAAGCACTTTCCAACGCTGGTCCTTACCAATAAAAAAATAATAGTTAACTAATGTAACTTAAGTTCTACGATAGGTGCGTATTCCCCCTTTGGACTTCGCTAGTGGGATATCACAAATCGTGACCCCCAGGTCACAAACGCACGCCAGAGAGATCAAAATAATTTTCTTCCAACAAGCACCTCCGTCCTCTATATATGCCCCTGCACAAGGCCGCACCCCCTTCTTGAACTCTGCCAAGCCGGGCTGGCCTGATGGGCTCTGTAAGCTAAGGGACTACCAGCACCTTTCGTAAAACTTAAGTTACATTAGGTAATCTATTAATTCTACGTCATTCGTGGTGGCCACGTCCTTAGAATTTCGCTAGTGGGACACTTCGCGGAGGCCGAGGAACACTGTACCTCCCAGCAGCCAGCAAAGGGTGATTGGATCTCCGCTCGGGAGCAGACCCTCACACAGTGAGAGGACTCAGGCAGAAGAAACAATGCGTGTTACAGGGCCACTCCTACCAAGGATACCCACACGTAACACAGACCGGAGTCACTTCCGTAGTCACAGGACGCCTCTCCCAAGACGCCCTGACGTGGACTATCTAACTGACCCGACACAAAACACACAATAGGTACCCCGCACCTGTAGGATGCCTCTCCCAAAGCTTCCTGAACCAGGCGGAAAGTAAACCGAAGGCCCCCTCAGAGGAGGGACCTAACGGTCTAAACTCAGTCCGCTGCCTCAGCACGGAATGGGCCAGCCAACCCGGTCCGACACATCCAGATAAGAACCGGACAGAAAAGAGGAGGACGACAGCCGCTGAAGGCCGACAGCGGGCGCCCCTGTCCTTGGGCCCAGACACTCAAACAGCTGACCAACGCCAACCCTGAATGACGACGTCATGGGCCAGGTTAATGCCTTCTGCATTCTGACAGGACACAGTAGGCCGCCGCCCTCCTCGGGAAGGCATGCCGGTGGCGGATAGAAAGCCCGAATCCTGATGACTCTCGACTAAAGGCCGACGTGGATGACCTTGGGGAGAAAAGCCGGATTGGGCACACAATTCCACATAGCCGTCGCCCTCTCCAAAGGACATGCAAGACGCATGGACAGGAGAGCGCACACAAGTCGCCCGCCCTCTAGCAGTCGCCAACGCCAACAAGAGGGGCCGTCCTTAAAAGCGACACACATAACACTCGGGACTCGCCTCCGCCGCCGGTTCAAAAGGCGACCGACAGCCCCCTAAGGGACCACCCTAGGTCCCAAAACCGGGGCGTTCTCTGAGCGGGGGCCTCCTCCTGCGCGCCCCCCGCAGAAAACGTTTAAACCAACGGATGACAGCGGGCTGTGAACCTCCCGAATCCATCGTTGGAACCCGAAGTAATGGCTGCCGCGAAACGACCGCCAAGGTGGCGACAGCCCTCCCCTTGTCAAAGAGCTTCCTGTAGGAATACAGGACCCCCTCCCACGGGCAACGCCTGGTTCCAGGATCGGGAACCGCACCAGTCGTCTGAAGAGCCTCCACCTCGTGCTTAAGGCCCTCACAAGTGACTGCGCCCTCGCCCCCTGAATGGTCTCCACCACCACCGCAGGGGGAAGACCTCATGTCTACGATGTTCCGCTCTCACTCCAAACCCAGAGCCTGTCGGCCGATTATCTGGCGTGCAAACAGGCTCCTCCCCCCTGGACTAGCAGCCCCCGCTCGTCCCGGGAGGGCCCAAGGCTCCATCACCGCCTGACCCTCAGGAAGGGAACCACCGGCATGCGACTGTCCGAGACACCAGGATCACCGACCTCCTCTCCTGTTTGATCCTCCGCAGCAACTGGCAGGAACGCACTGGTGGGAAAACGTACAGCAGGCCCCCGGCCAAGGGGTGGGGCCTAGGCGAAACCAGGACGGGGCACTGTGCGTTTTCTGCACTGGCTGAAAAGGTCGACCACAGGTCGCCGAACCTCCGCCAAATCTCCGCAGCTACCCGTGGGCCAGGCCCCACTCTCCTGATGGGCCCCCCTGAAATACCTGTCGGCCCCACGTTCCGGACCCCCGGGACGTGGCGCGCCCTGAAGACAGGAGGTGAAGCGTCCGCCCACAGCAGCGTCACGTCGCCATGCGATGGAGAGCGGGGGACCTGGTGCCCCCCTGCCTGTTTAAGAAAGGATACCCACTGTGATGTTGTTCTGAGCGCACCATCAGAAACTGATGTTCGATGCTGCCACTTGGGGAACCCAGATCACCTCCCCCGTCCCGGGAGGGTGAAGCCTGAAGGCGGAGAACCACCTCTGAAAATCTCATTGTGGAGAAGGCCTAGCCGCACCACAGCATGAGCCGGCCGCCAATCATTCCCAGCAGGGACCCTGAGGCGCCGAGCGGGGATTCTGGACCGCCAGAACCTCCCTTGGGCAGCGGGTAGTGTTCATCCGTCTGTCCACGGACAATGCAGCACGGAATTGTCACAGAGCGCTAACGGCAGACCGAGATAAATCATACGTTGAAGCGGGCTGCAGCTTGAATTTCTCCCTGTTTACCCACATA